AGCCAAAACAGTTTAAAAGATGAGTAATTTTCAAGTCAGAGTTCAGGACATGATGTGACACTGAAGTACCCTTCTCTACATAGCAGAAATCCTGACACGAAGCGAAGAGCAGAACTGCCAATTTCAAGATTTCCCAGCATGTTTAACCAAGGCAGGATTTGCAGCAAGAGGCATTATTCAGTACAGCTCCTGCTGAGGGCAGTGGAACCAGGATTTCACAGCGTGCTTAAGCAAGGCAAGATTTGTAGTGAAAGGTGTTATCTTTAGTAAACCAGCTGCTGCAGCTGAAAAAAAGCAAAGATGCTTTTGGGAGCAATATCCTCAAGCATGCCTCTAGACGTGATTCAGAAACAACAAATTTCAAGCTACATCCTGGCCAAAAACTCTGTCTTTAAGTTTAACTAGATCATTCTCATCAATTAGAAAAACTGAGAGAAAAAGCGGTTGATATTTGTAGCAAGTTTTTGCTTGTTGGCACAAGTTCCCATGATGCTAATAAGGCTGATGGACTTCCAGGCTCAAACGACTTCAGATTCGGTTGGCTCAGGGTATGGACAGAGGTTCAGGATGGCTCGCGCCCATCCCCATAAATACAGCCCGAGCCACGGGCACTTATTTACTTAGTCATTTCCTTGCTGTGACATGATCACAATTTACAGATCATGTAAGGAGGTGTAATGTTATCACCTAGCAATGTTTTTTCAATGAAAATTTTTGGTTCTGGACTATGACCCAACTAAATGGTTTAGAACAACAGGTGAATCTCAGGATCTTGCTGTCGTAACCTTCCTCCTCCCCACGGAGTCTCCTCCCCTTTGTTTACTGCAATTCCTTCTTGTAGTGGTTGCACTTGGGCTGAGAGATCCCGCGAGCCAGCCTTTGTTCAGACTGCGACGCACAAACAGCCATTTGCATGCAGTGGGAGCCTGGCCTGACCCAGGCCTCACTCAGAGCGGTGGGACCAGGACTACACACATTTACATACATGTAAATTCTGCCATTTGCTGTGCAAAAATATCCTGTCTCTGAGATACGGGAAAATATAGTTCTGACTCAGAACTGATGCTATCTTTCCAGTCAAGATTAGAGTCTAAATTGTGCAATCCAGTTTAGCTCACAGTATCAGTTGCTATGCAAAAGACGGTGTTTCATACAGAGGTGTGGTCTTCCAAGCATTGCAACAAACACAGACCGCAGCTGGCTTGCCATTTAGATCCAATACAGTTGGAAAGCACGGCCATTCAGGTCTGATCCTAAAAGACGCTGATTATTCCTCATAAATCGTCGACTGACCTTATGTCATGGTGAAATTAATGGGATTAAAAGGTTTTGAATGCCTGCGAAGAATCTAAAGAAAGGAGAGAAAAAAAAATAAAGGTGAAAGCATGTTTAAAAAAAAAAAAAGAAAGAAAGAAAAAGAAGAAAAGCCTTCTTTCCCACAGGAAACTTCCATCACTGTTGTATTTTCCCTAAGGACGTTTCTGTAGCTGTCACTAAAAATTACTGCTGTCAGCCGTAATGCATCAGCACAAACCGGAGGGCTGGGCTTTGGTGGTCTGAAAGGCTATGCACAGCGCAGTTGTTTTTAACCACCACCTCACCTTAGCTCCAGTGAACATATTTATTATGCAATAAATCCAATTTTGTCTGGAGCAAAAATGACGTTGGGCAGAAAAATTGTGTGTTGTTTTCACAAGTGCATGCCTGATGCCTAGTCAGAGCTGAGAGACATTTCACTCGCGTAATGCGAGCAGCTGCTGAAGCAGAGGTGAGGGAACTGCATCAAAGGTGCGTGATAGGGAAGCAAGTGTAGATGAATGCCAAAACCCTTTGAAGCCCTGAAATAGCAAAACTGGCTCCCATCAGAGCCCCAAAACAAAGGCCTTACAATTTCAGTGGCAAAAGAAACAAGCCTAAAACAGATTCCCTCTATAGAATGAAATAACCCCCTAGAAAACTACACTACCAATAAAAAGCTATCAAAAATGTCTACTGGGAACAGTTTCTCCCTGCAGATAACTTGTCCCTCCTGCTCTTAATGAATTCACTTGCAATTTTGACATGCTTTTATTACAGTGGCACTCAACACCCTATAATCCCGGCATGCTAGGTGCTGTTCAGAGATGGTCTTTGTCCCAGGGAACATGACGTAGCTCTTAAAAAGGCTGTGATAGAGGCTGCTAATTATTCATTGTTTGCACAGGGAATAAAAAAGGTTTATATGGAACTAACGTAGGGTAAGTGTAAGTATCATTAGCTGTAATTATAGTAACTGCCTCTATGATCCTCCTCTGTTATATTTGAGGCAGACTTCATTTCATAACTACAGGTTTGTCTGCTAAAAATCCTCTTTCACAACAGGCAGCTCATTGCAAGCTGCTTTCATGAATCCTGCTGCTCCGGTGGAGCTGTCATGCAGCACCGAGTGGTTGTCTTCAGGCAGAGACCAGAGGAAAGCCGTAGCACAGCTGGGTGCTATGCTCCTTCCCAAAGGTGCCCACCAAGGTCTTTGCACAGAGAGGTTTGAGAGCAGAAACCTGTGGGTTGTCAAATCATCGCAGGGACAGCACAGTGGAAGGCCCTGACTCCTACTTTTAATGCAGGCAAAACTTCCAGTCTCACTTCGAACTAGCATTCAGTGGGGGCCAGAGGTGGGCAAAAGGTCTCCTGCCCCAGCGGTTCCTGGGGTAAGGGCAGGAATTAAATGGGATGAAGAGGGCATGGGCTGCTGGCAGGCACTGGGCTCTCCTGCAGCTCAGGAAGCACCTGCGCTCATGGGGAGCCTCACCACTACCCATGGTAGTGGTTTCCTCTCCGTGCCTAAAGAAAGCCAGGAGAACCACGGCTGAAGCAAATTTTGATCCCCGTTGAGAAAATGCAGTGGTGAGAGCGCTCTGCTCAGCTGTGCTCGCTGCCGAACCCACGCAGCGCTCGGGGCGGGTCTGTTTGTTTGGGCCACAGGAACAGCAAACAGGCAGAGGAGCGACCGCGGCCGCATCCTCATCACGCCCACGCGCCCATGAGTGGCCTTCTTTCTGGCTAATGAAGTGAGGATTAATTAGAGCAGGTAATGGGCTTCCACGGACAGCATTGTCAAGCGCTGCTTACTGCTGTTTGTTGATGCAGGCAGGCATTTTGTAATCCCTCACATTGTTTAGCAGTGACTACAGGAAACAGGCAGAAAAGACACTCAGCTTTCCTGAGTTCAAGGCCCTTATACAGATCCTTTAGGAGTTACAGTTGATGCTGCATAGTACTGAGCAATACAAACGTACCATTGGTCCTTGGATAATTTGACAATAACTTGACAAAAGACAAAGTTACTCTCCTGGAGCTGAAATAACTCTCACCTCCCTGGCTAACCCACCTGGATTGAGCACGCACTCCCCAGTCTTGTAACTCAGAACAAACATGAGGAGGATTAAACTGCCCCACTTCTGTGTTTGGGCTAAGCAGAACTCAGGGCAGGGATCTAATGTTGTCTTTGTGTGTAGAAACACAACACAAAAATAACTGAAACACTGAGTCCTGTTTTTTCCCCTTAGGTCCTTTCAAGAAGAGTTAGCAATTCACCCACCTACTGCAGATGTGGGGCCCCTTTAAAAGCTCCCCCAGGACTGCATTTGCTGCCCAGCAGGAAAGATGACGCATTAGATTTCATTTCATTTTCCCAAGACGTGACATTTTTGTTGGCTCATGTAAGGGGAAAGTATCTCATGCCTTGCTAAAGATCTTCGCATGCATGAGCACACCTCAGGGCAAAGCCCGAGCCGTTCCCAACAGATGCTGTGAGAGGGTGGGAGACGAGGCAGACAGAGTCACTTCTCCCCGGTGTAAAGAACCTGCTTGGAGGAGGCGTGCTGGGAAGGAGGGTCTCTGTGCCGTGAGCCAGACCCGTGGTGGCTACTGGCAGCCAGGCAAGAGGCGTTTGGACCTCCTGGGGGAGGTGGGCACGGCGCAGCTTGGGCTCCCTGGGCTGCGGTGCTGCACCACAGGCTGGTTTCCACCATCACTTTCACTCCTTTACCAGCGATGTCAGCAGAGGCAAGAGCTCCTCCCCACCTCTTCTGGTGCACATCCCACCCAAGCTGGCTGTAATCGTAGGAAACAAGAGGGAAGAGGGAAGGCAAACTGTGCTCAGGGACACCTCTTGCTCAGAGCCATGAGAGCTCCATGAGGAGAATGCAGCTCAGACAAACCTGAGGCTGATGCCTTTCTGCTAGACCGTGCTGCCTCCTGCTCAGTCATCAGGATTCACAGCATAAACAGCTTTGTTTCTTCTCTCTCAGCACACTTCCTTGGCTCTGTCACAACCATACTGAGACATCTGTGGACTGAAGTTAGTGCCTGTACAGGTTTCCCTCAAGCCTGGTCATAAAGGTTACGTGTCACCACACCTGCCTCGCCTGATAGTTGAACACTAGACACAGCCTGCACCATCCTGCAAAGAGGACTCTGTGTAAGAAACAGTGTATTTTTAATGCAAACACATTCGTAGGGGCACAAAGGCTCCTGGTGAAGACACTTCCTCATTGCCTGGGTACACGCGCCCAGCTGCCATTAGTACTGAAGAGAAATAGCAAGCCTGGGAAGAGCCATCCTCTAGGGTGGAGGCTCATCCTTGCAGCAGGCCAACAGAGGAGATTTTAGGCTAATTCTCAAGGATTAAGAGCTCTTGTTTCAAATCACTAGCACTGGATGTTTCCAGTTCAGCTGCAAATTCATAAAATCACTTCAGAAAGTGAAACCAGGGAACACGAGTACCACAAGAACCAGAAACACGTGCAAGTCCCACCTCAGCCTTGGCAATGCTGAGGCTCTCAGTTAACTGAACTCTTGAGCAATTTTTTTTATTTTTTTTGTCTCTGACCATTCCCAGATTGGTTTCTTACAACACGAAAGCCAACTGACTGACTTTCTTTCAACTTATCTGATAGAGTTAAAAGAAAACTCCCCGGCGATGCCACTGCATCACAAGACAGGCTTTGATCATCCGAAGCTGCCAACGCACCTCAAAGTGTGCTAAACATATGCGACTCGGCTGACTACATCTGTTTCCATCAAGTGTAAATGCAAGCAAGCCACCTGCTCCTCAGGCCACTGCAAGGGAGAAATGGCCTGGGTTTGGGGTTCCTGGTTTCTCCATGAGGTTTGTCACAGAGGAACGCAGGAGCTCTTTGTGTTGAGCATGTCACACAGCCGAGGGTAAGCAAAGGCCAGGTGGAAGTGCGTTTCTGAGCAAGTTTTCAGCAGGAACTGACCTTTCCAATGTGGTTCTGAATGGAGAAACCTGCCAGCAACAAGAAAGTAAGAACCTTCAACAGCTCCCTCAGGATTTGGGTGCTTGTCTCAGCTCAGAGGAGGTTCAGCTCCTCAGACCGCAGGTGCTACCAGTCCATGCTGGTGATCTGGGCTGTGCCATATCAGGGATGTGCCCCTCCACCCCCTGCATACATCTCTCTGCATGCAAAGATCCTCCCAGATGAAAATGGCTCTAACGCTGCTCAGCTCAAAAATCAGAGCACAGATTTTGGGCTCAGCTTTTAAAGATTATGATTAGGAAAGGAAATACAGACAAGTGCTGGAGTAGGGACACACTGCTGATGAAATGCTAGGATACTTCTACACAAGCTACGTGGAGAGATTACAGAAATTTACTTTTCAGTAAAAAAGTGACCCATTTCCATTAGTCTTTTGTTTCCTGCTGGTGGTTCAGGACTCTTCCCAGATCTTGTTTGGCACACAAGACACCACAGCCACCTCATCCCCTGCCCGCTGGGCATGTGATTCTGGCTTTGTAGGTTATCTGGGGTGGGGTGGGGAGGAAGCAGGGGAAAGGAATGACGGGGCACAGCGCAGATGATTCTCATTAATTTTGGAAGGAGTTATAAAAAGTAAGCATTAAAGTGTATCCTAAATACAAGGATTCAGCTGATTGAGAACTCATCTGCTTCTATCTCTTGGGTAATCGTGAATGCAGTTCTGCTGTGTCACTTCAAAGGCTCAGCACAGCTGGGAGGGTTTTCATCAAAGCTTCTGCATGTCTGGGGGAGGTTTTCCCCCCCATGAATATACATCACTGGAGGCTCATTTTCCCAGCTTTTCCCATGCCTCTCTCTGATTGATCCTCATTTCATTCAGATGAGCTCTTCCTCTCTGGATGGCTAAAGGGCAAGAGACAGCTCTCTCCAAAGCTTTCCCACTCGCCTGGATGCCTCTCCGAAGCTTTTCCTCCCATCAGAGTGGGGGAGGGAGGGAGCTGTTCAGACAAGAGATTGAGCCTTTAAATTAAATTCTTGTCATCTGAGGGCTGGGCCTGATAGCAGCGGGGGTGGGAAGCATATTCTCCCAGTATCGGGACTCTGGCCAGATCCTCATCTGGTGTAAATGTGTTCTGGGGGACTGATCTCAGCAGTCATGTCATCAGAACTACGAGTCTTAAAACACTCCCTGCTCCCTGCCCCTCTCTGCAAGGCAGCAGCTTGCTGGGTGAAACCAGCATCATCCTCTGTGAGCCCGCTCTGCAGAGTACGTGAGCTCCGCAGACAAGGAACGCTGGCTGAAATTGCTCAATTCCCCTCTTTTTCAGAGGGGAGGGAGGGCTGGGCAGCTTGGTGGAATTTCAAACACTCAGCCACCCTCAACCAGGCTGGGATTTCACAAGAGCCCAGACCCTGTGTGCACCCAGCACGTGTGAAGCGCTGGTGGAAATGTGGGCCCCTGTCCGGATCTCAGACAGGAGCTCAGCCCTCCTGGAAATTCTGGGCCCAGTGCCACTGAGTTACAGCACGTCTCCTGGCTGGTGGCCAGCGCGGAGAGCCTGAACCTCACCGCGGCTCTTCCACCCTCCACCTGCTCGCTGTGTGTCCCCCTGGGCCAAAGTGACCCCAGGGACCAGCCACGCAGGACACCTGCCGGGCGATGGGAAGCACACCCACACCCTTACAGCCGCTGTAAGCTGCCTGGTTTGATTGACATCGTGTCGCTGCTGTTTGGTTTGGTTTAACAAAAAGATGTCACAAATCTCCTCTGCAGTGACCCGTGGAAAGGTGACAGGCCCTGGAAATCCTGTCCTGCACACAGCTGCAGCCTGTAAGCCTCCCTGCACAGCAGCAGCCTCCCCGGAGAGGTATTCACAGCCAGGTCAGTTGTGCTGGCCCTGCATGTGACTGGGACACTTCTTCCCCCCAGACAGGGATGGGGTTTTCCCGCACCAGTCCCCCGAATGGTTAATTGGATCTTGAATGCTTTATCGCTTCTTTCACATGGGGTGTGTGGTTGCATCTACTTTGACACAAGCCCCTTTCTGAATTGCAAGTTGGCAACAATAAAAGGGAGAAGTCTTTAATTAGTTATCTGGCTAATTAACTTTTACGGCACTGTATAGCTTTGGCATCCAAATACTGCAATGCAAAACATTGCAAACATTCAAACAGCGGCTCCCTCCCCACCAGGAAGCACAGCTGCTGCCACTCGTGGCTGCAGGGGAGCATCTCGCAGAAGAGGGCACCTCTCACGGCGCCGTGCTCCTCGGACTCCTGCACATCCCCTTCTGCCCCAGCTCACCTTCTGATGGTGTTCAAGTTAGACACAGAACATACACAACTTCCCCATGTCATATTCCCCCACCCAGCATGTGCACTCACTCTACTCCCGGGTGAAATACACCCAAGACTTTTGTATTTCCTGCTTGAAAGGGCTACGTTGAGATAGATCCCTGCGTCCCCCTGCCAGGCAGGGGAAGAGTTTCACAACCAGGGCCAATGTACTGGCATCCTGCCGTCCTGAGCCCACAGAGAAACCTCTCAAATTAGGCAGGGTGCCATCACGGCACACAGTAAGGAAATGCTCCCAAAGAGGGACAAGGTCTGAAGCCTGTGGGATGACCCCCAAGAGCACAGTTTGGCTCAGAGAGTACAACAGACAGGTTGCCAGAATTAGTCTCTCTCTCTGTTGGAACATGCAGGGTCCCCACCGCTTTTCCCACGCTGATCGGTGAGAGCTAGGGGTTTCGGGAGGCACGGTGCCCCCGGGAGGTTCCCGTGTTGTTATATCTGCACCTTGTGGGCTAGCACATGTTTTACTCTGTGTGCACTGGAGTTTCGCCGTTACTGCATGTCCAGGCAAGCTCCCTAACTGCTTTCAGCATGAATAAAAAGGCACTGTAAAGGGGAAAGGACAGGTTTCAAGAAACACGAGAGAAGAAGCATAAAAGTCCATTGACTCGAGTCCACTGGCTACCAGCATCATCCCACACCGCTGCCCCACTGCTCAGGGAGGCAGAAAGGATGGGAGAGGTCTGACTTCAGGCTGGGGCCCAAAATAAGTTTATTGTAGTTTGGACTTTAACTGAGATCCACGTAACTGCTCTGTTGAATGCACCTGTGGCAGAAGAGTAGCACCAGGTCCAACCAAGGGGACAGGGACGAGCCGTTGCCCCTGCCAGCCGCTGCGGGACGTGGGCGATCAGCGGACTGGCACCTGACGGAACTGCTGCACTTGCTCAAGAGGCAAGTGGTGGCCTTTAACGTTACACAGCTGCCCAGGGAGGGTTGTGACAGGAGTGTTTCAGTAAAGCAGCACTGTGTTTGCACACCACAGGGCTGCAAACAAAAAGCAGGTCACCGGGAAGGTAACGACGAAGTCAGCTCAGAGCAGCAGCATGAGTAACCGCTGCTACAGGAGAGGGCAAACCCCTCTTGACATTCCTTAAACATGCACCCGAGACTCTTCTGCGTGTTCATTTGCTGTGAACAAACAAACAAACCTGTTGGAGAGAATGATTTCACTCCGTGAGCACAGGGGTTTTGCCTTACTCAGCAGAGGCTCCTCTTTGCTGAGGAAGAAAATAATCTCTGCAGATTTGCACCTGCTAGATGATAAAGCAGGTAGGATGGACAAGATCCCTGCTACAGGAGAAGAGAAGAGATGTACCCTCCGGGTGCAGGCACGCACCTTACCAGCTCTCTCTGAAACAGGGGAAGACCCGTCCGAAACCAAGCATGGTTTGGGCAGCTTCCCTCCCAAGCGGTGCGGGTGAAGCCCCCACTTTCCCCCAGATAAGCCCTGGCCCATCCAGCCTGAGCTCCTGCATTCTGCTGGGACCACTCTGAAGTTGTCTCCTCCCTCGGTGCCACCGCAGCACCCGCTCTGCCCGACTGCAGCGCTAACGGTTTGGAGGCTCACACGGGAGGGCAGCCTGCTGGCCCAGCACTGCTGCTGCCTCCCCACGTCTGAGGCAGCGCTCTCCTTAGGCAGCTCCCGAGGCCTTGCCTGACCTCCCCTAGGACCCACTGCAGGACGGCAGTGTAAGGGGCTGGGACACGAGTCCAGGATTTACACAAGGATTGGCCTCCAGGGTCCAGCTCGTTACAGGATCACTGTACTCCCCTTTCCCTGCAGGAACAGACTGTCAGGTGCTTGTGAGCCTTGTATCTGGAGCTCTATCAGCTCTGGCTACTGTGTACAGGAAAGGCCCTGAGTTCCTTTAAAAACCCTGCCCTAGGAAAAAAAAAATAAAAAAAATCATGAAATGATTCATAGCACTTGTATGGGGAACATTTTAAGGTTTTGTTTTTGCTTTTGCTTTTCAATCTAAGTCTTTTCAGACTTGGGTTAAAAAACAAATCAAGCCCATTCTCTTATTTTCTCCTGATGACAGGTTCCCCAGATGCCTGTCTGGGTCAGGGGGACACTGCTGCATGCTATTATTTGGCATTGCTCAGCCTTGTGGACTTTTTAACCTCTTAATTACCAATAGCAAATTGTTCTTTCTAAGCACAAAAAGGAAAACACTTCCTGAGCTGCAGAAGTTCAAGTATCCCCAGTTCCAGGTCAGAGCTGAGCCTTCAACAAAAAGGTTTTCCAGGGATGAGCGAGAAGGTTCAAGTTCACCCAGCTAGCTCAATGAAGACAGGACCAGGCTTGCTGCTAGAGCTCCTTGCCACTGACAGTCTCTGGCTGTCACTTCACATCTCTCCTTCTCCCAGACTCTGTGCCATGCACCCCATGCCAAAGCCACAGCTGCAGCCGCTCGGGGGGGGGCTGGGGCTGTTACCGTGCCTCGTGCTCCTGATGCTTTGAACGCCTTTGCTGCAGAGCCTCCTGCAGAACTGCCAACGAGCTGGATGCTGTCAGAGGGAGCGAGGTGCCGGCACCTCAGCTGCTAACGAAGAAATGCCATGTGGGGCCAGGGCTGCTCCATAAGCCTCGAGCAGGGAGCTCAGCCGCAGGAGCAGCACAGCCAGCAGCGTTTGCAGCATCACGCCCTGAGCGAAGCAGAGACGTTAATTAAACAGCAGGGAAGGAAAAGACCATTTAAAGAGCTTTGAGTCTGAATGACTAAAGGTCTTAGTCACCCATTTACCAGGTTCTCAGCCAAAATCTCCTTTTAAAATAATTTTTATCTGGATCATGTTCCCTTGAAAAATTTGTCAAATCACCCAGCAAGAACTACTGGGAAATGTCACTCAGATTGCCTGAGATTTCCAGTGTCCAGCGTGTCTGTGACAACCGCACCTCCCTGCTGGCAACATTCTCGTAGCCTGAGTGCTCTCACCTAGCACAAGGCAATGACAGCTGGAAGAGAAAAATATTTCAGAAAGAAACAAAATCAGCCGGAGAAGACACCATGCAGAAGCTGCTCAGAAGGTTGGTTCATGTTTGAAGAAATACTGAAAACATTCCCCCAGTCCTTCAGCGTGGTGGTGCTGGAAATGTGCGAGCACCTCCGAAATGTCCGGTGTGCTGCGAGTGGTGGCAGGTCACCGCCTGCTCCCTCCTCTGAGCTGCGGTTGAGCAATGTTCCTTCATTTTCGCGGCTTGGGTTCCGTGGTGCCACCGCGGCGCGGAGCTGAGAGGCAGCGACACCTCGCGGCACGGCCCCCCCCCGACACGAGACCTGTCGCGACAGACAGCCCCGGTCTCAGGGCAGGCACCCCCTCGGAGCGGGGCCGGCCCCGGGTCGCCCCCCGTTTGTTCGTTTTTTTTTTTTTTACCAGAACCTGGTGAAAAGAAAAGAAAAGAAAAGAAAAGAAAAGAAAAGAAAAGAAAAGAAAGAAAAGAAAAGAAAGAAAGAAAGAAAGAAAAGAAAAGAAAAGAAAAGAAAAGAAGAAAGAAAAGAAAAGAAAAGAAAAGAAAAGAAAAGAAAAGAAAAGAAAGAAAAGAAAAAGAAAAGAAAAGAAAAGAAGAAAAAAGAAAAGAAAAGAAAAGAAAAGAAAAGAAAGAAAAAGAAAAGAAAAGAAAAGAAAGAAAAGAACGAAAAGAAGAAAGAAAGAAACGAAAGAACAGGAATAAGAAAAGAAGAGAAAAGCAAGCAGCAAAGAGATATAAAGAGACTCTACTCGAACCTCTCCTCTACCGAAATAAAGAAGCGAAGCGCCGCCCTCGCGCGAACTCCCTCCACGCCCCTACCTCCTCGCCTCTCCCCCTACCCCTCACTCAAACCCAAGACCCCCCTCCCTCCAGCACTCCCCTCCCTCCAGCTCCCTCCGACCGCGCGCAGCGCCCCTGAGAAGCGCTGCCATTTTGTATGGTTTTGTGTGTATTGTTCGAGAAAAATTTTCATATAAAGTAAACAGAGGTAGCAAAAAAGCCAATGAACAAGAAAACTACAGTTGCAGAGGCCTGTGCTATGAAGAAACAGATTTTTGGAGAAAGTTGTGATCAAAGAAACTTGTAGCAGGGTCTCCTCCTATGGCTTGAATCATAGTGTGCTCGGGGAAATGAGGCATTTGGTTCCTCCCTGGTAAATATACATGTACAAGCTTCCACCAGTACAAACCCCAGATCCATCAGCCGCTCTCCCACTTGGTACCCAGAACCTGACAGCCACAGGGGATGGCGTGAGGCCACCTGCTGGGCTTGGGGAGCCTCCCATCTGGGGAAGACCCAGAAAAGCCCATCTTCTCTGTGCTGCTGTTATCTTCTGTGCAGTAACATCATTTTTCCTTTCCCCACAGCACAGGCCTGGAGGTGGCTGTGATGGGAGCAGTCTGGCTAACCAAGCAGCGCACGCGGTCGGGCTGTTTCCCTGCTCTCACTGCGCACAGGACGCAGCAGCACAGCACGGCCAAGCACATGGCCCTGCACACACTGTACTCAGTGGCGTAGCTCACAGCTGGACCAGGACCTCTCCTGCTGTGTTTCTGACATGCACCGAACAAAACTGCTGTCTCCATGACTTTGCGGGTGGAAGATGTGTGAGGCTGTACCAGCAGCAACTCAGGAACTCGGCTTTGCTCCAGGAGAGCTCTGGAGTTTAAAGGTGTTGTTGAAAATACAAATACCTCAAGAGTTTCGTAGCTGCAAATGCCAAGGCCAGCAGCGGACGGGCTCATCGATTTGGAAGTGCAGGGGCCAGGAACCATCTGTGTGTTGGCACAGTCCTGACAACTGGTCCTGATCTTGACTGATAATTTGGGGGTGATGACAAATAATTGGTAAGTGATAACTGAAGTAAAACGACAGCAGCACTGGCATCCAACAAAACACAGCCTTTATCAAAGGGATCCTCATCCTTTCAGTTCCCCCATACTGTGTATGGGGCAGATCCCTGCCCCAGTTCTGCACTTTGCTTTCCCCACTGTAAAGCGGAGTAAATCTATAACTTGTAAAAAATAGCCTTAACCTCATAACATAAATTGAGAGAAAATCCTTGGCTTCTTATAAACACAAGACTAACATAGTATCACACACTACTGCTTACTGTTTTTATTATTGCTAGGCTATTATCAGATATTTCATGCAATAAAACCTTATTTGATTTCTATTAATATTTGATGGCCAAACAAGCAAATTCCAAAGGTCAATTTTCTTATGAAGTGCCTCACAAGAGAAGGCTAGCACCGTGTTCCTTTTGCACACAGCCTGTGACAGAGAGATCAGGTAAGTTACACGGGAGGGCGTTGTACCGCAATCTTTACAATGTTTTTGCTTTCATCAAAAGCAGCTTCACCCCTGCTCCCTTCTTGGCTCACTGTGCAGTCCTGTACGTGGGTTGTACCAGGAAGTGAGGCTGCGTGCTTCGGTGCAGTTAATTAACTACATGCTCTTCCACAAGTCATACAACTTAATACAGGAAAAAAGATGATGAAAAGGTAGCAAGAAAAGAAATACATTACAAGTGGAAAAGTTCTGCTTCAGCATGTCTGCTTGGAGGATCAGAGTCCTGGTAGCACTGTGCTTCCTGCGGCAGCCGAGAGGTACAGTACTGCTGGCTTTGTTACTTGCATTTCGCCATGCTATGGGGCTTTGCTTGGCAGAGGAAAGACACACAGAGAAGTTTTAAGCAGTGAGAGTGGGAATGACCCACATCAAGTAAAATATTCTGCTGTAAAGAAATGGCAATTCAAAATCTGTCTACAGAACACGTCTCGTTGAAGAGTAGCGATGTATTTACCTGCCTGCAAACCATTAGTGCCAGAAAGCACCCCGGCAAGCCTGCGTGCTGCATCTTGCTGTACTTGTACCAGTCTGCCTTGGGAGAACCTGGGCCTGAGTGCTGGGACCCAGTTGTGTCTGCCTCGTCTAGGGGCTCGGAGGTGGGAGCACAAGGGAGTCAGGCTGGAACTTGTGGGGTTGTAAACCAGATCGCAGGGAAATCCGATGAGACCATGGGGGAAGCTGCTAAAATTATAGAATTGGATGGGTTTCCCACACTTAGGTCCTAATTCTGAAAGCTGTTGAGATGAAGACATTTTATGAGAGATGAGGAAAACACAACTACGACACAGACATACCTGTTTCCAAAACCAGTTTACAGTTAAAAATTGAGCTGCTTAGAACAATTTTGAAATTGATCAAAAACAGGTGATATTTCCTATCCCCAGAGCCCTGCTTAATCATTACATAATTGTCCCTTTCAATTAGGTCATATTCAGCTTCCCCCTCCTCAGAATGTTACATTACTGTCAAAAGATTTTGACATGATTTTGACATGGACTCCAGGAGAAGGATCTCCACCAGATGTGGCATACACTGTGAGGTATGAAAGGTAAGTGCTTACCAAGGATGTCTCATCGAAAGTATGGCACGATGCAAAGATCTGTGGATGTACGTTTAGCAATGGCATTACTATCAGTGACCTGACTGCATTCTTTCATCAAAACCACTCCTTATCTGTCTGGAAAGTGCTCTGAACTCTGAGCAAGATTTGGTGTCTTTCCTGCAAAACACTTCCTTCTCTTGCTCTATGAAGTACAACAAATCAGCATGCTTAATATTGTGATGTTTGTTTCTTCTTTCAGCCAGGAACGCATGGACAAATGGATAAAGGTTCGTCATTGTAGAAATATCCACAGTACCTCTTGCAACCTGACTTGTGTACTTCCAAACTTCTTCATTAAATTCCGGGCTCGAGTAAAAGCTGTTTCTGGAAAACTCCAGTCGCCATGGGTAGAATCCCAGTTCAAGGAATACCTATTTGGATGGTGAGTGCCTGTTGGGTTACAGCCTGGCTGAAAGGACACCCCAACAACAGCGCTTGCTTGAGCAAATCAGTTAAACCACATACAGCAGAAAGACAGAGAATAAGAGGCAGCTTTATGAATGCCGGATTTGAGAGTGCACAAACAACAAGCCACAATGATTTGAAAATAAAGTTTGTAGCAGGTATCAGAATTTGTTTCATCGGTGCTGTAGGTAAACAAGCTGGTTTCAAGCTCTCCACAGTGGAAAGACAGCACCAGCGGGGGTATATTAAATCAATTTTTTTTAAAAAGGTATTCCTTTGCCTTCTTTCTTCCTTCATGTCCATCACAGGATATTAGCTAGAAGTTTAGATCAATCACATAAAATATTACTTCTGTGAAATTATGATGTAAGCAAGCACTATTCTTATGTCTGATTGATCATTTACAGTGGAACTGGCTCCCCCAGTGCTAAACGTGAACGTACAGGAGAACGTACTCCATGTGAATGCCACCTTCCCTTTGGCCACCTGTGTGGAGAGTTTCTCCTGGATGTATGACTTGAACCTTTGGGAAGCTGGGTCTGAAGACAAGGTCAGTACAAGTGGCATTTCTTAGATGAAGTGGAGGAACTGATGCACAGCTGAACTGAAATGGCTGCAAAATACTAGGCAGAGAGTGACTGGATCCAGGGCCTAGAGAAACTGAAATGGTCAAACCGGAGTCGAACTAAAGCCAGAGAAGAAATGAGTGCATTACAGTCAGCATTCTTATTTTATCAGTAGCTCCCTCTCTTATTCTATTCCTATTTTTATCAGAGAAAATGTGATGGTGAGGCTACACCACAGTCAGCATAATAGAGAAATATCTGAGGTTTAAAACAGCTAGTTCAGGTACTGCTAACAGTGTAGCTGTGGCAGCAAAGAACATAACCCACCTGAAATCCCACCCAAGAAACCATAAGGCCTAGGAGAGATGCTTGCTTTTTGTAGCAAGTGCCACTCCACACACCTAACCACTGGAGCCATGCAACATGATGAAGAGAATCATAGGCTCAAAAAGTAGAGAAGCAGCATCTGAATAATGAAAAAATCATCTTTCTAACCATCTGTTCTTTTTGTTTCTAAACAGAAGCAATACGAAAGTATCTTTAGGAAGAATACAGTGACTATCGACACCACTGCGCTTAGAGGCAACTACTGCTTGAGTGCCAGATCCTCCTTCCAAAGCATTGGCTTCAAGTACAGCAAATTCTCCCAACCAGTGTGCATGCTTTTAAACCGTAAAGGTATGTCCCAAGGAAGGATGTGTTAAGATGTCAAATGGGAGTAGGGCTAAGTCAAAGATTTCCATCAAATCTAGCTTTTCAACAACAACAACAAAGCCTTCCAGTTAAACAGATTGGTTGGATTTTCTGGTGAAAGGTGACTGCTTTCTATAGAAATGTTTTCGTTAAAAAATTCCACCTCTAATGTATTTCCAGAAAATCTTGAAATATTATACTCGAGTTATGGTCACGCTGAAATTTTGGGAATTTTCCAAATTTCTCCAAAAAAAAAATAAATTAATAAAGTCTCATTTTTGACCTGCTCTAAGTAAGGCACTGGCTGGTATCAACATTCATTTCTATCTGTGACTCTGGCTTAGAGGCTGGTCTTAGGCCAATCTGTTATCTTAATTTGTAAAATAAGGCTCTCGAGCCATAACATTTTCTGAGACTTCTAAAAGAAAAGCTAAGCATAAGAGCCCATTATTTAAATTTACCATCACTTTAATTTGCTTAAAATGCTATCAACTGAAAAAAAACATAGTAACATTGCTATGAAGATGATGCCAGAAGTGACCTACAGGTTCCAGCATCCAAAGCTCTGACCTTAGTGAAATAACCAGTTTCTCCTCAGAGATTATGGAGAAAATGAAGCTACTTTTGATAGCATGCTCTGGTAAAAGATTAGACTCAGCCTGTTTATGTTGAAAGAAAAAAAAAAATAACAAAGAATAAAGGAGATTATTTTGCTCTTTTTCAGCAGTGGAATGGAAGCTCCCATACTCTGCCATGATCCCCATGTTTGTCTTCGCTGTCCTTCTGGCAAGTGCCTTCATTGCCTGGCTGCTGAAACAAGACGCGAAGCACAAGAAGCTGCCTCGTGCTTTGGTACGGCCCAGAGGCTGGGCTGCCGCCCGACTTGATGTCTGGCTGATTTTCGGAGGGTGGCTGGGGAGGAGTGGAGGAGCTGCACGTGTGCCACATTTCTCAGTTCTGCATTCAGACATACCTGTTATAAGGCAGCTTTGGTTCTGGCATCTCCTATGTCCAAACTTCTCTTTAAAAAGCAGCCACCAACTCTCTGATCTGTCTTGTTTCTTTTCCCTGGTAGGATTTATCTAATTTTAAAGTTGCTGGACCACCCTTTCACTGTGAGCTCCGTGAGGAGTTCCTCGTGGATTCTCTGACCTGCACAGAGCAGCCAGTGTCACAAGGGAAGAAAAACAGAACGTCACCAAGAAACAACCCATCATGTGTGGCTTCCCTCCTGTCGTCATCGTCATCAGAAGAGGAGGAGGAAGATGAAGAAGACAGCAGGACTTTCATCCCATACACTGAAATGCGTCACTTTCCAAAGCGATGTCTGAAGTACCAGGCGTCCAGAACTGCTGGGCCAGAAACAGGCACGGGCTCCACATCTGGCGGCCTCTCTGTGGACAGCGGATCTGTGCTGGACTTCACTGGCCTCGGGTTTCTCTTTCTTTCCAGTGAGACAGAATGAAGTGGACACCTCAGGATCCCATGGAAGTGAACAGGCATCCCTTCCTCACAGCTCCTCTTTGGGAAGAATATCCCTCACCGACGTGAGATTCCCAGGTCCCGAGGAACATGAACAGCACGATACAGACCCGGAGGACTGCCTGGAAATGCCCCCCCTCCAAATACCGCTGAACAGGATTTGTGCCAGCCTTCCAGCGGACGAGCACTGCCTGCACAGGAAGCATCAGCACGTCACCACGTGTCACCAGGAACCACTAACTGATCTGCCCGTCCACGTCAGGGAGAAGTCACAGCTCAGTGTGGATCCCAGCATGGAGCAACTCATCTGCTTTCAGACCTTACAGGTGGCAGAAGATGAAGGTATTGCAAGTGACTGTGACAGCGATCATTTTATAGAAGGGACACCTCCTGCATCCACAGTACTAAGTGATGCATTTGGAACTTCAAATATGGAGGGAAAATATAATCAGGAGTTTAAATTAAAAGGCTATCAGCACACACATTACATGGGAAGAAGCTAGAGTACCCTTGAAGTTCTGTGGTGTGCCTGGAAAGTGGTAGAGAGCTCCAGATACCTGGGCAAGGGTACCTAGACAAGAGCAAGGACAAATAACTGTCAGTGCTGTGCTTATTTATTTATTTATTTATTTGTCTACACAGAGTTTTTTCTATTGATGTCCGGCCTATCAAGGATACGGCTTTAGGGACAGAGGAGGTGTGTTTTTACTGCAATGTAACTAATGGACATTCCCCGTGCCTCTGTACAATACAGATGTGAGACAGCATTGAAACCACGGCACAAGGCAGGCTGTCTGAACCCAGCCCGGGTGAGGCATGTGTGGTACCTCGTGGAGCTATCACACAGCTAACACACAGCGCCCTGTGCTCACTTGAGAGCAAGATAACTTTTACATGTGAGTTATGAAAGGCAAAAACGTTTCTGAGATGGCAAAAACATAACCCTGTGTGAAACCATCCGGTGGGTTCTGAAAATGCAGCGTGTTGTGCCCGCATGTTGGTTTGAACCAGGATTGAAAACACCGAACATCACATTTGCTTCTGTATAATGGCAAAACTGCACTCCTGCTTGGCTGGAAGCACCTTACAGAGACATTTAGCAACCTTTGCTCTTTATGGGATGAAAAGATCTCCCTCTCAATCTACAGAGATCACCTTCTGTGTTTCAGTGGAGTGAACTGAAGTCAAAGTGAGAAATGTGCAGCATGTTTGTTTATTTATTTTGCTTTTTTATACAAATGTATATATATGTACTGATTGGCCCTGCTGTGCAGAATGAGAGCTGCTGCATGCAGAGGAAATAATATTTTCATAGATAACTCTGTGTGTGTGTGTGTTTATGTTTCCCAGAACTGCAAAGGGTGACTGCAGCTCATCTTAAAAAGCATATTTGAAGCAGGTCCCCATCATGGGCGTCCCATTTCTACTGCTTTTGTACGAGTGAAGTTCTGTGAAACTTCTTGGCCAGGTCTCCGTCTGGGTCACTGAACGACCAGGAGCGTGGCTGTCTCTGTAAGCAAAGAATCAAATTGGAAGTCCACCTACAAAAGTCACAGGAGGGACAGGACCACTCCTGACATTGATACTGACTTTTGCAGAGTATTTTTCATGTGCACCCTTCACATCCCACAGAAACATATTTTCCCATTTTTTTCCCCAGTAAAAGGAGGAAAACAAAGCATTTACAGAAAGAGGGAGTCACACAATAGCCATTCCCTGCATTCAGAGAGAGTTGTCTCAGATGAGGGAAGGGTGTTGATTGGGGCTATTAATATTGACATCTTTAGAGAATTGGGAGAACAACACCAGAAAGAGGTAGGGGGTTATATGAGGTGTTGGGTACTGCTTTGAAGGGGAAAGCAAGACACACTAAGATCCCAAATTAAAAATAAAAAGGGAGGTGGTAGAAAAGATTAATCAACCAGAATTCTCCTTTTTTTTCTTAACCCGTTTCTCCCAGAGTATCCTTAGGTACATCCTGTACTGTAATGCCTCCTGTCAATTTAGAAAGAGATAGATCATCCAAATATAATTACCACCCATTTTCTTGTGCAATCAAGAAAACCCCCTAGGCTTTGGTTTCCAGGAAGCTCAGAAGTTGTGTAACCTCTACAAAATGATTTGGACATGTCACAGCTCTGCGAACAGGGCCCGTGACCAGTTCTTGGTCTTGTCCAGGTCTTCTCAGGATGGAAGCTGGGGAGAAGGCTGCAGGCAGGAGAGCTGTACTGGTGGGGGCAGCATCCCACTCCTAGAGCTTTCGCCAGGACTTGAGACCTGCTTTCCACTGGAAAGGGACGAGGGGCAGCCAGAGCTGCCTCTGCTCGAGCAGTCATTCCGTATCCTCCATCCTGCTTAGTGCCTGTAGCTGTGTGACGAGGAAAGCTCTCCATTCTCATCAAGAGACATGATCCAGTCCTCCAAAAATCTGGCCATTGCTCATCTAAGCAGCCACTAAAACTAACTGTAGGTCTACAACTGCCTCTGAGAAAAGCTATGAAGCAACTGGGGTCAGATATGCTCCTGCTGCAGAAAGGTGACCTCCCCTTTCCTATGCCACGTGAAGAACCTCTGCAGCCACCTGGCAGTGCGCAGGCCCTGGCACACCTGAGGAGCTTGTGCTCTGCCCAGGGCTGAGCGTTAGTCAGTTGGCTCCCACCCATGCCCAGCACGAACAATAGAAGAGCTTAAAAACTAATGATCTGCCCGACTCTCATCTTAACAAAATACCCAAAGGTATTTCTTGAGGAAATAGGTGTGTTTTTTGCAGCAGTTATCAAATCAGCTACGAGCACGGCACTAAATATTAACTTCTAGAGTTCCAAACAGTCAAAGCTATCCAACCAGAAAAGCAAACCCCAAAACTGAGAAACCTCAGTGAGGGCTTTTAGGCAGGAAGCTCTTTATCAGGAAAATGGCATTTGGCTCTCTTTCAAGAAAAACCCGGGGATTTTCTAAGCCTCTGGCTCGTGCACCTTTGTACAGTTAGGTGTGTATGCTCAGAGGGGGTGAGGTGTTCCTGTTGTCACTCTGCTGTTCTCTCTCCTGTGCTTACACATGCGCACAGGTCTTCAGCTGGTGATCTCAGATGGGAATGCAGGCGGGATAGCAGCTCCGCAGCCTGTTACTGGGCAACAAATCCAACTCAGCCTCACAAGCAAGAATTTAGTTGTTGTAAAAGGTGATTCATCTGCACACAGGATCCACTGCCTGCTCTCCCAGCCCGGCTTGCTTAGCTATTCATGAAGAAATTTCTGATCGTCTTGGCTGTGTGTTCAGTGGTCGGTAAGTTCTGACTTCTTTCCTATCACTGACCGCGGTGTTTCAGTTTGGGCATGTAGTATGGGAAGCAGCTCAGTCATTTGTCCTGAAACAAGACCTAGAGAATGAGCAGTTGTTTGGGGTTGTTCAAAAGCTCTCTCCTTTTAATATTTTCAAAGTATTGTTGGAGTGCTCAGTGCTTGAAGGATTAGTAGGGAGAAGAAATGATTCCCTCAATCCAAAGTGTTTGCCACTGGCTTAATGCAACCCAAATCCTACAGGAGTAAAGGATATTCTCTGACTTCAGGGGATTTTGGATCACCCCCTGTGTCTTACGCAGATGCACACAATCAGCCCTAATTTTAAAAGGGGTACAAACAAATAATATATCCCTAAAAGCCATTCAATCCTAAATCAAATGTGGCAAACCCACTCCTGGGTGAATCAAGCATAAACTTGCTATGTTTTCGAATGACAGCTTCTCAGCAGGGAACCTTAGCATTCATCTGCTTCTGCTTTGCTTTTCTGAGTATGTGTCTATGACCTTACACAGTAGGGAAGGTGCCTACAGAAACTTCTGAAGCAGGGGGACTTTCACACCGAAATATCGTGGCTCTTCCTGCCCACGCTGATTGTGCTTGTGTTACACTGGTTTGCATAACCATGTTTTAGTATGGATAAATGTGGGAAGATGGAGATTTCCTACATCTGATACGATCGGGGTACCGGTGACTCGGTCTCAAGGTGATCAGACAGGGAAACCCACCCGCTTTGTGCTGCCAAAGGAGGAGGCTGTGCTCAGCTAGCGTTTGGAGTAGACCTGAGCCTATTTCTGTGTTGCTTCCCTGCCAAAATGACTTACCCAACAAGACTGATAACTGGATCTGTGTCTTTCTGACTAATTCTCCTCCCGTACAGCACAATAGGTCAAACTGCTGCCACACAGTTCTCCATGGAAGCAGCTGGAGGGAAAGCTTGGGGAAGATCCAGGGACTGGATCAGATTCTGAAGGTTATTGCCCAAGGTGCTGTGAATCAGCCTTGAGGAAATGTGGCACCGTGTGTTCTGCTTACAGGAGGGACCCCAAAGTCTCCAGGACACTGCAGCAGCTGCTCATAGCCCGGTGCTGCAGGCGGATCACGGTGGCGTTCTGCTCTGCCAAGGGCATGTTTGCCAGGGCAAGGGACATTTCAGCTTCGTAAATCTAGAGCCCATCCTCTGTGGGAAGAGGCAGGCAACTTGGTCTGCAGGGAGCTGGGAGCTGTTTGCCCTTACCCTGGCACACCCAGATCAGAGTCCAGGTCTCAGGTCTGTCGAGTGTCGCTCTGCACAGGCAGTCTCCATCCCATAAAACATGGACCATGAGCGGCTAATGGCCATCGCCTCTGCAGTGATGTGAGACTGATCCAAACACACTACTTCCCTGAGTCTGGGCAGAAGTGGTGGCATTCACAGATTTGAATCTAGCTTGGAAACAGGTTATTGTTCCTAGTTTTCCAGCCATTTAACTGCTTTAAAAGAAACCTGATAAGAAAATCCTGGATTCTCTTTCTGAGTCTTAGTTTTTGAGGCCCTTCTGTAAAAATTCCTGACACAGATTCCTTTGGGATGAGCCAACAATCTGCAAAGCCTACATGGTGATGTGTGCGTGATCTGAGTTCCTGTTTTGTTCAAGCTTCTGCTCTGCAGCCCCTCTCTAGTGACCTGGAAGTGGTGTGCCTGCTGTTCAGCCTGCAGAAGGGAAGGCTCCAGGGTCCTCAGTGTGACCTTTCAGCACTTAAAGGGCACTTATAAAAAAGATGGAGAGCGACTCTTTGCTCAATCAGATAATGGCTGGACAAAGGAGAATGGTTTTAAACTAAAAGATGGGAGATTTAGACCAGAGATTAGGAGGAAATTCTTCACTCAGAGGGCAGTGAGGCACTGGAACAGGTTTCCCAGAGAGGTTGTGGCTGCCCCATCCCTGGAGGTGTTCAAGGCCAGGTTGGATGAGGCCCTGGGCAACCTGATCTAGTGGGTGGCATCCCTGCCCATGGCAGGGGGGTTGGAACTGGATGACCTTTGAGGTCCCTTCCAACCCAAGACATTCTGTGATATGATTCTGTTCACCAAACGGCTGAGCAGTGCTGGATCCATGCTCACCTGAGGGCTGAGATGCCAGAATATGCATTTTAATACCAGTTTCTTTGCTACCCTAGGCATTGCGACTACAGAGAGGTCATCATGTCTGAAACGTGCAGCATTTTCTTCTACAAACTTTGAGAACATCCTGACATGGGAAACTGAAGCAGATATTCCCCCTGGCACCGTATATGATGTCCAGTATAAGCAGTATGTGAAATTTGCTTCTTTTTGGAATTCTGTTGTTCTTGCGGCCACTGTTCTGAGTAGATTTTGCTGTTTCTGCTGCTTGTCTTGCTTTCATGGAAATGGTTCTGCTTAGGCAAGAACTCAGTAAAGGACAGGATTATTTAAACTGGTGGATGATGCTTAGTTAAGCAAATACTTTTACGCCCGTTTTACTCCATTACAGAGCTTTGTCTTCAGCAACTTACTTCTCTCTATTCTGCAGTTTCCTCACCTGTAAATACAGGTAATAGCAATTGCCTTCCTCCAGGTCAGTCACTAGAGCTAAAAGAAATCAGACCAGTGCTACACAATAGCTTTGTTGCATTTGGGTAGTTTGCGAAGTCAGCAATGAATTTGCATGCAGTCATTCAGTGCCAGACCGAGCAAAAAACCCCGGAGTCACCAACTGCGGGACGCTCTTGTGTGTGCCTTGAAAGGAGCTGCACTTCCTCAAAGCCTTATCCACACAGAAACACCAGTGGGAATGGATTAAGGGCTATAGGCCAGGGGAGGTTTCTCTGCCATTTCATTCCCAGCCACTTGTTAATCGCAATAATTAATTTAAAAACTACTAGTAGTTGGCCAAGCAGCCTGTCTGGATCATTCCGGAGGATTGTACTGCATCTGCTATACCAATCAGACTAAAAACTATTTTGTCCTGTCTAAGGTATGGAGAGAAAGCCTGGCTTAACAAGCGTGAGTGCCAGAACATCACACAGCCCTTCTGCAATCTCACTCGTGAAACAGAAAACTTCACCGAGCACTACTACGCCAGGGTGAGGGCCACTGGCCAGAACTACTGCTCCTCCAGCTGGGTGCGCTCAGAAAGATTTGAACCCAGAAAAGAGAGTACGTACCTCTGCTGAAATCCACTACATCCTGCTTGCTGGGGATTCATCTCTAGTCTCACTGATGTTTAGGACAGTGTTTCCTCTAATTTTAGTATTGCGAGACTCTGTGCTTGCTAGGATGGGAGTGAAAGCTTTCCAGTCCTGAAGAAGGCTTGCTGTTGGGCAAAGAGACAAGTGAGCAAATGGGCAGGGCCAGCCCTGAGGTCTGACGCAGAGTGCAATTAGAGAAGGGGAAAAGCCAAATGTGCTAGAAGGAAGAACTGCTTTTAAGGTTGAAGACAGGCAGGAACTTAGTAAGAGACGTGATGGGCAACCTAAGGACAGCCAGTAATGCAGCCATAGGAGCTAGGAAATGTGAACTCCAGCACGCCGGGGTAAGCAGCCAGACCAACTGATGCTCGGTGCTCCCAGCCCCAAGTGAGCTGCACCACAAACACCACACCCTCTGGACGTCCGCTTGCTTGCTCTGTGTACTGAATACTTGTCAAGAATAATTCAGGGTGGCATTAGCAGTCAGTGGCTATGAAGAGCCTTCAGATCTTTGCGTGAAATAAGCCATGAAAGAGCCACGTAGTTGCTTTGATCACGAATCATTCTCATTGCAGCATAGGCTTTAATGCTCCTCATGAGGTGACCCTATTCCCCAAAGCCATTCTTTTGACTATTTTAAGCTACATGTCCTTGAAGGAGTACTGAGTGCTGCTTCTACATATGGATTGTGCTAAACCTCTGTGTTCTGCATTGTGCATATCCTTCACTAAAGATAAGTTTCAATATCCAAGACCTGAACTGCTCTAAAGGCAAAATCTGAAGTAGGATGGGAATAGGAACGTAGGTAGCAGTTAGCTGAGTGCCCTGTGGTGGGATTCCACACTCAGCTCAGCACAAACACATGAGGGAGGATGCTTCTGTGCAGGAAAAGGAACCAACACAGAAACAGTGAGAGCAGGGTCCTAAGGAAAAGCCTGAGGAAGGAATTTCTAGAGACAAACACTGGCTAAACGGGGCAGAACCCTGAGGAAAGGCATTAACCCCCTTTTCCTGATTTTTCTGTGGTCAACAAAATGCAGCCCAAATGCTTTTTTGATTATACACAGGCATAATCATTTACAGTCAGTCTGCTGTGTGCATAAGATGTGTATAAAACACTCTGATAACGTATTAGCTTTAATCCTAACAATTGACACTTCCTGTTCTGTCTTTTCCAGCTGTTATTGGAGCACCAGAATTAGAGTATATTCCTTATGTACGGTCCATAAAGTTTCTTATACGCCCCCCCTATACTCCGCTGAGAGGTGAGGATGGCCACCAGCTAACCATAGAGGACATTTATAGCAAATTTGGTCCTGTTGATTATCACTTAACACTGTTCAACCAACGGACACACCAAAAGGTAAGGTACAACCTCAGGCCACTAGCCACTGACTTTTGTAAATCACATTTTGCATAAGGTGGAGAAGGACGTCAGAACTGGTACATGATAGAGGAGGTTTCTGATGCACAAGGGAAAGAAACTGTGTCTTTGACTTTCAGCAGACAAGAGGAACTTTAAGCATTCCTCTAAAATTTTGGAAATGAAACTAAAGTCGACCAAATTACAGTATCAGTAACAAAAAGTAAAGCTGACCGTGACAGAAAAATAAAGTGACATAGTTCAAGTATGAATGAAGTGAAATGCAAAAATTAAATGCAATAATAGTAGAAAGGAAATTGTGTATTTAGAATTCCATATATACAGAATTATTACGGTCCTGTAGCACGCTATTAGTAACTTAAATATGCTGAATTCTGCAATCTGAGTTGAGGAAATTGTATGTATTTTATCCTTCTAAAATGTAGCATTTTTCTTTATTTTAAATAGTGGATAAAGAATGAGCACAACAAAGAATTTGAAGTTATCAACTTGGACCCAGACACGGAGTATAATGGAACAGTGTACATACACCTCCGTGAGAGAAGCAGCAAATCCCAAGTATTTTGGGTGAAAACTCTACCAGGTGAGGCTGTTAATTCTGCTCAGCTGAAAGTCTACCTAGGCTATTGGGTGCACAAAAGAGGCCAGTTTTTAGCTGGTGCTAAATATCATGTCTTTACTAAACATTCTGAAGCAATGCAAAGTTTCCTAATTTAAAAATCGAGTCCTATGAGATCATTTAGATGATGCCATGCATTTTTTCCAACCCAATGCTCTGAAGCTACATTTTCACTTTGTTCTTTTCCTCACTAACCAGACACCACTTGGCTTCTCTACTGCTTTGTTGCACTCGGATTCTGTGCCGGGCTGGTGTTTGCTGCAATTAGCTACGTGATCTATAAATACGTCAAGCAGCACAGTGCACAGCCAATGTCTTTGGTAAGTGTTCTTAAACCATTGCAGCAGAACTTTAAACCACTCAGGACCATGCAAATGCACCTGAAAACAGCACTAACTGAGGAGGATGAATGTGCATGCGAGGGCATTGTCTAGGCATTCACTGCAGACTGCTGGCAGTTTTAATTTGGTCATCCTTACACACACAGAGAAAATTTCTTGTGGGGAGTTGTAATGTAAGACACCAAAGATGCCTGCAGATTTGAAGGATCTTGGTTATTCTAACAAATGAAATAAATTGTTTATATTGTTCCTAAAGAAGAGCAAGGCTTTTAATTTTTTAAGAATCTAAAGCAAAGTCGCAGACTTCTTGTTAATAGCTCATGTTTGTCTGTCTATTTCAACAGGACTTCAGAGGGATTTCATCATTCCAGCCTCTCACACTGACGGTGGAGCATATTATAAAGCCCATCAATTTATCCAAACCTTCGCTTCTCATCCCTGAAGTGCAGTTAGCGCAGATCAGCCAGCATCTGGACAGAGCCCTGGAGCCACCACGACCTCTGTGCCCACCAGAAGCTACCTACCAGCAGCAGGCTGACGTGCAGGCGTCCCAGCTGCCTGCTGAGCCACCCTGCCCGGCAAGCACAAGTCCTGCTTACGCTCCCCAGAGAGCCGAGCAAAGCGTCTCCAGCCTCCCCCTGACCTACGGGGTGTGTGTCGATGGCACGGACCATGTTGACAAGAACAGTTTGCACCCAAAGCAGGTGCTAAAGGAAGTTTCTCCAGATAGCTTTGCTGCTGTGAAGCTTGTAAACCAGGTGCTGGGCAAAAGCTGCAGCCACTGGAGTTATAAAGAACAGAGGCCAAACGTGGCCCTGTGGGGCAGCAGTGACGCGGGGGAGCCAGCTCTCATGCAGCAGAGCCCTGGGCAAATGCAGCAGCTGCTGTTGCAGACTGATGGGACTGAAAATAAAGTGCACGCACCCCAGCTGGCGCTGTCTTTGGTGGGACAAGGAGGATGCTATAGACAGCAGACAGCAGAACTGCCGCTGTTGTTGTCTTCGGTTACGGTTGATGGGGACCAGGTTTCAGAGGACGAATCTCTGCCATCTCCATCAGCAGCTCTCCTCCTCTCGGTCAGCACTGGCAACAGCTTCCCTGGGGAGAGCAACATGGAGTGGTGGATGTCATCAGGTTCAGTGTCACATCCTGAAAATAAATTTTACTTCCTAGAAACTCAAGAAACACAGAAGTTAACAGCAGCAAAGGATCTTAGCTGCACTAAACTGGATAATGTTCTGTCCCAGGACACTATCTCAGACCGGGGCAATGGCTTTTCTCTCACTACACTGTTCAAAGACCTGAACCTGAAAGTACTGTGGGATCAAGAAGATGAAAACGCAGAATTTTATTAAGAAAAGTTAATAATATCAAAATCCAGATTCTGTTTGCTTACATAACATAGTAACATATCCTGAAAACAGTACAAGGCAAATAAACATAGCTAATCTCGGATGTATTGTAACAGGGCACTGAGCTGTTCCCACTATTGTTCTCTCATGGGCTCTGGTACCTCACTAATATTATTACTCCCTGGTATGCTATGATACTGTATCTTAGCACTTAATTAGTACATCTTCACTCTGTGGATATTCTTCAGACCGGTTATGAATTGGACTACTTTCAAGCTGAGCTAGGATTCAAGTTCAAATTCCAGATTCAGTTTCCTGAAATCTTGGCTAAGTTCACAATAGAAAATGTATTTGTTCTTTACCAACACCAAACAGCCAGGTCCAAAATATGTCCATGCTTTGAAGAAATTAAAGTGCAGATGTATGCAAAGCTAAAAGAATTAAAACAATGTGGTACAGTAAAAAAATGAAATATATATTTGTGTTCTACCCTTGTATATACATGTATGATTCTTGCAAAGCTACTTCCATAGAATGGACTTTGCCTTTAAAGCAGTCATTGAAACTGTGGTAATAGCTCCTGATGCAGCAGTTCTGAGAAACTAAATGCCCTCTATTCTGCTCTTTAATGATTGTAGAAAGATGAAAACTTTCATCTGTACAGCAAAATGATGCAGTCTTGGCCCAGCCCTGACATATTTTTCAACTGCTGCTGCTTTCTTTCTCATGAAATAGTCACCCATTCTCTTCTTCCTTAGAAATCCCCAGGGACAAAGCAGCGAGGCTCACACTCCACATAGGCAGGAACACAAGGATTTACACCAGTCTCAGTTCAGCCCCATGAACCCTGAATGAATACTGAGTGCATCACTCTCTGTAATCTACCACGGAGACCAGGGAGGTGTTGAGCTGCTTCCTCCCATCCTTCCCTGGCACTACCAGCGAGGAACATGCTCCGTGTGAATGATGGAGAGGAATCTACAACTGCAGAGGTCTCCTCTACCTCTGTTACCAGCACAGCCACCTCTAGGGCTGAAATGAAGTGAAACCAACATAAGCTGACAGCCAAATTCCTTTAGGGCTGCAGCTTTGCCAAAAGCAAGCTAAATGGTATTTACCTGGGGGACAAAGATGGCAATTGTTTTTCATTAAGAGGAGAGTGCAGTTCAACCTGTCGATTTCCACTGGTGCAGTGAATAAGTGCACGTGTCTGATGACCTCAGGTTTTCACAACTGAAACCACATGTAAGAATAAGCCAGGTTTTGAATAGCATGGGGAAGTACTCACTGGAAGCACTCCCTGAGCACTGACCAGAAGCAAAAACTCAGCTGTTCTCACCACGAGTGCACTTAGGTGTTTTCTCAGTCTGGGGAAGCTGAGGCCAAAGGTTAAATTCCACTTTCTTGGTATGATTTTGCAAATAAACTGTAGCTTTATGAAGTAAAGGGGTTTTGATGATTCAACCCAGGATTAAAGAACTAACCGTAAGAATGCCAAACTTCACAGGTAAAGATTCAGGCCCTAACTCCAGCATCAGTAACAAACAAAGCACTGTGGCCATGTCATATGAGGCCAAGAGATGAAATGAGGGATGTGGTAAGAGACACGTAGCAGTTGCAGGAGTTGCAGCAGCCCAGCTCTGTGGCTTCCAGGCCATGCGAGGCCCATGGTACCGTCCTGTCCCGCTAACTGCCCCCTGGAGAGGCGGCATTTCAAGGCCGTGATGCCAGGGCCTTTATTCAGGGTTGCCGTAGGCTACGTATCCTGTGTCAACAACATTCCCAGTGATGCTACTCAGGGAATAACCAAATGCCACAACGCCAATATTTTGGCTCGTGTTGTGAAACCCAATCCTTGGTGCAGCGTCAGTATGGGCAGCACAGTGTGGAAACGAAGGGGGCCTTAGAGCATTTGAAGATACTGCTAAAAAATACAGTATTTGTTACTTAACAACCTTCTCCAATCTCTCTGCGGCCCCCACCACAGGACCTGATCATGTCACAGCCCTTAACAAACGTGTCATTTTGGTGCCTCAAGAGGAGACATGCAGCTAAGGCAGTGAAACCTAGGACTGGAGTTTTAGACTTAATGTAGGTGCCTAAATATGCAAAGCATGCCACAGCAGGATGTCAGTCTCTTCTTCAGGCACTTAAATACCTTAAAAGCTCCATTGCCTTTGACTATACAAGTTGATAAAGGCTGCGTATGGCAGAATGGTCTAAAGCCTCACAGCCTAGCTCTCTCCTGTCCTCATCTGTTCTACCCCTACAGCATGAGCAAGGAATGTGGTCAAGAGAGGCACTGTCTGCACCATGTCGTAAGGAGGTGACCTCCTACAGCAATATTCTCAACTTCCTGCCATGACCATGGCTACGTCAATATTTATCTTTTAGGCCTTGCTGTACTAAGCAGGAGGAGATTGCTTCTTGTCTCATGAGTCACCTCTTGGTTTTAAGAGGAAGATCATATTTTCTAAAACCATTTCTTTTTGGAAAAGCTTGGAAAAAGATGTTGATGCTATTTAGCTTTACTGCAGCTGCACAAGCAAAGTGCTCATCCATCCCCCACCAACACACACTGACCTTATTGCCTTCCACTTCACTGCTTTTCATAATCAAATTGATGGCCTTGTTTGTTTCAAAGTGCATCGCAGCAAACAGCTATAGCAGGATCTAATTATCTCCCTCTCATTCGGTGTAAGAACATTTCCAGATAAGCAGCATGATTTCAACATTGTCTCAAAGGTCATCCCGTGCAAGCCATCTGTACCAACCAAGAGACTGCTCCTCATTCATCTTGACGTTTCCAGACAGCGGTGCTGATAGCCCGAGATAACAAAACAGAGAACTGCCTTAGGACAAAGACCGTGCCTGCTCCTAGGCAGATGTCACGATGATGACAGGTGAGCGCTGCAGCTCCAGTTGTCACAAGGACATCGGCGCAGCAGGTGGCTGCTGTAACCCTAGAGCCACGCGTTGCTCTTTGTCTTCTCAGCTAAATCTGGGAGCTGTCACTTTGCCGTTCCCCAAGCCCTGCTCGTAGCTCGCCGGGGAGCTTGCACATGGGCAAACGCGTCGCTGCGGGGTGAGGCTCGCTTTTTCCCCTGTTACCTGTTTTGGCTTTTGGGGCTGTACTGGTGGAAGACCATCTGAAATCATGGGTGATTTTTTAACATGTTCTTTGAGGAAAACCTTGCTGAAGGAACAAATGGGGAGCTCCGCATTCTGGAGACGGGATGAAGCAGAGTTGAGGGGCAGCTTTCAAAGCACCGGGACCCCGACAGAGCAGACTTTACAGCTTGTTTCCAGCATCACGGTGGCCACGCAGTCCTGCTGCTGGAGATGGGAGGTACGGTGCAGCAGAACTGCGTGAAGGAGCCTGCACCACAGATGGATCTCGGTGCTAAGCAGTGGCCTTATGCTTGCACATTCAGAGGATGAAAGACATCCATGCATGTCTTTTCAGACTGAGACAATGAGAGAAGTGAGACATGAAGACAAGAGATTTTTCTAAGAAAAAGGTAACAAAGTGGTCAAAGGTTTGAAACAGCTTCCATATGAGGAGAGCATGACCGGTCTTTTCTCCTTAAAACACATAACAGAGGGTTGATATGACAAGGATGAAAGAAATTATTAATGTTAAGCAGAACAGGCCATAATTACCCATTTCTTCTCATAATACCAAATTCAGGAAAGCTCCCAAATGGCCATGCAATGGTTAAAAACCAATGAGAAAAGTGTTCCTTCGTTTTGACAGCTTCGTTTATATCAAAATGTGCTCAGCTGTTCCTGCCCAGGAATATCTGTTTACTGCTTTATTTGGATGTCTGAGGCAGCCACCAAATAAACTTTTCCCACAGAAGCCCTTGTTCCAGTGCCAATCCTGCTGGAGTTCAGCTTTGCTTCCTTTGGATGGTGAAGCAAACACAGGTGGATCCTACTGATACAATCAGGGTGACTCAAAACCTTGCCAGATGTGATGTTGGGACTCGTTTCCACAAAGTCTTGTGAAGACCAGAATCATTACACTAATTAACAGGGATGGGTCTATTAGCAGCAATAAAGCACGGTGGGTGCTCAGCTCAGAAAAAGCTACAGGCCTCTGTCAAGAGACAGGGCATTGGGCTGAACAGACCTGTACACCCTGTACAGCAATGTTATTTTTTACAGATCCTCTTTACTGTGATTCTGTGATTCTGGCCACTCGGCAAAGCCCACTGCTGGTGCACTGCCCTCTCATCTAATCCGACGCAGAACACCTGGCTAACAAACTGGCACTGCAAGCCTTCCTTTCTCCTGATATCACAGAAAATACCACCCGCTGCTCACATTGCTGAGAAGGGTTTATTCCAACTGCTGAAACTGCAAGCCGATCATAAACACGTGGAAAAGCAGCAGCCTCTGTTCTTTTACCCTACTCCAGCCTCCCAGATACTGCCGTGGGCAGCTGGATGTGTAAGCTCACTGTTGTGGTAGCATTGAGCCCTCCTTTGCCTGTAAAAAGGAACATAAAATAATCACAGCCAACCTAAACACATGAACTGTTGTTAGCTCTGATCTAATTATACACTGACATAATTTGCCTGCAGTTGGCATTCGCTAAAGTGATGTCAAAATAAATGATTTCAGTCCATTACGCAGCAATGGCAATGTTGACCCAAGGGAAAATCCTGGAGGAGGTTAAAACATTCATTATTCATTTTAGCTGCTTCATGAATGTCTATCCTAAGGAAGCAGAGGATAATACAATGCTCTGATGCCTGAATTTTGGAGGCACCTGTCTTTCCTTATACTATTTGGCAATGGCAATTATTTGGCCAAACAAAAAAGAGTTCGTGATTAGTTGTCACTGCAGTGCACGGCTCAAGCAGTGTAACCCCCGCATGGGTCTCCCCATTGTCACTGCGATGGCATGGTAGGATGCTATATTTAAGGCTCGAGGATGGGCACTCAAACATGGGGAACATTCTTTTGGGGAGAGTCATTCTTAGTGTCGTCAACAGGGAAAAGGAAACGCTCCTTTGTCCTTTCTCTTGCATGAGGACAGGCACTCTCACTGTAGTCTTCACAGGGTGAGTTTGTTTATCTGTAAATAAGCTACTGTTTATAGCAAGATTTTAAAAGATCTTTATAGCAGCATCAGCTATTTTGTATGATCACTTTGTTTGTATTGCACCTCAGAGACAGACTGTGCTTTGTGATTGTATCTGCTTTAGAGTGTCTTTACTGTTTTTTCAGTGTTGTTCTTATGAAAATATTTTTTTTTTCTCACAAGTGTCTATTCTGTTTATTGATCTGTTCAGAAAAAAATGCATACATTTGGATTGAAAAGTGTAAGCTTTTGTAGATCAGAACTCTGTATCTTCGTAACAAACACCAGCTTATAGAGCACTGAAAATTTTCCAGGGAATAATTGAATGTAGTGTATATTAATCATGATTTTGGAACAGTAACTATTCATGAACGTAGAAACAGAGACCTGATGCTCAGTAGTCATTGTACAGCTGCAATAGTCGGAAGAGAGTAGTATTCTAGGAAATTAAAAAGATATTTTTTCCACACAGATGTTTTATTTTCACTTTTTATATTTGCAAATGCTTCTTTGTTTCATCCAAAGTTAGCATCTACTGAGGAAATCTGTATTTTCATATGCATTTGGGAATATTTTGCATTTACCATAACTCTGCTTTTCCATACAACTCTGCTTTTCCATGGACAGTTTCTATGCGATTTGTTTACATTAACAGAAAATCACACTCCTGGAAAAAGTTGTCAGGGGTGTATTTTTAATTGTTTAAGGGTTAGAAAGCAATAAAACTTAAATATATTGAAAAATTTGTCAAGAGAAAATTTCAACAATAGAGCGTGAGCAAAGGAAAGATTTACAAGTATGTTTGAATGAATATTATTCAGCAATGATTACACTTCCAAAGAGCCAATGTGCTTTCATAAAGTAACATAAGCTCCTAGAACTTGAAAATCTGTGCAGTTTACAGAATGTGCTGTTGATTTCCAAACCTCTTGCAAGACATAAGGAGGTACGGGGGAATACCCTGTTAAAAATCACTTCTGATTAATGCCCACTCATTCTCCAGTGCCTAAAAGCAGTACACTTTATTCCCAGAAGGGGGGCTGCAGCAACAGCACGGTCCTTTAGCAGCTAATGCTGGAGGTGGAAGGCAGCCAAGAGCTGCTGCTTGCTCCCCACGTTTCACCTGCAAGAGGGGGATCTCTCTGGGCAGGCTTCTCCGCTCCCGCTGGGGAGGGTCCTGCTGTTTACTGAGCAACTCCGTTACGGCTAGTGTTTGAAGGATGCTAGCTCTCTTCACAATTTACCAACTTTTTACAAGACCTAAGAAGAATCAGGAGGCACTCAGAGGACTGGATAAAGCATTATCCCATGGAAGTATTGACTGGAACTGCCAGCAGCTTAAGATACACAGATGGGATATTTGGAGTGAAGAATTGCTCTGTGTCTGCAAAAGATCAGTTTCAGAAAACCCACTTGAATTTTCCAGTTGTCACAGACACCAAGCAATTCCCACACAGCAGCCTGTGATGGAGCAGTGCTGCCTTACCCAACCCCTGGCACATCCAGGCAAGGTCAGAACATGGTGCAACTGCAATCTGGATGTCAGGTCACAGGCTATCTGGCATCGGATACCCCTGTAATAGTTTCTAGACTGAAAATCTGCTTATTTTCTAAACTTTTCCTCTGTATCTCACTATCTAATGTCCCATATCTTATTTTATCCCTGATCTTCTATGTCCCTCTGATCTCCCTTCTCATGATGCTCCTCATTTGCCTGCATGCTATATTGGGGGTCTGATCTAATGGAACACCCTGGAAGATCCAGCAGCTTTAGAGCATCAGCCTTTGGAAAACAAATCTGCCCATAAAATGTTGCCTGCCTTCTGTTCTGTTACAACCTCAGCTGCCTATAAAGACTTATTAATTTGATCATCTGATTCCATTTTTCACTGAACCATCACAAAACAAACTTCTTTCATAGTTCAAATGCCAGAAGGTAGTATTACATGAACTTTCTTTCATGGCCCTTGAACATCAAAGCAAAGCAAGGATTTAGCGGTAACTGAAAGCAATACTGTTAAGCTTTGAAAGCCACTTTGTGTTTTACTCTATTCCAGCAAGAAAGTTCATTTCCAGCATGGGAAGTCGAACCTTTTTCCACCACAGAGAGGAGGAGCAAAAGGAGGAAAGGAAACAGAGCTTGCAAATGACCTCCACAACTAGAAAGAAAAGGTTCAAAACCAGGTAAGCCAGACAGACAGGGATAGTTTGAGCAAATCCTGTCCAGACAGGACTTTCTACAGCATCACACTCAGTACCAAACACTCACAGATTTGTTGAATGTTGAATTTCTGAAATTATGGACGTTTGTCTGGATTCTTTTTATGTGTGTCTGCCTCTGGAAGCGAGGAAGAAGAGACGTTCAGCCTTTCAGAGTTATCCATAGCAGCTGCCCTTGCACTGACCTCCGAGATACCACAGTAAGTCAGAAATCATTATAACTCAAATACAAGCATTGTATCGCCTTTGTATAGGGGTCACAGGTTCCAACTCATTTCATTGGAATCAAAAAGACCAGGTTCAATCGAGAGTTCTTCCTTTAAACAAAAAAAAAAAAAAAAAAAAAAAAACAGACCTCTACAAAAATGCAGGAAACTAAATTACATTGCCTTGGTACCTGTGATGGATGAGCCCTCATAAGTCAGGGCTTTAGAGAAACTATATTTCATAGGAATAAATTGAAGATACAGAGTCAGATTAATATCTATATCTGTATTAATATCTGTATCTGTATTAATATTAATGGTAACAGAGGAACTCACCCCTCTTTCCAGAAAATCTCGGCAGCGATCCTGCTGTCCATCCTTCTGTGAGGGCTGAACAACCTACGTAGTGAGCAACACCCCTCTTCTCTAATCCTTCTGCCAATTCCCCATAATTAAAAGTGGTCAAATAGTGGATTCCTTCTTGAGTTATTATACTATTATCTCTCGTGGTAGCACTGTTCGCTTTTATGACACACGATTGCCTGTCATCATACCCCATTGTAAATAAAAAACGATGTTTCTGTCCTTAATACTTGATTAGATTTAAACAAAACTATGTACTATAAAACAATGGAAAAATAAATATAAAGCATTATCCTAAAATTTGTTGGCTTTTAATATACTCTTGCAGAGATTCACAAGCTAAGAAGAGAAGCTGCCATCCTAGAGCTTGAGCAGAGGGGGCAAAAGAGGGTTCGGTTTGGAAATGAGATGGAAAAGCTGGAAAAGGAGGTTATTAGGAACTGCAGGCTGCTGCGTGTGAGAGCTGACCGGAAGGCCCTTCGGAGGAAGGTCAGAAAAGATGTCTCTATTGGTAGCAGAAATGCCAACAGGGCTGTAATTGCCAACACGAAGTAGCATTCTGGAGAAGATCCTAAACAGGTGTTGGGACAACCCCTACACCATCAGCAATAAGGACAAGGCCTTATACTCCTGCCCCTGAAGCGTTATTGTACATGTCCCTTGTGTAAGACTTTGTGTAATTGGAAATAATCCCTTTCCATTGCCTTTATTTATTCTATCTTTGTCACAGGCTGTAGAGAAGGCACAGATGGAGAAGGACTACATCGAGCTGCGTTCTGGGCGCCCACCTATGTTCTGGATCCCCCTCCGGGTACACGCTGTGTGGGAGAGGATGGAAGTGACACTGGCGTGCACAGTCCTGGCTTCGCCACCACCACAGGTTACCTGGTACTGTCCGCTGATACCAACAACTTGTCCTGCCCGCGTGGTTGACAAAGTGTGTGCATTTCAGGGGCAGCTGGAGGAGCAACATCTGGGTCCTCACAGAAAGGAGGAAGGGAGAGCTTAAGGATCACAGAAAATACTTTCGGTTTAGGTCCCTTCTTCAGTTTGACTGTTAGGACTGGTACAGACGTGAGGTATTTAGTGGGCCCTGAAGACAGTCGGCAGTCCTGTGGGGCTCCTTTGGGATGGGACTGATGTCCACATGGATCTCCCTGCTTCCCTTGGTGCTCGGAAACCAGAATCTCCTGCCAGCACTCATTCACCCTGCACATGCACACCAGCAAGTCTTGGCTACCTTGGATACCACACAAGTTCTGGCTTTGATGCCATCAGTCCTACACTTTGTGAAAACCGAACCAACTCTTTTACTTACTCAGCCCTGCTTATTTATCAGCATGCAGGAGAGGAAGCGTTATGTACCAGGCCTGCCGGCAGTGTTCACCGTTAATAACAGGACAGAAATAAATGAAAGATTGCCTCAGAAAACAATTGGCAGAGTGTTCTTTGATCAGTTTGTTAAAGTGATTGACCATTCCTCCCATGGAAGCTTTGAAGCATGCAAACCTTTGGGTTACTGCTGACTTCACAGGCAGACAACTGCAAGAGGCTGCCTAAGCACTCGTCTACTCCTCTGTACCTCTGTCGTGTTTGACTGTCACTAATTTTAAAATAAGGTGTTAATTTTACCAGCCAGTCTCTTCATCCCTTCCTCAGCACGTTTGTGTCACCTTTGTGTTCAACTAGGTATAAAAACGGAGTCCCTATCGATCTTCGCCTAGCCCCGGCAGGAAAATACAAGATAAAAAACAAGTTTGGGATGTTGACCCTGCAGATCAGCAGGTAATGGATATACTCTTGTTTGTGAGGTGTTTTTTTCAGTTGAGTAAGACCTGTTCTGCCTGAAACATCCACTCTGTGTATGCTAAACAAAAAGGATAATTCTTCTGGCATCTGACCCTGCTTGACTTTAGTGTGTTGTACTTGCGCTAAGCCTTTGCTATCAGTGAGTGATATCAACGGTTCAGAAGGTTTAAATTTTTTTACAGAAATCTCATAGCGTTCTACAGGTCTTTTGCTTGCTCATAATGTGAAATCTTCTGCTTATTAAAAATAATAATAATAATAATATATATATATATAAGTAATATCCACAATCAAAAGGAAAGACGCTTTCTTGATGAAAAGCAACTATCTGCTTCTAACTGTTGTCCTGTAAAGTATGAATAATGACTGAAACCTTAAATGAAGGGGAAATATTTTTTCAGATGCTCCATGGAAGATTCTGCTGAATATAGTGTCGAAATTAAGAATCAGTACGGCGAGGCTTACTCATTTGCTACAGTGCTCGTCAGGAGTAAGTAGAAAATGTTTTTTAGTTTTAAATTTTCAAATCCTTGAGATTCTTCAAAATAGTTTCAATTCTATATGATAAATCAATTAAAAAAAAAAAAAAAAAAGCACTCTGGAAAAACAGAGAAAGAAGTGAGAACTCTGTCAATAAGATAGGAAAATTCCTCTCATTTATTAGTGAGGGAAAAGCATGGCTAAATAAACTAATTTTTAGCAACCACCAATCAATATGTAATGGCTCTTAAAACAACTTCCCTTTCTCCATCACTTTTGATCTCAGGCAAAATCTCTCAGATTCCATATGGACACAGCTGTCTTTCTACTGTGCTGAAATTGTACTAAATTTAGAAACTTTTTTTTTTTTTTTCTGGACTGATCTAAAACAGCCAAACATACTCAATGACTACAATACATAACAGGATTCGAAGGAGTGTCTTGCATTTCTAAAATTAAGAAAGAAATTGGTTAACACTTGCTGTGGCTTTCATGTGGATCTGTTGGTGCAATACTGCATGGAATACCGTACCCCTCTCTCAAATCAGTAACCACCAGGAGCAAATACAGCAACTGGCATAGACTGTCTGGAGACTGGCACAAGCCAAATTCAGATGTGATGAAAAAAGTAAACCACCGCTACTTAAAAATTGAAATTATATAAAGCTTTAAGAAATATGCAATGAAGTCTCAAAGGATCATAGTTTAGCTGCTCATACTTCTTAATATAAACACATAGAGATAAAAATTTTGTCATTAAAAAAAAAAATAGACCTACAGAATTGCAGACAACTAAATGCCAGTGGGACTGAGAGTCCAGGGAGCAATTTACATGGTAACAGATGAATAGGAGGTGAAGAGGTTTGCTTTGGAGACCTCACAGGTCATGTCATGAGAGGTGTCTGGCTGAATGAACTGCAAACCCAGGGGTCTTTTTTGGTTTAGATAGGTAGTGTATTTGTTGGTGGTGCTGTAATATATTGGCTCTGTCATGGGTTATTTTATTATCATCTTTACTCTTTGCATTCTGTATTTTGATCACATCTGAATACCATTTGGAGATGCATATGCACACAGAAGAATGTGACTCAAGAATTTTATTTTAAAATGTGCTGATATCGTTGTACACATCTGAGGGGAAGATAAACACTGGCATGAAATTTCCTAAAGGTATTTCCTTCTTGTCTTATAGAATATTATGGTAAAGAGTCGGGATTTGATTCAGAAATATACAGAAGTAAGTAAATGGCTATTACTATTATTTCTTTGACTTATATCCTGAAGCAAGCTGGCTTTTCTGAGCTATAGTTTTTCCTATTAGCTTGACTGCAAATGAAAAGTGCAAGGCTCAGATACCACTCTTAATATAAAAAAAAACTACAAGAAAGAAGACACTGTGAAGTCTTGCTCATGCTGAATTTTGTTTTAATTTCATAGGATCCCTTATCGCCAGAGAGGCAGATTTTGCCTTTTCAATGAAACCCTTATTTTCAAGAGAAAAGGAGCCATTCACCCTCTCCTGTTACTTCTCCTCTGATTTACTTGAACATCAGCGAGACATTGCCTGGTTCAGAGATGGTTTGTATTCAATAGCTAAGTTCATGTAAGCTTGTATACATATACACATCTCAATATACCATTTAATTTCGCAGCTGTGATCTAATGTTTACAGAAGAGAATTAGAATTCTGAATTCATGAGCTGCTCTCAGCTCTTCTCAAGCTATAGGTGCTATTATTTACTTGGCATGCTTTCCTCACTTGTAAAAGGATGACAGCACTACAATGGTTTGGAGGTAATGACTTATTTCTGCTTGTAAGAATAGTTTAAGAGCCCTAGTTCTATACAGTGGTAGCTCAAAGTGTTTGCTGTTAAGTCACTGAAAAGACGGAGAAAAAAAAAACTCAGGATAAGGTCCACTCTTTCTGCACTGTGTTTTGTGTACAGACAGCCACCAAGTAGGATCAGAGTCCAGGACTGTATCTCAGACGCACAACAATCATAGCAGCAGAATTGTCTCGCAGACTCCTTTCTTGCTCTGTTTTGTTGTTATTTTTGGTTTTGTTTTCACATTTGGAAATACAGTGATCCTGACTCCACCAGTTCAAGTGGAGATCCTTTACCCCTTTTCATGCTTCACAGGTGAGTTGCTGCAGAACTCAGAATGTCATAAATTAAAGTACCAAGACCGGGAAGCTTCTCTGACAGTGTCATGTGCTCACAAAGAAGACGAGGGATTTTACACTATCCGCGTCCCCTCACTGGATGGATATAAGGAGCAGACCACTTACGTGTTTGTTAGAGGTATTATCAGGATACTGTCCTACTTGGAACAAAAAGCTCCTTTCCTAATACCTTGGCATAAAGGATTTCACAGCCTCATTCTCAAGAAAACGTGTCCCAATTATGTGCATGGGTACAATTAATAGAATGTCCAAATCCTGTTTTGAGTTGTGATTAAGGTTCTAGAAAATATGACTTGCACTACTGAGATGTAGGCCCTTTCACACTTAAAATCAAGTTACTGAGGACAAGTTTTAGTACAGAGAAGAAAAAACCTTGACCACCGTAACTCGCTGTTTCCACAGACGCTGCAGCAGAAACGCCTGGTGCACCCGGATCCCCGCTCAATGTGAAATGCCATGATGTAAATAAAGATTGCTTGATTCTTTCTTGGGTAGCACCCAGTGATAATGGAGGAAGCCCAATCCTTGGATATTTTATTGAAAGGTCTGTATGTTGGCCATCTCAGAGCAGCAAAGCTCGTCGTTGTGTTGTGGACAAAGACCAGCAGGAACTCCACGGGCTGTGTTCCTTTCCAGATGTGTTGCCGGGTCAGAGGAGTGGGTCCCGTGCAATGACAGGCCTGTGAAAACCTGCAGATACCCGGTCCTGGGCCTCACTGAAGGACAGACATACCAGTTCCGAGTAAAGGCTGTCAATAAAGCCGGCATCAGTCACCCTTCAAAAGCCAGCGCTCCAGTTACGACGTATGACCCCAGCAAGGACAAGAGAGTGACAGGTACGCTCTGAAACCAGGAGCATGTGCTCTGCAGGTACAGTGTGAGGCTGCAGCTATAAATGAATGCAGTTTGTCCAGATTCGCCCCATTCTCACAAACCTCATTGCAGCATACTGCCGTGCTGTGCGTTTGCTGAACCCACCTCAGTACTGTTCTGCAACAGAAAAGATCAACCACTCTTGGGACGTTTCATTAAATGTGTGATGAAATGTATACAACTATGCACATAATTAAATTACACGGTCTGACCTGTCTTTTCTGACAAGCTCCAAGCATTTTGACACAGTTCTGTATCTCTTACTGGATAACACTGTCCTGTTTAACATTCCAGTTATTCCATATGACGAAGGCAGGAAGATAGAAATTTTCAAGGATGACCTGGAAGGTATGTTCACATTTATACTGAGCCATTGTCTGAGAGAGAAATGATTGTTATAGAGCAACGAGATCAGTACTAACATGACTCAGGACATGGTAAAACATAACTGCAAGCCGCACAAGGAATGGAAAGCACCCTCTCTAACGTCTAATCTAAATCTCCTCTCTTTTAGTTTAAAACCATTCCCCCTCATCCAGTCATTATCTGACTGAGCAAAGTCTCTTCTTCTATACTAAAAAAATCTTCCTTTAAAGTGGGAAAACATAATCTGTTTTAAAATAACACTTTTCTGCTACATTATAACTAAAGCATATTCTATTCTGACTTCCCATAGGACACATTAAAGTTCCTTTGCCACCCACCAATGTTCACGCAAGTGAGGTCAGAGAATATTATGTGGCTTTGGCCTGGGATGAACCAGACCCAAGAGGCAGAGAGCCACTGAATTACTACGTGGAAAAGGTAAGAAAATATTATCACATGGAAGGGAAACTGCTGCTACTCCTGAACAGAACTGTTTATTTCTCACATGGCCTATAGCACAGGCCAATATTTATTGACATTTATTAACTGTGAATAACTGCTGGTGGATGCTTACAGTAGTCAGAGAAAATAATTTGTCACCACTTCTAAGGGAGAGGTTTCCTCCCATCTTAAAAAAATAAAATAATCATGTTTCTCCTAAAAACCTTGGCACAAAGTAGAAGAAGGGAGGCAAAGGAGCTGAATTGCCCTGCTATCCTGGAAATGTGCTCAGTCCCTTACTGGGATGAGACTGCCCCGAAAGGCCACTCTAAGGGGAAGCTGCCTCTGCTTCGACAGCACTGCTCACTGCAAAGGGGACTGCAGAACTTTCTCAGCCTCTCTCCAGCTCCACAGCTTACTAGAGCCATGATCCTGACTCTGACACCAACTTACATAGCAATAATTAGCAAAGAATAAATTAATGAGTTTTACACCATACAGTGGTAGCGGAGTTGTAACAGGACTGTTCCTGCCCTGTGGGCCCCTAGGAGGGGAAGAGCCGTGAAGAACTGCACAGTAATTCACTTTACTGTTCCCCTCTAACCCCTTTGCTAATTAATTAGTATCTCCTACCGATTTCCTTCTATATGTATTCATTTCCCACCTGCTGTACCATTTCTGTTGCAAAGGGGCCCTCTGTTGCCATGGAAGAAAAGTTTGAGTTTATCAACAAGAAGTATATCATCTATATTTTGGTGTTGGTTGGTTGGTTGTTTTAATACTTTCCTATAAAGATTGACTTTGTTATTCCTCAGAAGGGTTTTAAACTTTCACAAGTTGAAAATCATCACCTTTTTCCTTACAGTCAATTGTAGGCAGCAACTCCTGGCAAATGGTTAATCTGGATACGCCAGTTAATTCCCCAAGATTTGCACTCTTTGATCTTGTTAAGGGAAAATCATACTGCTTCCGCGTGCGATCCGTTAACAAGTACGGAATCAGTGAGCCATCCCTGCCCAGTGAACCCATAACTGCTGGAGCCAAACTGGGTAATTATTTCACTAATGTGCACTACACTAATGATATGGAAAAGGAGATGTACTATGAAATTCATGTGTGCGTTCCCCCTGCCCCCACCCTGCTTCCTTTAAATTTCATGTTATATTATTACACAGCAGTTGCTTTGATAGCAGGAAATCTCTTAATGCCTTAAATGCTTGTTTAATTACTTTGCAGTTGGTCAGTGCAGTGTAAATCTAACCATGCAATGATGGGAGAATTACATTTAATTAAGTAAGGGACAGTTGAAGCCTGTGTTTAATCCAAGTATGCTTCCAGCACTCAAAAAAAAAAAAAAAAAAAAAAAGAACGAGGCTGCACAGGCCCGTGTCAGAAGGAACGACACAGCTGTGTTTGCTGAAGGAGCCTGTCTTGGGGGCTTCAGAGAAAGGAGCAGTCCCTGAAGGGCTGACTTGTTCTGTTTCCTTACCAGGAATAACATGACAACAGTAAGAGATGCAAAGACTCATGCACATGTTTCCATTACACAGAGAGGACTATCTCTTTCTCTTATATTTTATTTATCCTCATACTAAAGCTGCCCTGGTGTTCATTAATGCTGTCCTTTTTGTCAAGAGTGAAGCAGGTCCCGTTTCACAGCGGAGTCGTGAGAGTTAATATATGAGTCTCGTTTGCACGCTGATTCAGAGGTTACGTAGGTGTACATGAGTATGAGGAATCACAAACCCAAACACAAACACTTAGGCTGTAGACCAGGACAATGTCTATGGTATTTTGCTCTGATTTGAAAGTGAAGCTCTGGAAAAGATGAATACGTAATACAGCTCAACTCACTTATGAAAACCTTTGAATTTATAAGTTTTTTACTTATAAACTATAAACTATTTTTCTGTTTTCATTTTTTCTTTTGTAGCTACTCTGCCACCACCTTCTCAGGTTTTAGCTTTCAGAGACACCAAGACATCTGTTGTTTTGCAGTGGGATAAGTTAAAGGATGGTCTGGAGCCTCTTGGCTACTACATATATTGTCGGGAAACTGGGACAGAAGGATGGCAAACCGTCAATAATAAGCCTGTGACATGTAACGAGTGAGTTCAGTTGTTATACTGCACTGAGAGAAGACAGGGTGCCAGCTCGGATTCCTCTGTGTATGGCTGGAGTCGTATTTCAGATAAAAAAAGAACTTCCTTCTCTGCACACACAGGCACGCACACACGCAAACACCACGTCCTCTTTTAGCATGAAGTATTGCTCACATGCTGAAATGCCCAGTCTTACTTTTACATCCAAAGCCAGACTGACAGCAAGGTCTGTGTGCATCTGCAGGCTCTGGGTCTGCAGAAGACAGACCCTGTGGCATGACCAGCAGAACCACATTCCATTTTTCTGCCTGCTTTCCAGAGAGTAAGTTGGTGTCACTCACACAGGGGATTCGGAAAACCTCTCTAACTGTGGGGGCCACATGTCAACCAAAAAGTCCATGAGAAGCCCTATTTATTTTACTGGCAGTGCCAGGCAGCAGCATTGCACCTCTCGGTGTCTGATCTGTACTTACTGTCTGATTTATTGGTAGCCGTTTTATGTGGCACAGTGCTCTTTAATCTGTAACGGCAAATCATGGCTTTGCAAGGAACATTGCCTTATTAAAATATATTGCTGTCTGTTCAGAGGACTGTTTACCTGGACTCTGAAGAGTCAGATACAAACACAGTCATTTTCTCTCCTAGATTTACTGTTCCTGGGCTGCAGCCTGGAAAGGAGTATGTCTTCTGTGTGAAATCTGTCAGCGAGGCAGGACTAAGCGAAAGCTCACCAGAGACGGATCCTATCGTTGTCAGGCCAGCTATTGGTAAATAGTATATACATACACACAAAAAATAAACCCCTCCAAGACGTATCTATCATACATAGCTATTGTGACACACAGTGGTAATAACAGGGAGCAGATAAGCAAACAAAAGCAAGAGGAATGGATTTTCTTGCACCCCCCTGGTTCTGTTACTAATTATAGATGTCAGGGGTGAGCAAAGTTAATTAGCATTTTGACAAAGCAGTGTGTTAACGCTTACAGTATTCATTTGGTACTGGTACAAGTGAACGTTTTAAGTGCAGTTTTACTGGTGTCTTGAAATCAGCGATGTGAATATTCTCCAGAGCAATCACAAAGACCTACCCACCACGTTAAGACAGGAGCCGACCCTCAGCCCTCACCTTTATACCAACTCACTGTGTCCATCTTTCCTAACAGACAAAACATAAAGCAACATGCAAGAAATGCCCTGAAACATTTCCATGACTTTTCTTGTGGCATCTGAATAGGAATCCGCTCACTTCTCAATCCTTTTATGCTGTAAAAGTGGTATTAAGGGGCCTTAATATAAATAGCGTCACATCTGCTCTGCACACACGGGACTGTCCCTCTCCCTGCTTTCCCAATGCGTACACCTCCTTCCCCAGTCCCCAGACCCCAAGCCCGCACTGAACACCGCCGTCCTTCCTCCTTCCCTTCGCTGTGCAGCCCGGCCGTCCGCGCCCCGCGGGTTCGTGCTGCTGAGCTGTGGGAAGAGCGAGATGACCATCGGCTGGAAGCCCCCGAAGCGCCGAGGAGGAACAAAGCTTCTGGGCTACTTCCTAGACCAGCACGATACGTCTGAACTCGACTGGCATGAAGTCAACATTCAGCCAATTCCCCAGCGAGTTTACACGGTATGAATTTCAGATATAACACTGAGCTTCCTCACGCATAGTGGGAAGCATAGCTCCAACACGAGATGAGCTGTTCTTCCTCTACTTCCCCTAGTCCAGAACTTTCCCCATGCCTCATAAGAGTGCTACCATGCAAGGCCATGCCAATAACCTCTTTGTGCTTCTGAACCCAAAGGTTGGCAACCTCAAGGAAGGGCACCTCTATGAATTCCGGGCTTGTGCAGTGAACATGGCTGGTGTTGGGGAAGTGTCTGAACCCAGCGACGCGTTCAAGTGTGAGGAATGGACAATGCCAGAACCAGGTACCTCTCACAAAAAGGACAGGCAGAAGAGTATCACCAGCTACACCAGGTATCTTCTCACTCTTCTGTGACTCCGAGGGACTTCTGAAGACTGAATCTGTACACAGCTGGGTCCCGGTGTACAGATGCACACAAACACTTCTGGGGACCTTCTGATTCAGATGTAGCATATTATTTCTGCATTACGCATGTCTAGCATCAAGGTATTTTTAATAATATTGTTTCCAGAGAATGAAGAATCTGGATCAAATACCCTAACATCTTTGTGTATTACACCAGAGCACATAACATCAAATCAGCTGATGTATGCTTTTTTTTTCCCTAGAACCTATGTTTCTAGAACCTGTATGGTTGAATAGCATAGAAAGCACCACCTGTGGGCCCACTATTCACTTGTTAACAAAAAGCTTTGCTTTCTGATCTCAAACTCAAACGATGTGCACCTGCTTGCATTTCTAACGTTATTGCTTGACAGCACACTCTTCTCCGGACAGGCCCTCCTTATGACGTGAAGTTCACAGAAGTAAGAGACTCGTCCCTGATGCTACACTGGCAAGCCCCGCTGTACACAGGCGCAGGTCCAGTTACAGGGTACTACGTGGATGTGTGTGAGGAAGGGTCAGAGGAATGGAAGCAAATAAACAAGCAGCCCGTAGCCACCACCCACATGAAGGTCTGTATGTGCACTTACTATCCAGATGTCGCTTCTCATTCAGCCTTATGTTAATTCCTGTCCCTGGTTCCTACAGGTTTCAGATCTAGAGACAGGGAAATGCTTTATTTTCCGAGTAAGAGCACTGAACAAGGCTGGAATTGGGCCCCCTTCGCTCCCCTCGGATCCTGTGGTGGCTAAAACCAAGCCTGGTATGAAACTGAAGTGGTGAGATTTTAAATATTAGCTACATGTTCCATAGCAAGAAAAAGCCTGAGTCAAAATAAAGATTAGCAAATTAATCTGCCCAAATGAAATTACTCTAGCTGTACACTCTCTGGCCTTTAAGCCAGATGTCCAGATGTTACCTGTTTTGGTAAGGGATGTTTTGCGGTGTTATTTTTTCCTTTGTTTGCTTTTGTCATACAGGCACAAATGAAATCGAACTTGGGGTTGATGAAGAGGGTCTCATTTATATGGCTTTTGAAGCTCCTGAGAAGAATGACTCTTCTGAATTTATCTGGTCAAAGGACTATGAAGGACCACCAGATGCTGACAGAGTTCGGACTGAAGAGAAGGGCAATAAGTGAGTACATTATGCACACTGAGAAAATGAATTGTGGACTGTGGAATAAAGAATGCCTTAAACACAGAGAAAAATGTGAGGGCAAAGGTTTCCCTCTCCTCCCAATATACAAGTAAACTGCTGAACTTCTGCAAATCTCCCCGATTCCCAGCTCTGCTGTCTATGGAATGGGGCAGGCAGGGAAATGGTCAGGTCACAGAAGGGAAACAACATCCCTTATATTGTTCATGCTTTTGCCTTGCTTCTCAGTGTCACATACATGTGATGTTCCACATGTATCAAATGTATTGTATTCTTTTACAAAAAGCATAAATTTTAAACAAAATATTTTTTCTATTATTACTTTCAAGATCTAAGCTTATACTGACAAACCCATCAGAAAAGGACTTGGGGGTATATTCAGTGGAGGTCACAGATGTAGATGAAGATATCTCTGCCAGCTGCACTTTAACAAAAGAAGGTAAAAACTGATAATTAACAAGCACCAAAATCTAATGTGCCATAATTTTCTAGTATTGAGACGTTTGGAGGAAAGCTTCTCCTAGAGGAATAGTAAGTGACTGATGTCACTTAATGATAGGGGTATCATTAGAAAGATGTTTCTCATTCTCTGAAGGCCGAAGGGCAGTTTCTTTTCCAGTCCCCTACAAAAAGATATCATAGTCCTGGAAGGTCATTTTTCCATTAGAGTTCAGATTTCACATACAGCTACACTATCACAGTTATTTAAAACTTTAAAATATTTCTCAAGTTGATAGAACCAACATTCTGTTTGGACATAACTAAGAACTGTCTTCACCACCACTTCAGGCCCTCCCTGCTATGGAATGTTTTGTACTTATTATCTTCTTCTTGACGTAAACAAAGTTCATTGACAAATTAAGCCCAATTTATATAATGATTTTGATTTGGCCTAGTTGTACTAGTCTAAATGATTTCTTATTCTTTGCATTTCAGACCTGGACAAGTTACTGAAACGTAGCCATGAAATCAGGAACCCGTGTAAGTTGAACCAGGCTGAGGCCAGTACCATATATACAGATTCTGAAAGGGGAACTCTGGCATAATCCTGGCTGAGCCAAGTTCTGTGGTTTATATATGAATTCCCCTTGGTGGTTCTTTGTTTTCCAGTGATAAAGCTGATATCTGGGTGGAACGTTGATGTTCTGGAGAAAGGAGAAGTGCGGCTGTGGCTGGAGGTTGAAAAGCTGTCACCAAACGCAGAACTGCATTTAATCTTCAATGAGAAGGAGCTTAAAAGTACTCCAGTACGTTTGGGTATTTTTAATTCTGACTTACTTTCCCCTTGGTGAACAGGGAAGTAGACCAACTGGGCACATCCCACATTTTCTAAATTACCATCAGACATTTTGATGTGTGCTTTTGGGAGGCTCTGTGCCTTGATTTCCCACTGTGCATAAGCAGAAAGCCAACTGTCTGCTTCTCAAGCTGTCTGGCCTTAGTACCACGCACAGCCACAGGACTGACGCTCAGTTAAAGGCAGGGCAGTCCTCCTCAGTGCTACAGCCAGCAGAAACCTCAGTGGTAAGATGCAGAGAACACCTTCTCCTTAGCCAGCATTCCTCCCACCGTGAGAAGCTGCCTCTGCCAACCGTGCTGCAGCAGATTTCCCTTTTACACATGGATTTCCCAACAAAGCCCAGCCATGTCCCATTCATCTGATACTAGATGCACCTGTGCAGGACTGAGAGCTTCCTCTTAGTGAACAATCTGAACTCATTTAAGAGGATGGTAAAGAAATATACCATCTCTGACAATGAGGCAGGATATTTTTTCTTCTATTTTAACAAGCAAAGCTGCAAGGTATCCACCCTCTCTCTTTGAACTGCATACAGATAATGAATTCTAAGAGCAGATGAAAGTGATTTATTTCTCTGGAAATAACTGGAAATAACACTGCATCACATGTTACAATACACTCCTACCTTCTGATATATTTTTTTTAAAAGAGTTCTAGCCTCTTCCTTGTCTTCCCATATCAAGTTAATATTTTAACATTTAAAAAGCATTTGGAATGACAGGAGCAGAGTGGAGAACAGTTGAGAATGAAGAACAGCATAAATCATGTGCCTGTCAGTTAAAATGCAGTGTAGCAATGCCAAGATAACAAAAAAGCAAAACAAAACAAAAAACCACCACAGATACAACAAAGGGATAGGAGTATGCCAAAGAATTTCAGAGCTTTTATTGTAATGGTTCCTGGTTTTGGGGGGAGGGCTGTTTTTTTAAAGCAATGTGCAGTGAATTTATTGAAGACTTTTGCCTATTATAAGAACTGTCTTTTCTACACAGGAGAACTGACATAGTAATGCGTGATTACAAAGTGTTTGCCAGGCTCTTTGTAACAATAATATTTGCCTAGAGCAAACAAGGAGGTGAGGCCTAAGGATGGTATTTACATTTAAGGTATTTACATGTAAGTGTCTGGCAGGTTTCGGGGTGTGTGTGTAAAAGATTCAGTAGTGGTTGCACGGTGTCAGAGGGTGGCAATATTACTTATAATTGCCCAAATATGTGATTACTTGCATTATACTAAAAATCATAGAGATCCTGGCAAGGTGAAAACTCTATAATACGCAACAAGAAAGAATGCATTGTGTCGTGTGGTTCTAACAGAAACTTCCTCCCGGAGAGAAGTTCTGCTGCATGCAATTCTGCTATGCCTAAGTGCACAAGCAAAGAATAGATGAATCACAGAACACAGAATACCAGAGTGCAGTGGCCTCATTACACCTGTAGGATGAGGGAAATATATGAGGATACATACATAATGGGACTCTGATGTCTGAGTGTCTTGTGAAAGATGTGCCAGGATCTAGCCTTGGAACTGCTCCTCTGTGGAAAAGCTATTTAATTTATCATATTTGCTTTGTTTTACACAGACACATAAAATAAACTTTGTCAAAGGAAAAGGTCTGGTAGAACTGATAATCCAGAATTTCTGTGATGATGATAAAGGAATGTACACAGCCCAGCTGCAAGATGGAAAAGCTAAAAATCAATTCACCCTAGTTCTTTTGGATGAACGTAAGTGGAAATTCAGTATCAAATATAGACTGCCATGCTGAGTGGAAATTTTTCGAGGCACTCAAGTATTTCTGACAGCTATACTGGCACACTGGGAATGTGGAGAACAAATTTTAGCATACATTTAAAGTCAATTGTGTAAGAAATAATCTGTATTTCTCTTCTCTTTAACATAAATTGAAGCTTTTAGTCTTACAGATAGGGTCCCTGATGATAAAAATGATCTGCTAAAGTAAAACATCTAGTGAATCTAGTTTAGTTATTGTTTCCAAATGTCTTACATTATTATCTTGCTATGTCAAACTGCCTGTATCTTGGCAGCAAACTGTATGGCAAGTATTATGATACGTACCTATTTATTTCAGGACAGGATCAGGTTGAAAATTCAGCGTATTTAACAGCTGGTCAGTTGCATCAAACCAAATGCAATAAAGAAACTAGTGTCGATTGTAATGAAGGCAAGTCCAAGCAACAAAGAAAGATAAACATGAAACATGCAAGGTCCTTGTACGTGCTAGTACAGAGAGACTCTTCAATAAATTAAAAATAGGAAGCAACGAGATTAGCATTCAAATTCTTCCCCATACACTCTCTATCTCCATCTTGCAAACAGTTTGATGATTTCAAGCGACCTTACAAAGCTTCCACATTCTGTGAACAGAAAGTGTCTGTACAAATGTCACGTCCGCTTGACTCCCTGTACAACCAGACTCTCGCGGGGTGATCCAGCACACGTTAAGTTCAGAATAGAAAATGAGCTTGACTTATGCTCTGTAAGTGCACATTTTTCTTTACTGATGATGAAAGAAGTAGAGAAACCTCAAGTTGCATATAGTTGTCTAAAAGTGAGGTAAATTTTATGCTCTCTGCCTTCCTTTGTGTTTCCTACTTTTAAAACATTTTAATTTCAGGGTTTCTAGCCTACATTTTTGTATGGTCAAAAGTCCTATTTCATTTCCTAAATGCCTAATGCTCAGGTCTCCAAAGACCCTTCTGTTCATGACGATAAATATCACAGAGTCAGCAACCAGTACAATCAAGAAAAGGATGGTACTGATCTGCTCAAGGTTCTGTGAGGCCAGAGGTAACTGGTACTAGAGAAGCCTTATAAACATCTATCACAGCTCTTATGATAGCACCCTTTGCAAACAGAAATCTCTAGTGTTATACTAAGAAACAGGTGCTTTTGTTGACTTTGACAATTACTGTTCTTACAGGCTTTGCTAAAGTCGCAGAGGAGGCTGATGCAAAACGGAGAGAATGGAAGAAAAAGCAGGGTAAGATAAGCTGAAGGTTAATGACTTACCAGAGGAGAAAACAAGGTTCTCTAGACATGTTTAAAAAGATCATGCGTCCCACTTTCACTTTATCCCCCATCTTACATTCATGGATAAGAAAGTTTAAAAAACAGTTTCAGAGAAAAAAAATATTACAGTTGGGAGGACGATCATCCCCTTCCAACTGGGATACAAGCATCCACCAGCAGCTGCCATACCAGGGAGGGCTAGGAGCACAGTCGCCTGTCTTCAGAGATGCACAGGATAAGTTTAAGCTGTGTATAAAGCAACTTTCCCCTCAGTTTACCCCTACAGGAATATTCAGGAAGAAAAATTAGAAAGTGTACAACTTGTCTATTCTGTTGCACTTCACTCAGAAAATCTCTCTCATATCCCACACTGACTGCATGCAAAGCTGTCATTCAGTAAAGGCATCCTAGGCATCAACACTAACATCATTTTAAGGTATGATTCCTCAACAAACATAAGATCTGTTGCCTTAGGACATTACAAGAGCAGCAAAAATTGTGTGCTGTAAACTGGTGCCTGGTGTATGCAAAACTAAAAAGCATGAAACTCTCCCAACGAGCACCACTGCTGGGATTCGCCACTAGATGGGGGCATTTCTGTAGCTAGTTAGGAGCCGTGGAACTGTACAGCAAAAAACACTTATTTTCTTTTATAGGCCCGTATTTTATAGAGAATTTGAGATGGAAGGTTACCGAGAGCTGTGAAGTACTCCTTACCTGCAAGGTACGTACATCTGTGTGATGCAACTGCACAGCCTGAATTCCTTTAGCATTACATTTTAAGTGCGAAATTTAAGGGATGGGAACAAACAATGCTCCTTTAAATGGTTATTTGCAGACCAATGAAGGGTAAGAGATAGTATATCTTGGACAGAATTTTCAATAAGGAAGGAAGTTTCCAGAATTCTTACACCAATCCTGTAATGCAAGTGATGTTTTGCATTAGGGCATGTTGGCATTCAGAAATAAAATACACTTGAGAACCTGACTTCTAAACCTTGACTTTAAACAGGCAACGAACCTGAGAAAGGACACCAGCTTCCAGTGGTTCTTCAATAAGAAGGCACGAACAGGCGGCGTGTTTGATCCACAGACTGGGATAGGAACTCTTTGTGTTAAAAAGGTGAAAAACATAAAAGCAATTCAGCAGCACTGGCAGTCACGTCAACATGCAAACATAGGGTTATCTTACATGTAACGCTCAATTTGTGTTTTGGGTAGTGCCCACTAAATGAAAGAAGAATTAATGCTATAGCCAGCTGAATTAGAAGTTAGATGTTTTTAGCAGTGAGTGGCTGTGAAAAGTTTAAGTGTGGGCTCTGCAGGTTTTCTGAGCAAGATTTGTTGCCCATTCTGGAGACAAACTTTAGTCAAAGAAAAAAAAAAGTTACTGTGCTCATTACTGAAATGACTGAATGAAATTTAAGGCTTAACCTGCAGAGAAGGCCAGACATGCTGAGCTAATGCCCGCTGTATTCTCAACTCTGCCTCAGGGGACTACAGCTGAGGAAAGGCGGCATGGTGGTGCAGAGTTCTGGTGCGATCTCTGCACGGCTAACTTGAATCCCACTTTCTTCTTTTGCCGTCCTTTCTGATCAGTCCAGCCTCAGTCCAGGGAAGACGAAAATCTCAGCTCTCTGCCTTTTCAAAGTCCTGCCTTATTTCAATAATATGTGAAGATTCCATTGTCCTTTTTTTGTTGTTGTTTTGTCCTGTTTTATTATTATCTATGTACATACGTATTTGACAGATAACCAAAGCAGATGAGGGCCAGTACAAAGCACTTGTTTCAGATGACCGAGGAGAAGACTACACCCAACTTGATCTCACAAAAGGATGTAAGAGAACCTTGTATATGGCAATATTACACATCCACACACCTGCCTGGATTCATTTTGGATCTAAAAACAAATTTCATAACTTGCTACCACGTCTTTAACTGCAGATGTTGAGTGCTAAGGAAGATAGGAGCATCTAAATACAGTAAAAAATGCTCAGCATCTAAAAATAAACAAACTGGTGACAAAACCCCCATACCCAGTAAGCTTTGCAACAGAAGAAGACAAAGAATAACTGATATATCCTAAACATAATGAAATTAAGTTAGTAGATCAGATGTGATCTGCTAAGTAGTGCATGGTTAGTTAAATATCGTTATGTCTTTGCAGCCTTTGAAGACCTCCTGAAGGAGCTGTGCAGGATCAGTGGTACGTCCCTTTCTCCTCAGCTGGTACAGTGATTACAGCAGGGGGAAAAGGTGGGGTGCCACAATCAGGACAAACAGCTCACCAGGGCAATATTTACCACCTCAGGTACAACACGGCCCATTGCATATTCCTTTGGCATCAAAAGCACCTTTAAAGTGTCAGTGGGGATGGTCAGTACGTGTGCCCAGGGACATAAAACCCTCTGCACTTACAAATTATTCCTGTGACCTTTACGTGCCAGCAGCCTGCTCCTTGTCACAGCGCTTGCTATGTGAATTTGGGCAAGTTGAACGTTCAGCTAGCCACATTCTCCAGAGAGAAATGTTAATATGTTGCTTGGGATTTTGTTTGCATAGCATGTAAAATTGCATGGATATTCTTGGATGTCCTCCTCAATTTCAGTTTTTCAATTATACTACCAGCTCTTTCTGCTTCACCTCTGAAAATTCAGCCTACTGAAGAAGGCATCAAAATCTACACGGATGTGAAGTACTACACAGACTACATGAAAACAACCTGGTATCACAAGTAAGTCCCCAAAAGACATTTGCAGGCTTCTGGGGGTACTGTTGCTTGTTTATCATAAAAATTAAGCATCTTAGGCCTGAATCCTTATTTTCTAAGGCAATGGGAGATTTATCAGGGTAAAGACTGAAAACCACAACTCTCTCTGAAATCTGAATCATGTCTGGGAATTCCAAAATAAACAAGTCGTGCTATTTTTATCTTAGCATTGCATAAATATTTACAAGTGGTCATCTTTACTAGAATAATAATTTAAGGTACCGCTCAGTTACAGCCACCTTGGTTACAAACAGGAAAGGAATCTGTCATTTTTTCCCAAGTCCTTTACGTCAACTATCCTACACTTCCATAAACCATATTACCCCACTGTGAGTAACAAATATTCGCAAACGTTACAACATTCTTTCCAAACATGAGCTAATTTAGCCTCATAACATCTTGGTCAAATACAGAAATGCCTTTTTATTACACATCTCCTACAGACATGTGAAAAATTGGCCTCCTTGTATGATGTTTAAGGGCTAAACGTATATGATGCCTACATCCTATTTAATCTCGTCCATAAGAATCAGGAGGTCTGTTGTAGGGTTTGTAGAGCTTTGGCAAACTGCCCAAACGCAGAGATAGATGCCCAGTGAGATTTTCAAGTGAGTGAGTCCGTAACTCTCCATGAAACTTTTGGGTAGACCTGTGCGGTGTCAAGAGTTGGACTTGATGATCCTTAAGGGTCCCTTCCAACTCAGGATATTCTATGATTCTATGATTCTAAATGTGCAGTGAGGTCCTGACTCCCACCTTCTTGTTCTAAGTGGTTTAGGACTAACAGAAAGTTATCGCTCTAATTTATGCAGCTCTGCTAAATAGTATTGAAATTATATAATTTGTTTGCTTAGGGAGAAGCAAGTGGAAAGTCGTGACAGACTGAAAGCTGGGAGCACGATGAATCAGATCTGGCTTCACATCCTGAACCCCACAGATGCAGATAAGGGAAAATACGTCCTGGAGTTATTTGATGGGAATGACACTCACAAGCTGTCAACGGACTTGTCTGGGCAAGGTAAACTGAGTCAACAGCACGGCCACGGGAATCAGATCTACCTGAGCTGCTCTCCAGGATTCCTTCAAACCATTGGCAGCAATTCCTCTCTTGTGTTTGAGCTGGAGGTTTGGTTCCATGACAACATGCTACGAAACTGGGTTCAGAAAGACAATGAACTGCCCATAAAAGTCAAAGGAAACCTGAGGAGAGGAGAATGGAGCAGCAGAAGGGACCCAAGTCTTTAGGGCACCTTGCTGCCAGAGCATAAGGAGCTGCAGGGGGAAGGATGAGTGGGAGGACAGCTGCTCCTGGGACATGCGGGGTTCCCCCGAGGCTGCCAGAGCTTACAGGCAGCACCCTGGAAAAGAGAACATTGCTTCACGTTTACAAAGGCTTTTCCAAACAGTCCAAAGGATTCTTTTCTTCTGAGGAAAGGGAATATCAGGCTTCACTTATTTCAGTACTTTATAAGTACATTCTTACTTCCTTAAGGCATATATAATGTATAAGTGATAGTTAATTAGATGTAGCTGTGCACACAAATACCTGCATTTCCAAACACGATGCATTATATTAAACCTACTGTCGGAAGAAATAAACAGCAACTTTCCCTACAAACATTTCTTTCCTTGCAGCCTTTGAAGATGCCCTGGCTGAGCACAGAAGGCTAAAGTAAGTTTCTGCCTAACTATTTTCACAGCCAAACTAGTCTATTTCAGGTGTCATATTCTATACTGAGAATACAATGCCTAATAAATAAAACCGCTATAATTTTATCTCTCTCTCTTCATTTTCAGAGAAGCAGCAGTAGCAGAAAAGTGTAAGTAAATGAATTTCCTTCCTTCTGCCAAACACAGCCAAGTGGTACACTGATAAGTAAAACTAAAAGGTCGTATTTGCTTATTCCCAGGTCGTGCCAGAGTTGTTCAAGGTCTGCCAGATGTTGCCACCATCATGGAGGACAAGGTAATATTGAGTAACTGCCCGTGTAACTGGGCCTTGCACAGACACGAGAAGGACTGCTGGGAGAAGGCTCCTGCTGTCTCCTTCCTGTACAGTTCCAGGAGCTTTCCAGAACTACTGCTGAAGGAGCAAAGTGGTACCCTCTGTGCCACCTGTGTCAGTCCCGTTTGCTGTTGATTTGCTTCCGAATGTGCATGTGCTTCTGCACTTACAGGTGCTTGCCCTGGCACAGAATCTTCTGCCAGGTCACAGGTGTGACAGATGCTTTCTAGGTCTGTTTCCCAGTTAGATCCTTTCTGTTGTCTTCCCATTAAATACAACTAGACCAGGGGCTAAGTGCTGAACCTGATTTTTCCCATCATATAAACCTGATACCTACATTTCTGGGTCACATTCCCCTTTACTACTACACAGGCAAAATAAGTAACAAGTCTGTAAAGTAATTGCAAATTCACCACGTGTCTATTTAAGTGCCACTTTGTGGTGTAAGAAAGTCGTAAAAAGACAGCAGCACAAATATTAGTCAGGCCCTGTGAACTTAGGTTAATCCTGATTATCCTGGAAGATATCAGGAAAAGGAAATGGACAGTCCTGGAATCTCACCTACTAAAAACCTTGATTTTTATTTTTCTTAATCTCACATCAGTGAATTTCTTTGCTCAATTACATGTTTGTAATCTCTCTGTTTTACAACAGACCCTGTGTTTAACTTGCTGTGTATCTGGAGATCCTTACCCAGAAATCACTTGGTTCAAAAATGAGAAGGTTATCGTCTTTAAAGATCGTTACAAAATGGATGTGAAGGGGACAGTTGTCACAATTACCATAGAGAAAGTCTGCAATGAAGACACAGGAAAATACAGCATCTATGTCAAGAACAAATACGGCTCTGAAACAGGGCAGGTTACTATCAGTGTCTATAAGCATGGAGAGATACCAGTAGGAACAGATGAAAAGACCCAGGTGGAAACTGTAATGAGAAAGCCTAAATGAATTAGGCAACTATATCTCATTGAATTTAAAAGGAATTTGACTCCTTTGGATTCACTCGAATGTCTCCACCCTAAAATTCAGTCTCATATCTCCATTTTTATTTCAGTATTATTTTAGTATTTTTATTTTGATGGTTGCTAGAAAACAATTCTCACTTGTGTGTGGGTGCATGCACACACTTGCATGCTCACTTTACAGAGAAAACTCTTTCCTGCCAAATTCTGTTGTGTGGGAAATTCCAGAGGATTCACGCGCATGAAAACTAGGCCTTTAGGAGAGGGTTTTTGTTCTTTTTGTGTGTGTGTGTGTGTGTTGTTGTTTGCTTGTTTTTGTATTAAATCCTCATGTGTTACTGATTATCTTGTAGCTGAGAAATGTTTACGTCTATATTATTAAACTTATAACCTGAGTGACACCTTAGCACTGTCATCAGTACATCTATTTTGAAATGAGTTAAAAGTGAAGAATTTTCATAAGTACTGTGTGAAAGTCTTGAAGTATTCGCCTTCACAGACTTAAGCCATACGGGAAGGAAACAAGGCCTGGTGCTTCACGGAGGAACACGTTCAGCTTCTCTCCGCACTGACACGCAGCAATACGCTTACACAAGAGGACTGAGTGAAAGTCCACAAAGTTGGACCCAGATCCTTCCATCCTCCAGCACGCCTATATTCTTTAGAATTAAACATTTTTATGTTTATTAGTTATGTTGGACTGTTACGAATGCAGAAGAAAGTGTGGGCTCTCAAATGCTCTAAAGCAATATCTACACTCCCAGCTCCTACCAGTAAAACCATGTCTGGGAGAGAGAAAGACTGACTGTATTCCTGACAGAGCCATACAGCTACAGTCATTTATTCAGCAAATAGATCAGAATTAGAGCACAAGTTTTCTTAGAGCCTCAGATGCTGTCTGCTAATCAGAATTAGAAGTAAAATAGGCTTGAACATAACCATTTCCTACACTAAGGGCAACTGGCTCTTCGTGTCTGAATTCTTATTTGAATTCTTATTACTGACCCATATAGAGTAACAAAAGTTAACTTAGAAAGGTCAGCTACCCCTGGGATATAGGCTCTATTTGAATTAAGCAATATAATTGCAAGACACACAATCTAGTGAATGCCTTCCAAAATCAACAACCATTCTTGCACAGACAGCAAGGAATATCACTCACTGTCTATAATGACTGAAGAATTCTTGGTGCAGTTGGTGAGAAGAAAAGTAACACATTCCATTTACTCCTTTAATTTCAGTCTCTAAGCAATGTTCCATATTTTATTTTACCTTTAATTTTCTATGTATGCAATGACTATTAAAAAAAAAAAAAAAAAACTACATTTAATACAGATTTAGATGCACGTTACTGACATCTACTGGACAAAGTCATAACTGACTGTCCCACCCCAACGAGACTCCCTGCCATCCAGTGATTGGAGGACCATAATTTTGGAATAAATAGTTGTGGGTTTTATTCCCACCTTGTAAGTTCCAAGTGCCTGTAGTACAGAATATTGTGATGATTAGGAGGTTCCTACCCTACGACAGTAGTTACCTCACATCTATTTTACATTATGCCATTTTATCTGAAGAATTCTATCTAAACCACAGAAAATGCATTTAATTTAGAAGCTGTGAACAAAAAGAAAACAAATTAATCGATGTAACACTATACAACAATTATGAATAATTACCTGAGTTCAGTGACCCACAATAAACAGTACATCCCAGAAGGGTCGGTCAAGGTAGAACTTTGTAGAAAGCAGAATGAACTAGAGGTTATGATCATTAAGAACAAATAAACGATTAATAATTGTTACTTCACTGTTAATAATTAGCTGATCATCTCACAGTTTGGGCTGGCCTTACCCTTTCCATAAATAGCATCTGAGTGACCAGGGGAAGCCCTCATTTTCCTGCTAGCATCACTGCCCCCACACTGCGTTGTACCTTCCACAATGGCATTCAGTGGAACCTGGCAGGTCTATGCACAAGAGAACTATGAAGAGTTTCTGAAAGCTCTTGGTAAGTGTCAAGTTACTTCTGAAACAATTTCCTTGATTTGCAACACATGTTTTGCATGGCATCTTTTATTACAGTATTTCTATGTGCTTGTTTTTTTTTTTTTTCTTTTGTTTGTGTGGCAAACTACAAACTACTCCCTATCAGGTAAGTCTATTTGATTTGAAAATGAAAAGAAGCAATCTTAACACCAGTCCCTCATTAAAAAAGAGGTATATCAGAAAAAGACTTATTTTGGTTAACACATAATTTTACAAATACATTTAACTAGAATCAATTTGTCAATGACATACAGATTTCCAATGTGCTTTAGTAGAGGGGGCGCTTTCCCTAGCATTACTGATTAATGTATGTGATAGCTGTTTCATAATCTAGAAAGAATTGACTTCGTAGTTATGATTTCATAGGTGCCAGCATTAATAAAAATGCGCTTATCCTCTTGACAGTCTTGGCAAAAAGATTCACATGTTTTTAAAAGTAAGAGATGTTCAGTAGAAAAAACTCAGATACAGTTGACAAGCCTAGCTCTGCAGTGTGATGCCTACAGCATTTTTTTCTGCTAAAGATGACACCTTCAAGTCATGCTAGAGACACCCTGTTAAGGTAGTTTGAGGTACCTGCACTGTTGCAGCTCCAGCCAGACAGATAACCGTCATCTCCAGCGTCCCTGGAAAGAGATGAGGGAAACTGAATAACACACATAGTGTTAGTCACAGAGAAATGTCACGCTGTGAGGAGCCATTCCTGAAAGAAACAAAACATTGTCACACAGTATTAATCACTACAGTATCTAAATCTGCACAGAGTAGATGGAATGGAACAGCATGTCCATCGAGAAGTGAGGAATCCAAAACAGGATTTGCCTTTTACCTTGGACATCATTTTCTGTCATTGGTTTGCACCTTCTGCACCTTGATCAGAGAAAAGAATTGGCTATTTCATATTGATGCACTACGTCATAACAGAAAAAGTAATTTTTTTACCTTTTTTCACAGCACTGTCAGAAGATATTATCAAAGTCGCTAGAGATATTAAGCCTGTTGTTGAAATACAGCAAAAAGGAGACGACTTTGTGGTGACGTCAAAAACACCCAAGCAATCTGTAACTAACTCATTTACACTTGGAAAAGAAGCTGACATTACTACTATGGATGGCAAAAAGCTAAAGGTAACAAATTTCAGGAACAAGTGCATCTCTATTCATCTTTATACTTCACTTTCTGTGCATGAGTGAAGCCTGTTTGTATCACTTCCATTACCAAAAAAAAACATGCATACATCTATCATTTCAACAAACAGAAATGTTTCTTTTAAAACTCTTATTAAAATACTGCGATCTCCTGCTTAAATTAGCAGATGTAATTATGAAGCATCGGTATCATCTGCATTGATTTCCTATCTATGTCTAATTGAATTTCACTAAATCTTCAATTTTTTATGTTTTCTATCTGCTTCAACAGTGCACGGTGAACCTAGTAAATGGGAAGCTTGTGTGCAAATCAGATAAATTCTCTCATGAGCAAGAAGTTAAAGGAAATGAAATGGTGGAGGTAAGTGTTAGAAAATAGCGGTGCATTAAAGGAATGCTGAAGGGAAAACATTCTGTGTTGATTAGCTCTTAAGCGTGGGCTCAACACATTTAAAAAAAAAAATGCTGGCCCCCGAACTGCTTTATTACTTGCAGAATTCCTTGCAGATGCTTTTGAGAACTATTATCCTGGGAACAATTCTAAGCACTGGAGAGTGAAAGGCTTTAGCTGGGGAGCATTAGGTAGAAAGACTCCTTATAAATTCCTGTAGATGACAATACAGTTGGTCCACTGACATTTCTTCAAAGTCCTTTAGTAAGTTCTAGATGATTTATCACTGACAAAGAGCTTTTCTCTATAGAGTTAAGCTCATCACATTACCCAAGCAGACCTTTTTAGAGAAGACTACTACCAGAATGCGAGCTGACTACATGAAGGTTATGTCTTTTGGACATGCAACTTCCTAAGATCGATTTGAGTGTTTCAGACTACTTTTCTAAAACTAAGCAAAACACGTGGCAAAATAACACATTGCTGTTTGGGATGGTGGATTTCTGTTATGGGAAGCCTGTCTTTCCTGCACTATATACTATATACTTTGTTATACCTGTACTTATAGGCAGGCACTGAGACTTCTCCTAGGCTCTGTGGAATATTCTTGTGGAATAAGATGGATTTATAAATGAAATACAGAAACTTCTAGTCACGTAGCTATAAATTGGCATCCTAAAGCCCAAATGAAAAGCAAGTTGTGTTTGTCCCCTACAGACTATAACTGTTGGTGGAGTAACGCTCGTCAGAAGAAGCAAGAGAGTGTAAACGCCGATCACCTTCCTCGTGACACCTCTCCCTACCCAAAATAAAGTGCCCTTTCCGTAAGGCCTGCTCTTTGCTATCTGCACATTGCGCTGTGGCCGGCCCGTCCTCACCAACCCCTCCCCGTCCTGCCACGAGCCCCCAGCCCCTCCGTCAGGTCCCTGCCGAGCCCGGGCCCTGCTGGGGGTGAGGGCAGCGGGGAGATGAACGTGTCTTCCCTCCTCAGGCACTGAGTAAAAGGGTTCAGTTCCCGTTGCCGTGTTTACACCGTGTGGGGACAGGGACAGGGGCGCAGTGAGGGCTCAGTGTGTCACGGCTGTGAGGGAGGGGCTGCGGCAGCGCACAGAGGGGTAAACAAAGCCGAGGCGCTCCGTGCGCAGGGGCAGGGGCACATTTTGACAACACAGCCCCAAAATCCCCGAATCTCAGCCCAAACACAGGCGGGCCGCGGGGGGTGGGGCCTCCCCTCAGGGCGGGGCGGGGCCGGCTCCTCAGAGTGGGGCGGGGCCAGCCCATGGGGGCGGGGCCATCTGATAGGGGCGTGGCCAAGTCATGGGGGCGTGGTCGTCTCGTAGGGGCGGGGCCGCAGCCCCCGCCCCGCCGCCGCCAGCAGGGCCGCGCGCGCGCTTCCCCCCGTTTGGGCGGGAAAAGCCAGCCGCCGCCGGGGCGGAGCGAGGCGCATGCGCGGGGCGGGCGGGGCCGCTCCCGCTCTGGCCGTTCTGCGCGTGCGCGCGGGCGCCCGGCGGGCCCAGGCGGCATGCGCAGTACGGGCGGGGCCGCTTTTGGCGCCGGCGGCCCCTTCCCTCGCGCGCCGCGCCTCGCGCCGAGCTCTCGCCGGAAGCCCCGCGGGAAGTCTCGCGAGAGGCGGGCGGGCGGGCGGCGGCGGCGCTGCGTGCAGCTCGCAGGGGTCGCCTCAGCCGCTCGGCTCCCCGCAGCGCCCGGGCCCTGCCGCTCGCCGCCCCCCCCCGCCGCGCCGCCGCCGCCGCCATGTCGCGCTACCTGCGGCCCCCCAACACCTCGCTCTTCGTGCGGAACGTGGCTGACGACACCCGGTGAGGGGGGGGCGGGCGCGGGGCCGCGCGGGCTGCGGCGGGCGGGCTAGGCCGCGGGGCGGGATGTGAGGGGAGAGGGGGGGGCGGGGAGGGGACGGGACCCGCGGCCCCCGCCCGCCGCGCTCCGTGCTCGGCCCCCGCGAACAAAGCTGGGAGCGAGCCCCCGGCGGGGGGGGGGGGGGGGGGGAGGCCGGGCGGGTGGCCCCGGGTGGCCGCGTGGCCGCCGCCGTTCCCGCGGCCGTGGGCGCCGCTCGCCGCCCGCCCCCTGCCCCGGCTCGCGGCTCGGGGCGGGGACTTGTAACGAATCGGGACAGTCAAAGAGCCCGCACTGCCGGGTTCGGTGCTGGGATGTTCCCGGTAAGCTGCTGGGCCTCTCTGTTCGCCCCTGCAGTTTATCGGCTCCCCTCCGCGTTTGTTACCGCCCGTGGGGCATCTCCAGAGCGCCGCGGTCCGGAGCGGCCGCACGAGTTGGAGCTGCTGCGGAGGGGCCTGCGGGGCCGCGGTGCTTACAATGAGAGCCCCAGTTCTTAAACCTGCTGCTTGCACCAAAGGTGTTCGGCAAATAACAACAGCGAAGGCATAATGGAAAGAACTAGGAACCATATAATGATTAAAAATATAAATAGCCTCAAGTTAAGAGTGGTATTTCTTGGGCCAGTTCTCGTTCAGTGCCAGGAGAACTTGTCCTTACGGGCAGAGTCAGGGAAGAAGACTTTCAAACTTTTTTTAAAAACAGCGTGCCTCCCATTCAGGCTTTAAGCTTCAGTGAAATGGTGCGTTCTTTTTAGAGATGGTCTCGTTGGGGGATCCTGAAGCTGGTTGTTTCAGTTGCCTTCTGCAGTCATTGACTATGAACAGCATGGATTTTTTCCTAACGGATGAGAAACATCAGTAACTCTTCCCTGTCACATAAATAACATAATGCATCAGTCTCCCTCATATGGGTTATTGTCCTAAAATGGCACGGGAATAGATATGTAAAGAAGCTGAAGTAACTAAGAAACCTTCCCAGTGAAGAGACGGGAGTTATTCCAAGTGCAGTTACGGATCTGGGGAAGGGTTTTGCACTCCACTCTCTAAAGCCACATCTTCGGAACAGCTGACCTGAGGGCATGAGTGGTTGCTCACTCGGTTCTGTTCTGTTTGAAGTGGTTGTGAGTATTGATAATCCTATGGAAATTATTTCGTGCCACTGAACTATTATTAAGCTTTTTCTTTGGATGGTACAAGTAATGTTTACGTGCTGTAAAATCCACGTTAATAGGTTATGCCATGCTTAACTCTTAGATCCTTCTTTGGACTTTCTGCCCATCTTCGCACTGAACTTGCTGATGTCTGTCACTTCTCATCTCAGTTTGCACTTCGATTACTGAGTTATGCTGAACACAGGACTGAAAATAACAGGGTCACCTCAAGCATCCTGAGGCTTGACAGTGTCTTAGGAAAGCCCGGTGTGTTGCTTAACAACGAATGACTAAAACACTTCCCCCCCCCGAATATATTTTTACATGCGTTCTGTACCAGGAGCTTGCAAAAAGATGGGTGGTCGTACTGGGGGTAGATTTTTATTTTTTTTTAATTTACTTAGCAGATGTTTCTTAACACCTTTAATAGTGAGAAGACATGAGATATTTGTGATATTCTAGGTCTGAAGACTTGCGCCGTGAGTTTGGTCGTTACGGGCCTATAGTTGATGTATACGTTCCACTTGACTTCTACACTCGTCGTCCCAGAGGATTTGCTTATGTTCAATATCCTTTCTTCAGATGGCTGATTAGTGAGGGGTGTTGAAGTTTGAAATTCAAGTTTGTGTAAGAGGTAACAAATCTAAATGAAAAAGCAGTTTACTTCTGTGTTGTATCTGATAAGTGTCTTCTGTTGTGGTGTCTCATTATTTTTGAAGATTAACTTATCTGCCATTTGCTTTGCCTTTTTGCAAAACTTAAATCAAGTCCAGTAATATAAAAGCTTGCTTATGTCTCTGAAATTGATATGATGTGATTTAAATGAAAATTTATCGCTGATTCAGAATTGTCTACCAAGTTTTTATTATAACTGCTATGTAAGTAAACTTGTGCGTAGCAAACTGTGGCTAGTATTCGTTGTTAATTTAACAAATGGGAACTGCAATCAATCAAAAGCAGATTGTATAAAAAATGAGGTGAACTTCTTTCTTTAATATTGTCCCCTAATTTGCTGTCCTCTGTTGTTGCCTCAGAGTGTAAAGCTGTACAGTAATGGCGACCCCAAAGAGAAAGCATGAAAGAACCTTTAGAGTAGAGTTCAACAATTGAGGCAAGTAGACAAGCCAAAGACCTCTTAAGGATCAGGCTTGAAGAGAAGGGACAGTTTGGGAAAAGAAAAAATACAGAAAAGCTGGAAGAAGGACAAGCCATAATGGGAGACAAAGCTTCGCTTTATCTGCAAAAGGGGGAAAAGGTTGTTTTTCAAAGTTAAAGATAAAGCCATCTGTCATTTTTGGCCAAGCATCTCATGACAAGTCCTTCTGACAAGCCCTTAAAGAGTTAAAGGTCAAGATGAAGTTGAATGGTGGCCAAGATTAAAGGAGTCATACCTGATGTATCCTACAGAATAACAGTTTTTCTTCTGTTTGTCACGTAAGCAGTAATTTGAATGATTCTGGTTTAGTCCGTTGACAAAACCTGTAATATTTCTCTGGTGGGTACTGTTGTAACTGTGGTCTTGACTGAAAATGCGTTCGTTTTGGTTTATCCAGATGCGTGTTCCTACAGTTTGTGTTCTGCACAGATGATGCTGATCATGAGCGGAGTGGCTATCAGGAGGAAGGCAATTCATTCTTCCAGACCACGTTGCTAGAAGTTGTGTGAATTGAAGTAGTGATCAATCGCACAGACCAAAATTAGTAATGATCGTGTTACTGAGCTTTGGGCCTGATTGGTAGAGCAGTTGGTAGTTCTGTTACATGCTTTTATCTCAAGCTGCTGGAAGTCTGTATATATGTCCTTGGTATTATGTAACTTGAACCTAAAAATCAACTGGTGGCTAAAAAGAAAAGCTTCCTCACAATTCTAAAATGAATAGACATGTATCGATTTGCTTCCTGTTAGCATGCCTACCAATTTCAGAACTATTTTTTTCCATAAAGTGGATGTAGTACAGAGAACTGAATAACCATTAACAAATAATGTATCTTGGGAAGGATTCTCTTTCTTCCTTACATGTGGATATTGCATAGCAATTGCTTGCTGATGGATAAGTCCATGGCCATATTGTGAGGGGTTTTTTTATTGTAGTTCTCAATCATTGGTGGCTAATTTAAAAATTGCTACAGTGTGGGCTAGTATGAACAAAATAGCCAGAAATAATGGGCTGCAAAACTAGAAGATATCTGACTTTTTTTTGAATACCAAATCTGTAAACTACTCAAATTCCCAAGTACCTTAACACTCACCACATTTGAAGATGTCCGCGATGCAGAAGATGCTCTTCATAATTTGGACCGAAAGTGGATTTGTGGTCGACAGATAGAAATCCAGTTTGCGCAGGGTGATCGGAAGAGTAAGTGCCTCCTCGTGCGTATTTCATCAGGATGTGTTTAGTGCCAGATGACATTACACGTGTTAGTAATTGCTGGGAAAAGTTTCTACTTGCATATAAATAGTGTGTAGATGGTTTTGCTTTTTATCCAATAACTGTTATAGAATCATAAGATGGTTTGGATTTAAAAGGACCTTATTAACGTCTTTCGTTTTAATTAAAAACAGATAACTAAGTACAGCAGTCAACGCAGTATGATTCTTGCTAGCTGAAGATACTTAACTCTCTGTGCAGCTTTGTCAAGCTATTTTGCAGGAACACGCTGTCAAAAACTCCCTGTCAAAATGAGTAGCTCAATTGTAATGTGTTGTGATGTTTATATTGTGTTGAAGTGTGTTCGTGATTCTTTGACGTTTCCCAGTGCAGTCCAGTTTCCAGGATTGAGGTAATGTCTTCATTTTCATTTGGCTTCAGGATATTTAAAAAAAAAAAAAAAAAAGACAAGGTATCTCATTTCAACTTGGAAGAGAAGTCTTATTTTCTGAAGTTAATTGTAAAGGCAGTTTACATCTTTTATCTGTTATTCATGTATGTATTCTTAATATAGAGATAGATACATATATTTACCAAAAGCGTGTTTGTTTTTTATATAACAGATACCTGTTGGTCTAAAACAGGACTGTAATATTCATGTTCAGCTCAGGAATAAGAGTGCCATAAAGATCTTTCAGTTAAAACTATCAAGGTAGTCCTTGAACGTACCATTTCAACTTTTATTGAACTCAGTGGAAATCATGCTCTGAAGAAGAAACTTCTGTCCTATATGTAAACACTGGGATTTCTTTTAAGTTTCTAAACAAAAAAATAATTAAATCTACTTTCCTGTTGTCAACTGGAACAGTTCAAACATAAAAACTTTAGCTGATAGGGCAGGTAATGTTTATTATAGCATGATGTATTTAAAATACATTGACCGTGGCTTTTGCAATTGAATGAAAATCAGATTTAATACAGACAAAAGAAAAGCTGTGCTGCTTTGAGAAAATAGAAGACTTCTAATTTAATTAATTCTGATTATTTTAATATTCAAGCTACAGAGTGAATGTGCAGTGTTGTATAGGGAAGAGGGCTACTTTTAGAATCCAGCTCCTTTGTGTGGCATCGATTGCTGCCTCAGTATAAGTTGGCTTTCAATAATTAAAGAAGGCTGGGTCAAGTGTAATGCATGGCACTGTGTAGTCAAAAAAACGGGCGTTTAACTCACTGGTAGCTGCCACTTAAGGAAATTCAGGAATGCTAGAATGTTTCAGTCGTGGGTTTGGTTTGTCAGGTGGCCTCAAATCACTTCAGTCAAGTCTGTGTTCTGGCGGTGTGGAGCACTGCTCTCTTGCTGTTTTTGCTGGGTTTTGTTCTGGTTTGAGTTCGGTGGATGTTTTGTGTTTTTTTGTTTGTTTTTCCCCTCTTAGGTTGATAATACTCACAAAGCTGCAGCATTTAAAGCAGCAAAATCCAAGTGCTGTACAGCGTTCTCATCTGTTTTTTCCTGTTCCTTTTACAATCATCTTTTCTAGAGACGTGAATGAGGATTTTTACTAAACATAAAGTGTATATGAATAGCATTAGTACTGTCGTTCAAGGGAAAATAGGGTACTATAACTTGAAACTTTAAATATTGCTATTTTTTACAGCACCAAATCAAATGAAAGCCAAGGAAGGGAGAAATCTGTACAGTTCTTCTCGTTACGATGACTATGACAGATACAGGCGATCCAGAAGTCGGAGTTACGAAAGGAGACGATCTAGGAGTCGTTCTTTTGATTACAGCTATAGAAGATCATATAGTCCCAGAAAGTAAGTGCAGTGTGTGTTCAGCTTCAACTACACGGCAGTCTGTTGGAGGAGAACCAACACACTGAATATTATATTAAATAATCATTAAAATTTTAATATTCTTTTTCTATATTCCCTTTGTAAATTGCTTGTGGGAGTTGCACACTTGCATGCTACATCAAATCAGAATAATTGAATGAAATTATTTTCTGCTTCATTGAAGAATAACTAAAAGCAAATGCACATTTCAAAAAATATATATTAATCACTTGCATGCATACATACATAGGTATTTGTCACCGTTTACTTTTTCTGATATACCTTTCTAGCAGTAGACCTACTGGAAGACCTCGTCGTAGCAGGAGCCATTCGGACAATGATAGGTAAAATAATTTTTACACCATTTAAATTGAAAACTAGAGCACTGTATTCCTTTAACTGTAGGTTTAAAAAAAGTTTCTCCTGCAAAAAATGGTAAACAATTTTTAATGTACTAGATGTCTAAGAATAGTGTTTTTACATTCAAATCTCCTCTCTCCCCTTTATTCTGATAGGTTCAAACACCGCAATCGATCTTTTTCAAGATCTAAGTCCAATTCAAGATCACGATCCAAGTCACAGCCCAAGAAAGAAATGAAGGCTAAATCACGGTCTAGGTCTGCATCTCACACCAAATCTAGAGGCACCTCTAAAACAGATTCTAAAACACACTATAAGTCCAGCTCAAGATATGAAAAGGAGTCGAGAAAAAAAGAACCAGCTAGATCCAAATCACAGTCAAGATCACATTCTAGATCTAGGTCAAAATCCAGATCAAGGTCTTGGACTAGTCCCAAGTCCAGTGGCCACTAACTGTATCCATGTTGGTTTTAGGCATGTAAGATTCATTTACACACAGTTCAGTTTACTTAAATTATCAGGAATACAATGTTGCAACAGTGCTAAAACAACAACAAGAAAAAACTTTTTGTCAGTTTTCCCTGTAGCAGACAATGGTTAAAATTGAAACAGTGTTGAGAAGCCACTGAGACAGAGGGGGAGAGAGAGAGGGAGAGAGAGAGAGAGAGAAAGAATGTCCTGGTTACATGTTATGGGCAGCTACTGAATTGATTGTGGTGTCTCTATGTATATTTTTGTAAAGATTTGCATTTTTAATGCTTAGATATTGGTGATGACTTGATTGATCGTAATTTGCAACATTGTCCTATTGAAAATGTCCTACCCGTAGAAATTGGTACCAGTTGTGCTGAACAGTTAAACCAACTGTTTAACTTGTTCTTTAATGCTGAACTTTGTGGTGAAATGGAAAACTGGACAGCTGTAGTGCAACACTGACTGCTGTGAAATGCAGACTGGTAATTTTATGTTTCCATTGTTCAAAGGCAGGTTTCTGTGTTCTCCATGCCCAGTGACACAAGTAGGTTGGTAAATGGAGCTCTGTGGAGAGAGATTTTTGAAATTTCTCTTCAACCCTGCCATCTGGAGAGATGGTACTAACGTTGCATAGACTACACAAGGAGAGAGTTAGTCTCGGAAGCTCGTTCAGAGAGCGTGCAGTGTTGTGACTTGTCAGCATAGAGGCTTCACTGCTTTGGGCCTGGCTGCTAAGCGTGTAAGGGGGGAAAAACACCTCGAAATGGAAAATTAAATTCAGATTTCAGCAAATGACAGAGCAACTAAATATTAGGTTGTGTGTACATTTTAAGCAGTTTTTGTATCTATTCTAAATTTTAGTGAGCAGTTAACCATGAAATTGCTTAGTTTTCCTGCTGTTAGATACAAGTAGATTGTTTCAAGTTGTGTGTGTACAGTATATAAGAACTAAACTTCTATGCCAATGACTCCTGTGGTTAGTTGGTGTATTCATAGGTATAAAGCTGTAGCCATCTCTCTTCTTGGGTAACAAAGGCTTGCTTTTACACATCAAAAAGTATTTAGTTGAGCAAGTCTAAATCACTTCTTCCTCAGAACGACTAGTGGACTGGTTACAAGGTTTCGTTTTACTTAAGAACAAGTGTTTAAGGTTGGATATGAACAAGAGCTGCATCTCTAGATATTTAGTTTCACTAATACAGTATATTTAGTAAATTGAATGTGAAAAATAACAAAACCAGTGTGTAATCTTACCAGTATTTCTCTAGAAGGCAAGATATTTTGTTATGAAAATGGCTTTTGGCATTTTTTTCTATTTACCTTCAAAAGCCAGCATCAAACACCTAGTGTTCTGTGCTGTCTGTGTAGTAGCATATAATGACATTGATTTTAAAAAGTTCCTTTTTAGAGAAATGTTTTAGGGTTTGGTTCTAGTGTGTTCAGCAGGGCCTTTGAAGAAATGCAGATGGCTTTTAAATATTAGCAGTGGAACGTGCTTAGGGAATTGATTCTAGGAACCTTTGTACGTTTGATAGTATTTCTAACTTTTTTCTTTACTGTTTGCAGTTAATGTTCATGTTCTGCTATGCAATCATTTATATGCACGTTCCTTTAATTTTGTAGACTTTCCTGGATGTATAGTTTAAAAACAGCATAAAGTCTATTTAAAACTGTAGCAGTAGTGTGCAGCTCTAGCAGAGGAAAGTTGTGGGATTAAACTTTGTATTTCCTTTCTTATAGAGGCTTCTAAAAAGGTATTTTTATATGTTCTTTTTAACAAATATTGTGTACTACCTTTAAAACATCAATGTTTTGATCAAAATAACTAAAGACCCAGCTTATTTTCTGCTTGCTGTAAATTTAGCAAACATGCTGTAATAAAAAAATGAAGGAAATGCTGATCCACTGGAATTATTGTAGCTTTAGAATTTGACTCCAGAGCATGGTTAGGCATAGATCTGTGCATCCCTTACGGAGTAAAATCCTTACTATGGTATTTCAGTAAAGTCAGGAATTTGTTTGATGTCTGAATAAATATTTCATATTTTTAAAGGGGTGTTAGACAAAATAAGAACAACAAGCAAATGTTTCAGTCTAATATATTGACGTTTCTTTTTCCATTAACTTCCATTATTGCTGGATGAACTTCCCTATGGTTATAATTCAGATGTTAACAGACAGGTTATGAATTACTAGAAGTCAATGATTGAAGATTCATTTAGAATCAAATTTCTAGTAACAGCTCATCATTTTACACGCTGCCTAAAAAAGTGCCAGCAATGGTTCTCTACAAAGTTGTAAAACTTTGACATTTAGAACTCGAGTTGCCTCTTGGCACCTGTGGTACATACAGCTAGTCCTTCTTGAGCCACTGAATAAAACAATTCTGAGGAACACTTAAATGCTTTGGTAAGCCCACTCTTACGTTTCCGAAGCTGAGCTGTGATTTTCTTGTAGCTGTGCATAGAAGTGTCTTGTAACAGCAGAAAACCCACACTCTTTAGGCTTCTGTGAATTAATACAGTCTTCGGAACTAAAATTCCACTTAGAAGTGGTCCACCGATCTCTTGGGAGTGTGTGGTAATGCTTTAGTCAGCAACCTGCAGGGGGTTGCTGTAATCAGGGTTCCCATGTTAGTCCAGCCAGAACTGCAGCTGGATCGGTGGGGAGGAAGAACATCTTTGTGGTCCAGGCTGAGGTTCTGATTTGTGACTGAAGAGTAACAGTGACATACCTTAACTATTGTGTCAGCATGTCCTTATATTGTGTGCCTCAACATTTGTGTATAGCACAGTTTATTTTTTGTTTTAAAAATCCAATTCATTGCAAGTATAATGTAGTATCTGACAGTTCTGATGGTTCTTTCTTTCTCTCCCAGAGGTAGGACTAAACTTTGACTTGACTTGTGTATATGAACAAGCCAGAAAAGCCGAACACAAACCCACGATGTTTCAAGAGTGCATGAATAAAGATGTTGTCCTAGTTCTTGCTCCCATGGAAAAATTGTGAAGAAGCTGTTCTGTGGGCCTTTCAGTTGGGGACGAGTTAGCAGGATGTGGCCAAAAGGGCAGGGAATGTTTACGCATTCACGCAAGTCAAGCCACAGCCCATCTAGATAACATCTCCCTTCCTTGATGCAGGTATCCTGTGCCTGCTCTAAAACAGCAGTAGCCTGTCTTGTGCAAGCTACCCGCAGGTTATGCACAGCTGGAATGCAAGAACATAAGCAGGCTACAAAAGATCATGTATAGGCATCTTTCTTTTGGAGTCTCAAGAATGGTGGGAATTATGTTTTTCTGTGGTAAACTAGATTTTGTCATTCCTGCAAAATTTGTAGAATTGAAGTAGTATGTACAAATTCTGCTGAAAGTAATGCTGTGCTCCAAAGTGTCTGCAGCGTATTGATTTATCTCAGCAGTAATAGAAGGCTCTATTGGAACTTCTTTTTCACTAAAAGTCCACGCACCCAACTGATAATTAAAAATCTTAAATTTAGTGGTTAAGTAGCTGGGTGTTTAAATTAGGGACTATGATAGACTGGTCTCTGAAAGCTAAATGTTATCCTTTCTGTCTTCTAAAGATGTTTAAATGTACAGTATAATGGCTTTATTCAAAGTGGAAATCTTCAATTTAAATGTTATTTTGAGCTCTGCTCTTGGAAAGAGCTTTTTCTTTTTCCTTGTTTAGTCTGGGGTAACAGCTTGAAGTCTGTTCAGAGAAGGGTAATTGGATTGATACACATTGCAGCACTGCTACGTAATTTTTGGCAGGAATGTTGCAGATAGCATTTTTGAAATACAAAGGAATAAATTTACACATTTTTAGGACATAATCACCCATTAATAATTGCTGGTTTTCTCCATTTATCTTGTAACTTGCTTAAAAAGTTTGTAGTCCATTGCTATAATAATTGTCTACAGATGCTCTTACTGATGAGACTATTATAGGAAGGGAAGACTATGTACCCTGTAGTGTGTTTGATCAAAAGATGCTGTTTTATTCATACACATCCTTTCTTCTTGAGTTTTGTGTTCCATCTGTGCAAATAACCCTGTGAATTGGGAATAAAATGTACAAGTTTTGACTATATCTTGAGAGCACCTTCTGACTTAATTAATATAGCTGTAGTATGTTGCAGATTGTCAACCAAGCACTGAAATAACCAAGGGTGTTTCCTCTAGCTCAGAGGGCTTGAGCCAGTGACTGGAGGCAGCAGAGCAGGACTGCAGCTGTACTCAGCTGTGCCTCAGTTGCACTCTCAGAGTAGCGCCTCTTGCTCCTGAGTGCAGCTTTCCTGGGCAGTAATTCTCAAGCCTGTTGCTTGCCAATTGCTGGCAGGAATGGATGAGAGGCCTGGCACTGAAGAAACCTCCTTCATTGTTAAGTAATTTCCAGGTTCTTCAGACAGTCATAGCCTAAAGAGACACATGGAACGCTCACCTGGGGTTTCTAAGGTTGCTGATGCTTTTTGCAATCCTCTTGGTTGGGGCCGCTTACCAGTAAGAGTGGTGGCATTGGGTACATTAATTGGTATTCTTAAATGTCAGTGCTTTATAGAGCTCTTTGAATGCCAGAACAACGCAATCCCATTTCTCTACTACTGTCTGAAAATAAACGCTTGGGAGGGTGGGGGAAGAAGAATTTATTTTTTTAATTTTTTGTTACCAATTTGTACATACACAGTAATTGACAATTTGAAATAGAGCATACACAATCTAACTGGGATACAGCTCTTACACTGGTGAAGGTCCAGGTCACAAAGTTTAAAGACTGCCAATGAAAGAATAGATTTGTAAACATTCAACCAGCTGCCAATACATTTTGAATGCATAGGAAAACATCTTCAGTAACATTTCACGATCTGCAGAGCTCCCTTTCAAACTAAACCACTTTCTGGATTGTTGCAGAACCTCAGACTAGCACAGTTCAGTTTATTTCTATTACAAGATCAACTGAATTGTGACAGCACTGAAATCTGCATGTTGACATTCAAATTTCACAAGTTTTAGTAATTACTATTACAAAATGTTGTAGCATTAACTTTAGAAATTAACATTTTAACAGTACCTTAACATTTTAAACATTTTTTTTAACGTTTTAACAGTACTTCTCCTATGCATTCAAAAATCAGTATCTGAAAAGTGAGCTTTTTTAATTTTACTACAAAACTAAAAATAAGCCTCTTTAGCACTGAGTTACTTTAAAAATGAGCTCACAACAAAATAAAATGTATGCATTCACTGTGTATCAAGTGAAGAAATGTCCTTTTACAGTTTGTATTTCTTTTTAACAAAATATTTTTTTTTTAAATCAGGCCATGTACTCAGCATGGTCATCTTACATTCAGTGGTTTTATACTAAAAATACTTCTGTGCAGGAAAGCCCAGCATAAATTTACATATGCTACAACGTTTTACATTTATTTACATGGCTCTTTTTTCCCTATGAGAACATCTTATACCTGCCACAAGATACGGCAACTGAAAGCAATTGTTAAGGACAACCCATTGAAGACTCACTTAAGAATTGCTCCAGCTTTTTCACAATTAGAAAATGATACAAAAACATATTTTAGAACTTAGCAGTGCAATCAGTATGAACAATTTTTTTTGGACTTTTTTGGCAGTCATCTGGCAAAGCAAAGTATGTTCCTAATTGGCACAGTCTGACTCGAGATTCCAATGAAGTACAGCTACAGCTGGAGAGAGACTGAAATACACATCTGCTACTTGTGTTCTTCCATCTTTTTGAGAACATGCTTGAGATTCCTAGATCTAAATTTCAGTCACAGGCTTGAGTGCCAAATAAAGCTCACAGGTATTACTGAAAGAACAATAATCACCAGTACTAGTAGTTATTTTCACTCCCCTCTGCTAGGAAATTCTGCTCTGCAGTTTTAACTAGCAAATTTGACACAAGTCTGAATGGCAAAATACCTGACTAAAGCTTTCAGTGCATTTTTTTTTTTCAGTTAATGCTGCATTAAGTTAGGTACAAGCTGGTTTTCTAATGCCCTAAACAAAAAGGAGTCATAATTCCAATTTTGGGAGACAGTCCCATTTACAGTAAATGTAATAAATGTGACAGCTCAGGATTTGGTTAAAGTGATTCTAGGGAAAATGCCTATTGCAGAGCACTTAACTTTTGAGGTAAAACACTAGAATAATGTAAACTTCCCTACCCAGTCCCTTCCGTTGCAACTAACTATATGTAACAAGAACATCTAATTCTGCTTACCTGTGCCTCTACATTTACAAATAACTATTCTCAAATGTGAAACCCTGTAAATTTAAATAACTTTAAATAACTTTAAAATATGAAGATTTCCATCTCAAGCCTGGACTTTAAGTAATGTTTTAAGCTGAAATGTCATCATTTCTTTATCAGAAGGTTTAAAAGAAACAGGTACCCAGTGACTTGGTGGCTTGGGAAGAACACTTGGTGAGGGTGGCTCACTAAACTTTGCTCCAGCATAGTTCTGATTGGTCTGAGGAGTGAAAAACAGGTTACGATTTGATAAATTAGGACTCCGATTTTGATTTTTGGGGAAATGAGCATTGTTCTTTCCCCCTTTCTGCATGGCCTGCCATGCACCAGATGATGAATTGCATCCATGTCCTCTTTCTTTCTTCATGTGGTTCATCTTCATTTGCGAATTCTGGTCTTTACTCTTCTGCCTGTTTTTAAGTTGTTGATGGTTCTTGGTAATATTTCTGGACTGGGGAGCTGGAATGCTGAATCTCTCTCCACCACCCATCTTCAACTTAAATGTCACCTGCAAAAAAGCAAGGAAAAGTTTGGATTTTTGTTTTTCAAAACTGATAGATTTTAAGGAAAAAAAAAAAAAACTACAGTGTAGCACATCTTCCCAGCGGAAGACACCGAGTGGCTACAAGGGCTTGTCTTGACAATTCTGCTGCTACCAGCTGACCAGCACATCGTGAATCAAACCTTCAGGAACCCTGTGTACACCAGTTCCCTTCGGCAGCACTTGCAGACCACCTGGCTATGGAAAAGCTGCTTCCAGACAGTGCAGCTGAACATAACGCTGCTTTTCTCCACAGCAAGAGATGCTGCTGGGAGAATGTGAAAGAAACATTGCTCACAAAACACAGCAGCAGATGTAAGGCACTGGTGTTAAATCCTGAAGACATTCAAACCAAGCTTTTGTTGTGCCTGAAGATCTGAATGAAGTCTGCACTGATAAAGCCACTCCCCGGTCTTTCTGGTAAATCCAAGAGAGACCGTGATGACTCCTGATACTCACTTAGGCATTACACAGCAAACCACAGCAAGGTGATGAAATCGCAGCAAGGAAGGGGGGAAATCCACTTCCCAAACAACTTCTTCTGGAGGGAGATGGGGGCAGTAGTGTAGAGGGTAGTGTACAGAGACAGACTTGAGCGTGCTTGGGGAAGACAGATTGAAAACAAGCTCAAATGGAAAGCAGCCGGTCAGAACTGGACTTGTGAAGCAGACAGACAGATGCTATCACACATGGCACCTTCATGCTGACTCTCCTACAACATACTATTTCCTCCAAGCCCCATTTACCTTTCAGTGGCTTTCTCAGATTCCACACCGTCCAACTCTTGCCCCCTTTCTTGCTTCCAAGCCTGAAAAAGTAGGTGGTGCCTTTCACTGGACTCCTTCCTTTGGCTAGGAATAGAAGTTTTCATGGGATGATCTGCTGTATTCAGCCAGGGAGCCGAGCCCAACATCGGATTCTCGGCACTGAAGCTCCAAGGGAAGAAGTCCAACTGCATAAATGAGAAAGGAGTTGGTATCAGATTAGGAGAAAACTGTTTTCCCTGGTGAAAGTTATCAAAAGCAGCTGAAATTCACAGAATTAACAGTCAGTTGCACCTTCATTGTTAAAGCTGACCATATGTTTAAAACATTTGTTTATTTAAAAAAAAACACAGTAATATTCATCTATGTAAGTTAACCTCACCATTGTGCTTCACATCCCCCAGAAAACAGCATTTCAATCACGCTCTAGGTATCTGCTAATAAATATTAAGGGGAGGCAAGCAGTAACTTACCCTCTTCCTGGTATGTGCGGGGAAAAAAAAAAAAAAAAAAAAAAAAAAAAAAGTGAAGTACAACGAAAACCACTTGGGGATGAAATCCTTGTGGGCCGGCCCTTCAGCATGGCTCGAGGGGAAAGGAACCCCCGGAACGCCCGGCCCCGGCCCCCTGCAGCCCCCCCCGGCCTCTCCCCGCGCTGTTTCCCGGTTTCGGCCCCCACCCGGCTCCCCGCCGGCCCCGCCGTTACCTCCCCTCCCGCTCATCCCACACGCCCCGCAGCCCCCGCCGCCCCCCGCTGCCGTGTGGCCACCCGGGGCCTCGGGCAGCCCCGCGGGAAGGGGGCACCTCCCCCCGCCCCCCCCGCTCCCCCAGACCCCGGTGCCGCCGGTCCCGGCGCTCCCCGGCCCCCGGCCCCGGCCCCGCGGCGCACACAACATGGCGGCTGCAGCGCCCGGCCCAGCCGCGCCGCCCCCGGCCCTTACCGACTTCTGTCCGCCTCGTCCGCGCACACCGCGGGCCTCTCGGAACCGCCTCCTCCGCTCGCCCGCCGCCACGTCCCGGTCCCGTCCCGTCCCGTCCCGCCCCCCCCAGCAGCGCCGCTCCGCCGGCCCGGCCGCTGCTCGCTCTGCCACACAAAATGGCGGCCGCGGCCCTGCGCCGCGCCCTGCTCCCCCCGCCCCTCCCGCCCCTCCCGCGCCAGCCAATGGCAGCGCGCGACGTCCGCCCTCAGCCAATGCGGGCCCCGCCCCGCCCGTTGCCGGGGCGACGGGGGCAGAGGGGAGCCGGGCGGGGCGGGGCGGGGCGGGGCCCCCTTTGAATCCCCCCGCCGCGGGGCAGGGCGGGAGCTGAGGGCGCCTCACGGGGCGGCCCCGGGCGGGGGCTGCAGCTGCGCTCCCCTGCGCGCCTTCCCCGGCCCCTCAGAAGGGGTTTTGGGGGATTTTCAGTGTCAAAAACATCAAAAACCGTCAAAAAAGCTCCCCCAGGGGCGGAACAGGCGGATGAATCATTTGTTGTGTGCCCGGCGAGCCATTGCCCCAGTTTCACCCCACGGGTGACAGCTGCCGCTGGCGCTTGGCTTTAAAAGTGCCCCAAAAAGAAGAGATCTGGGGGTTGTGAAGTGTCCGGTGACACACCTGGAACCGGGCCATGTCCCCATTGGTGTCACCTGAGGCAAACGTTAACCAGGGTGACAACCTAAGGGGTTGGTTTGTTTGTTTGTTTTTTCGTGTGGGAATTGCTCAGTTTATCTTTTCTTAAAATTCCACATGAAAATATTAAACACGGGGGAACGTTTACAATACCCCTTATTCTATTTGGGCAGAGGACCTTTGGTTCTCAAAGCAATCCACGGGAACTTGATGGGTATTTGAATTTCTCCAGAGAGCTATTGGGAGGTACAAGGCAAGCAGCCCAACAGTCTAACGAAACCTTTTACTCCAATAGCTCAAAGCTCCTTGTGAGTTTTTAAGGAAAGCAGAGGCAGGATACCTAAAGGTACTTTCTGTACAAGCTGCTGTGGATGTGACCCAGGTCCATGTCCAGCACTACCCGAGCTCATTGTCCCACCCGTCCCGCTCGCTGACAGCTCCCTGCCGAAACCCACACCGGCAGCGAGTCACCAAGGCCCGGAGAGGCCCCGGCCCGGTTAAATCAATCCGGCTCTCACGTCCCATCAGCAGGAAAAGCGTTCTCACCCCCAGCCCACCTCACAACACACACCCAGGTGGTTCTCAGCACAGGCTCTGCTTGCATGGCCAGAGCAGAGAAGCCACACCACTCGTGTGAGCCACAACACGCAGAAGGCAGTAATTTGGTTTTTCCTCTAAGCGTTTCCTCTTGGGGTGCAGCACGAAGCCACCCCATCTCTCTGACCCCTTATCAGTGCTAGCGCTGCCTCTCCCCCCAGCCATGAGCCGCTCTTCGTTTCCCACATTTGGCACACACCAGATTCTGCGAAATAAAAACCTGTGGTGCTCCACAAGTCGGCTGGGCTGCCGAGCCGGACCCAGCTCACAGCCCCACGGCAGCACCGGGGCACGCGGGGGGCCGTGTGGTGCCCCCAGCCCCCAGCCCCCCAGCTCCGTGGGCAGAGGGTGCAGGCAAACAAATCGCCCTGGGGCTGTGAGGAGTGGGAAGCTCGCTGTGGAACAGCAATAATCTCCTTCCAGTCACCGTGAAGAGCGCTGTGCGACCCTAAGCGGCCTCTTGGGCTGGGGCAGCGCCCCCCCCCTCCCCCCCCAGGCTGCTGAGCTGCGCTGCCCCACGGCTCTGCCTCGGGAGTCCTGCGGCCCCCGAGCGGGGTCAGGAGCCCGGGGCCGCTCCAAGGAGCCCTGAGTGCTGCTGGGGGCAGAAAGGGAAGGGCCGGGGGGGCCGGAGGGGCCCGGGGGGGCCCGGAGGGGCCCGGTGCTCCCCGCTCCGCCGGGCGGGGGCAGCCGAGCGCCGTGGAGCGCGCCCGGGGCTGCGGGGGGCGCGGGGGCGGCCGGGGCCGGGGCTCGCCCTCCGCAGCCGGGTGGGGTCCGGGGGGGTCCCCCGGGGGTCCGCGGGCCGTGGCGGTGCGGCGGAGCCCGGTTCCTCGCCCTGGTGTTTGCCGAGAGAAACCCCCCCCGGAGCGCATCCCGGCGGCGGGCACGGAGCAGCGGCTGTGACCCGGGGGGGCTCCGGCTGCCGGTGGGGCCGGGCCCGCGGCTTCCCCAGCCTGCCCGCAGCCCTGCGCACCCACACGCACACCGCCTGTGCCGTGTCTGCTTCCAGGCTCTCGTCCTTCCCCTCCTCTCCCACCTTCCCTTAGAAATCAGGGAAAGATGCTGGAAGCCGCTCTCCTCAGAGAGTGTGCACAGGGACTCGGGGGCTGAGCAAACCGGGGCCGCGAGGTGCTGCCAGGCAGAGGCAGAACACCAGACCCAGAGGGGAAGTGGGAAGGAGAGAAACACACTTACAGCAACAGGGTGAGAGAGAGAGAGCAAGAACCAGACCCAGGGTTTGCACTGATGGATTCGCAGCCCGGGGGGATCAGAGGGGATGGTGCCCAGGAGCCCAGATGAAACCAGAAGCGATGTGACGGGAGGGGGAAGCAGGCACCGTCCGCAGCTGCACGAGCTGCCCTGGGAGCCCGAGGGTGGGAAGCCCCCGGCCGTCTGCAGCCGAGGCGTAGGCGTGAGGAGGTGAGTGGCTGCACTCGCTGCCCCAAGGGACATCCTGCAGCCCAGGATCCTCTTTCTCACGGTGACAGGCACCCTACCTGGGAGCCCGCAGCGCTGACACACGCACGCAGCCTGGGGAGGCTCTGCCACCGAGGGCTTGTCGGGGAGATTCCCGCTGATACCGGGGATGAACCGCGGTGCCATGCACAACACAGAGCGCAAAAACGGTTTTTGGATGAATGCTTTCTTAACAAGAACAAGGAAGGTAAGTGTTTAAACAGCGGGTTGCAGACTGACTCTTTAGAGCTGGTTTTAGGACACGTTCACGTTGGCTATGCCAGAGGCTTGCCTCCCAAATCTGAGTCTGGCTCTGAGCTCCTGGGCTGAGCGCTCAGCGCTGGCTGGTGGTGGTGGCTCCGCGCGGGGTGGTTTCAGCAGGGCAGCAGCAGCTTTGCCATGCTTGGTACCGGCGCTGGCACTCGTGTCGTTGCTCTGTGGCCGTGCACCTGTGTGCTTTGAACGCTGTCACTGTGCAGTCACACGTGAACAAATCGTGACTCTGAAAACAAAGCAAATAGTCCTCGGTGCGGCACCTGAGCCAGAGAGTTCCTGGCTTCAGGCAGGGAGCTGGGGGCATTGCTCGGTGAGGGCAGAGGGACAAGCCGGGGTGAGCAGCTACCGTGCCAAAACTTCTCCTGCCACTAAAACAAGAAATTGTATACAAGTGGGAATATTTGTAAAGCAAACAATATTTTGCTTTTTCAGCAAGCGAAATGTGAAAGAAATTAATTTCAGAGGTTTTCAGATAAATCACTTAACCTGTTCATACGATGTGAGTGCTGCATTTTGTTGTAAAGACCAACTCTCTCAGAAATACTGGTGATGGAAAAAGGGCCAGACCGCACAAGGAGATGGGCTCTTGGCTCGGCCATGTTCTGAGGTCGTGGAGCCTCTGCCAGCGAGCAGACCTTGTGCTGGAGCAAAGCCCTGTGCTTTCCCTCGCAGACACGGGAGCTCAGACAGAAGTGCAGAGCCTCGTCCTTGTCATTCAGCCTGAGACACAACAGATGTGGGAAGAGGAGGTCCGGGCTGCGGGGCTGGTTGCTACGAGCCCAGCACAGTACCTGCGTTTTGAACCTAGGGGCTTATCTGCATTATGTCAGCTCAGTGGCAGAGCTGTGCAGGACAGGCAGAGCAGGAGTTGGTTTGCCGTTACAACCAAATTCCCTCCCTAAGCGCCGTGACACGAGGGGCAGCATTTTGCTCTCCTTCCATCCCTTGCCCAATGTTCACTTGTTTCCAAGCTCCTCGGTGTGTTCTTTGGACACTGAATAAGTGCAGAGGCTGGGAGCTTAAGGTAGTCCTGGGAGTGCTGGCTGCAGTGAACAGGTGGCACGGTGATGCTGGAGTTTGCTTAATTAAGAGCTGTCCTGGTTTGGATGCTGGGGTTTGGCCGGGGGAGTTTGGGGTACTCGGGGAGGCAGCTGCTGCCCCGGTGAGCCCCGAGATACATCGCAGTGCCTCTGGCTGTGCAGCGTCTCTCTGGTGCTCAGCTTTAACACCAGCAGCTACTAATTACTGCTGCGCTTGTAACGTTTCTGAGAAGAGCTGCAGGAAGCAGGAGCGCTGGGTTGGAGTGCAACATCTCTGCTCCCGTGCGATTGCCCCATGGCAGGGCCTGACGTAAGCACGGGGAGGCTTGCTGCAATGCGGGGCGACACGGCAGCCCAAAGTCCAGGCCCCCCCTGCTCCGATGTGCCAAGAAATGCACATCAGGACTGAAATGTTCCGGCTGCAACGTGCGACCGAAGGCCCTGCAGCCGCTGATGTCCGAGCCCTGACGTGCGAGGCTGGGCTCTTCTGAGCGAGCCCCAGGCAGCCTCGCAGGGGTTTGCAGCACAGGAACAGCGGTGGCGGTCAGGGACCGGCTAACCAAGGGGAAGGAAGTAGCAAAAACACCACACCTGGCACTCCGCTGCGCTGCAGGCAGGGTTTTCCAGCACGGTGGTCATTTGCTGGTGGTTGTAGCCTCCAGGGGCGGCTGCCGTCACTGCTGAACCCCGGCCACCACGCGGAGCAGCCGCAGGCGGTCGGTTACCGCTGCCTGGAGCCCGGCAGCCGCTGTCCCACGGCCGGCCTGCGCTGCCTCGCGCTGTTTGGACATTTTCCCTTCTGAAAGAGCCGAGGGCAGGCAGTGACGGTGCCTTTTTTGCCTTGGGAGGAGGGGAACACTGCCAGCGCGGTGCTGTCCTCCAGCAGTGGCAACTCCTGGCCCCTTGGCCCAGATTTGGGATCCTGGCTGCGGGAAGGCAGCCGGGTGCTGTTGGGGTTTCTGTCCCGAGGGCTTTTACACCGCCGGGGTACGAGCTGGCAGCACATCAGCACACAGCACCCCGCGCTGCTAACCAGGCAGTGGCAGCGTGTCCCAGAGACGCCTCCATAGCATGTCTCATAGCCAGCCTGTCCCGGCCACAGCCCAGCACCACCGGGAGCCCCTTCCCGTGCTGCCAGCCCCGAGCCCCGGAGCCTCGCTCAGAGCTCGCCCAGGGCACCGGCAGCTCTCAGCACCACCGCCTGCCTCCTGCGGTGAGGAGACAGATGCAGTGCCCAGAGCTGTGGTGGCTGCACCCAGCGGGACAAAGCCCAAATCTCAGCTGGGAACGGCTGGAAGTCATCTCCCACATTTGGTCTGGGGACCTGAAAGTATCTTGCACCAGGCTCTTCTCCTGCATAAACAGAGGGATGTCACTGGGGGCTGAGCTTATTGCTCGTTGTGCTCCTGTAGGTGTTGTCCTTCACCTTGCCCTTGGTCTTTTCCAGAGCACCTGAAGTGCAGAAGGAAGCTGAAACGCTCCCTGCAAGCTCCTGGCTCCAGCTGACTACAATGGATATCTGTAAAACATTTGAAAACGCCTCCAAATGCAGTGTGAACGGCACGCCCATGGAGTGCTTCATGGTCCTCAGCACCCAGGCACAGAAGATAAGCATCGCCACGCTTTGCGGCCTCTTTGGGACGCTGTGCATCTTTGAGAACTCTGTGGTGCTGTACCTGATCTTCTCCTCCCCTGGGACCAGGAGGAAGCCTTCCTACATCTTTATCAGCAGCCTGGCCTTGGCTGACCTCCTGGCCAGCATCATCTTTGTCAGCAGTTTTGTTAACTTCCACGTCCTTAATGGAACCGATTCCTCTAAAGAGCTGTTCCTGCTGAAGCTGGGAGGGGTCAACACGTCCTTCACAGCCTCCCTGAGCAGCCTGCTGCTGACAGCCCTGGACCGCTACGTCTCCATCAGCCGGCCCTCCGAATACAAGCTCCTTGTGACGAGGAAGAGAGCGTGGGCAGCCCTGGGGGTGCTGTGGGCGATGTGCGTGACCACCGCCTCCCTGCCCATCCTGGGCTGGAACTGCTGCACGCTCAACTCCACCTGCTCCGAGCTGTTCCCCTTTGTGGATGACAACTACCTGTCCAGCTGGGTCTGCCTCGTCATGGCCCTGCTGGGGTGCATCGTCTACGCCTACGCGCACGTGCTGTGGAGGGCTCACCAGCACGTGGCCTACATGGGGAAGCACCAGGCGCAGGTGGGAAAGCAGAACAGCAGGATGAGGATGGACGTCATGCTGGCCAAGACCCTCGTCATGGTGCTGACCGTCCTTGTGCTGTGCTGGTCGCCCGTCCTCATTCTCATGATCTACAGCATCTTCACCAAGCTTACCAATCACCTGCGCAAGGTGTTTGCCTTCTGCAGCACTCTCTGCCTGCTCAATTCCATGGTGAACCCCATCATTTATGCCCTGCGGAGCAAGGAGCTGTTCTCCTCCCTCAGGGCGGTCTTTTTCCGCTTCAAGAGGCGGCTGAGGGGCACGGATGACAGCCCAGAAGGGGACAGTGGCCACAAGTCCTCCGTGGCAGAGACCGTCTGCGAGGATGACGTGCACGTAACGTAGGGAGGCAGCAGGTGGGAAGTCAGCGCTCAGGCTGGGGGGAGCCTCTGCATCATTTTTCTTTTGGATTGCTTTTCTTTTCTCTTCTTATGGAGGTCCTGGGGGGTGCCTGGCATGGCCCCAGCTCCCGCTGATGTTATTCTGGGACACTGGGACATGAAGTGCCCGGACTGCCAGTCCCTGGGCTGCTGGTGCCGCATTACAGTGAGAGCAGCGAGGCAGTGGGTAACGCCAGACCCCAAAACAGCAAATCCAGGTGTTTGGTGGCTGCTTGTCCTGCCTGGCCCCCAGTCTGTCCACCAGTAGCCTCCTAACCCATTTTTCTTACATTCAGTGATATCTCCCTTAAAATGTAGCTGTATTTGGGTGCAACACTCCGCACACCTCCAGGTTCTCCAGCGGTCCCCAGCCGCCACAAACACCTCTGAGTGCCCCTGGGTGATTTGTCCAAGTGCCACCAGCAAAGCACTCACAGCACCTCGCTGGGAGCCCAGCAGCTGTGGAAACAGCCTCGTGTGCTGTGCCGGGGCACTCGGTGGTAGCAGCACGGTGACAAGAGGTGGCAAAAAGTGACAACAGGTGGCAAAAGGTGACAAGAGGCCTTGGTGTCCCGGCAGAGGCAGGAGGGAACAGTGGGCTCGGGGACTGTCCATGAAGTCGTGACACCGCCGGGATGCTGCGGGCACGTTTCCTGCAGGCAGCTGACGAAGCCGACCTGTGCCTCGCAGCGTTGGCTGCTGTGTGATTAAACCTGAGACCCTGCTCGAGCCCTGCAGCCTCGTCCCAACCTCCCCGAGCTGCGGCGCGGAGCCCCGGGGGCTTCCACCCGGCAGGAGGAGCTGGGGGAGGCCCGGGCCGGCTCCTCGAGGCGCAGCCGGGGCCGCGGAACCGCCGGGGCCGCCACCGGGCCAGGCCCAGCCCCGGGGCCGTTGGGCTCTGCCCGGGGGGCGGGGGGCTCGCGGCCGGGCCGAGGAGGGGGCGCGCTGAGGGGGCAGGGCCGAGAATTGAAGAGAAGGGAAGCGAAAGGCAGGGAGGGGAAGGGAAGGGGAAGGCGGCCGCCACCCCGCGGCCGTCCGCCGCCTCGGAGCCGCGTCCCGGGGCGGGGATGGGGATGGCGGCGGGGCCGCTGCTGTGGCTGGCGGCGGCGCTGGGCCCGGCGGCGGCCGCGGGGCGCTACAGCCCCGACTGGGGCAGCCTGGACGCGAGGCCGCTGCCCGCCTGGTTCGACCGGGCCAAGGTGGGGGTGTTCGTGCACTGGGGGGTCTTCTCCGTGCCCGCCTGGGGCTCCGAGTGGTTCTGGTGGCACTGGCGGGGCGAGCACCGCGCCGACTACGAGCGCTTCGTGAGGCAGCGCTACCCGCCCCGCACCGACTACGCCGACTTCGCCCCCCGCTTCACCGCACACGACTTCCAGCCCCGCCGCTGGGCACGGCTCTTCCAGCGGGCGGGGGCCAGGTCAGCGCCGGGACCGGCTGCGGGCCATGAGGGGATGGGGCCGGGATGGGGGCCCTGAGGGGATGGGGCCCGGGCTGGGGGTCCTGAGGGGCTGGGGCCAGGGTCCTGGAGGGTCCCTGAGGGGGTGGGGGCTGTGTCTGAACACCCTGAGGGGACGGGGGCCCAGAGCAGCACCTGGAGGTCCCGGGCAGGTCGTGCCCGGGGTGCTGAGGCGTTGGCCGCTCTGACTTGCGAAGTTTCATTGTTCAGCCTTTTCCAGCATCACAATCCATTTAAAACATCTCCTGTTCTTGTCGTTTCTCCTACATCTTAAGGGCAATGAAAGGGACTTGTAAAGAGCACTCCTCACAGCACGGTTATTCCGTCCCTTGCCTGTATAGGTATCAGATTTGCCTGTGAGGCCTGGAAATGTCTGAGATAGCTCCTTTGTCACCGTGATCAGCTGCCATTTCCCCCCAGGTACGTGGTGCTGACCACGAAGCATCATGAAGGCTTCACCAACTGGGGGTCACCCGTGTCCTGGAACTGGAATTCTGTGGATACGGGGCCCCACCGTGACCTTGTAGGAGAGCTGGGACAAGCCCTCAGGGAGAGGTAGAGCCAAGCTTTGCTGTTCTTGTCGTCTGTCTGCACTGAATTCTCATGGCTGTTCTCAGCAAACAGCTGAAAATTATATGTTTAATATGAAAACAGTGCTTGCAAAGTCATGAAACTGAAATAATATTGACGGTAATTATTCTTACTGCCACTATATCATATATCTGCCACTGGTTCTCAGTCCTTACTGCCAGACTAACTCTTTCCTCTCTGTTTTCTATTCTTCAGCAACATACGCTACGGACTGTATCATTCTCTGTTAGAGTGGTTTAATCCACTCTACCTAGCTGACAAAGAAAGTGGCTTCAAGACCCAGAACTTCGTTTTGAAGAAGACAATGCCAGAACTTTATGATCTTGTCCTAAAGTAAGAGCTGTAACCAGTCAGGATTCAAGAGCATTTCCTGGTTTCCAGTTCTGTAGAGAAAGTTGCAAAGTGGATGCGGAGAAGATTGTTGACAAATGTTAGTTTTTGCCAAGGCAAATCTATTTACTTAGCAGCGATGATTTGAGGTAATTAGAAAAAGGGTTCACATTTGCTCTTTGGCAGTCTGACTTACAGTAAGGTAGGGGCAAATTTTTGTGCAAGAGAAATGCCCTTTCATACTACCTTTTTGCAGAGTAGCTTTGAAAGTGGAGCAAGCTATTTGTTAGAGTAGGAGAGCGATTTCACTGTGAGTTTACGTCCTTGCTTTGCTTCCCCATGCTGATTAGAATACCCGGCTTGGACACCTGTTGCTCACAGTACCCATTGTACCAAGTAGAGAACGTGCCTCATAATTGCCTTTGAGATGCACTCTTCTCGTTTTGGAAGAACTGCATCCTGTACTTTGAGCTGTGATCATCTTTCTTTGCTGCTGCAAAAGCTTCACTTAAAGCTTTTTCTGAAGCAGGAAGTGACAGCATGAACCTCCTGGTAATGTCAGACAATAGGAAGTGAAAGCAGACTCCAGAGGCAAGAAACACCGTGCTGTGACACGCTTCCTTTGGGGTAGGAGCAAATAAGCTGTTCTGAAGTGATGTTCATCTCTCTGTCAGGTATAAACCAGATTTGATTTGGTCAGATGGAGACTGGGAAGCTCCGGACTCGTACTGGAATTCTACCTCTTTCCTTGCCTGGCTTTACAATGACAGTCCTGTCAAGGTACTTCTTTCAGCTGCCTGTGGTATTCTATAGGTATGGAAGGTCCTGGCAGCAGTGAGATATGAATGCGATCAGAAACCTTCTTGACAGGTGCCAAACCTCTTTTATTCTTTCGCCAAAAGTAGAAAGTCCACACTGCTCCCAAGAGAAGCCTCTAGGATCCAAATCATAACCTGAAGCAGAAAACACAAGCCTTTTCTTTACAGCACGTGTGGAAGGCTCAGAGACCAGGAACCTTATTCCCTTGATTTCTGCTCGAGTGAATAGAGAGACATTCTTCCAGAGAGGCATTCAGCCTTCTGGAGGATCCTCTCTCACTCTCTCTTGATCACTTATGCACGTGTGTATGTTAAGTACTTAGGCTCCTAGCTTAGATGCCTAAAGTAACTTGGGAGGGATAAAGGCAAACTGGAACATCCAAGACAAAACATTCTTCCTGCTGAGTTGTGTTTCCTTCTTCTAGGACACTGTTGTTGTGAACGACCGTTGGTGTAATAACTGCTCTTGCCACCATGGAGGCTACTACAATTGTGCTGACAAATACAAACCAGGGACCTTGCCGGCTCACAAGTGGGAGATGTGCTCCTCCATTGACAAGCTTTCCTGGGGCTATCGGAGCAACATGCACATTGATGAGTTAATGGATGAAGCAAGTATCATCGAGGTAAGAAACCTGAAATTAAAATCGCGCGTGTAGGGAAGTCACTGAGAATTGCAGATTTCCTTCATCCTGTTACTCACAGAAGGAGTTGTCGTGTTTCGTACAAGCAGGTGGACATAAAGGAGTGCTGGAGGAGGACAAAGCACTCCTCAGGTTTCTTTGCTGTCAGAAGTGAAGATAATTCAGTTTGTTACCTTTGTTTATCTGCCACAGGAGCTAGTGAAAACTGTGAGTTTTGGAGGCAACTACCTTCTCAATGTGGGCCCGACAAAGGAAGGAGTGATAGCTCCCATCTTCGAAGAAAGGCTTCTGGCCCTCGGGAGGTGGCTGGACACTAACGGGGAGGCAATTTATGAATCGAAGCCATGGAGAGTACAGGTGGAGGACACAGGCACTGTCTGGTAAGGACTGCATTGCTCAGGACCATCCTGCAGCTGCTCCAGCTCGGGTTACAGAAGCTGGGCTTTCTTTATTGGTCATTAAACTTGGCACTTGCTGAAGCATTGCCATCAGGTGCAGATGGCTTTTAGGTAATGTCCTGCAGCTGGGGTGCGCACTTACTGCCCCAGGGTTACTGCCCCAGGGTGTTGCCTAAGAAATATCTTGCTGGAAAGAAAAGGATGAAAATCAGGGCTTCAGCCATCTTACGTGATTTTACAAAACAATTGTTCCCTTGAAAAAAACTCCTACACTGTTGCTGTCAGGACTGTTTAAGTAGTGCTCGTGGCTAGCTGGAATTGCACAAATGTGGTTTGTTTAAATGCATGTAGTCCGTAAATGTAGTGATATTTGCTTTTAGGTTGTTATATAATAGTACTGCGTACTGTTACCCAACTGTTGTGCTTGCCGAGAAGAGCACAGTGAGCGAACCAAGAGCCAGAGGTGCTACAGAACGGAGCTGTTAGTTCTGAGTGTGCTCAAGTGTGTTCAGCCTAGAAATGCAGAGCAATGAAAAGATCAGCACACGACAGCACGTCTGCTCTGCTGACCTCAGTCAGATGAAAGGACAGATGACACTCGCTTTTAGGAAGCGTGCGTGGACTTTGTTTAGGTTTCATCAGCCAGTGCTTGCTGGCTAAGTGTTGGGTTCAAAGCGACAGATTTTGGAACGAGGGGAAAGTAGGTGACCCCTGCATGGTGCCAGGAGGTGAGCTGCTGTTCTTGTGCTGTGGGGAAAGGTCAGGCTTGTGGGGCTCTCTCCCCTGCAGACTTTTCACCTAGCTGAACTCTTGCTCTCCTAGGTACACTTCGAAAGGACCAGTTGTCTATGCCATTTTTCTGGTCTGGCCTCAGGACAACGTGCTGCAGCTGTCCTCACCCACTCCATCCCCAGCCACACAAGTAAGGAACCTGAGGAAACGAGAGAGAGTGCACTTTGAGAGCCCTTCTTGGGAAGCTGTGGGGTGGGAAGGCCCAGCCTGACTTCATTGGGAAACTGGGGAGAACACGGCATGTGGCATCCCTTACTCCTTGCTCTGGGATGGCTTCACCCAGATTCTTGCAGCATCCCGGGCCATGCAGGGTTTGTCACTGTGCAGCACGGAGCAGTGGGTAGGACCGGGCAGGAGAGGCTTGTGCCCTGCCATGGAACAGGTAGGAACACCTCTCCCCTTCGGGAGATGAGGTCAGTGAGAAGCCTCACACATAGCAGGGATCACGGGCATTACATCCCCAATTGGGATCGGGTACACTGACCCCTGAGCTGTGAGTGTGGGAGTGACGCAAATGCCGGGGTGCCCTTTGCCCTAGACAAACAGAGGTGAAGCCTCGCAGGTGAAAGGAAAAAAAAAATCACAACACAACACCCAAAACCAAACAAACTACAGTCAAAGGTTTGGCCCCCAAACACCCTTCGTGTTGCCTTTGTACACAGTGAGCGACGGGTGGCAATGTGCAGGCTGCTTCTAACACATGGGGAGTGTGACACGGCCTGAACCACGCGCTGGGGGTACCGGGGTGACCAAATGGGGAGCGCCTGTGGGAGCCCCAGCTGAGTGTGTGCCCTGCCCTTCTCTGCAGGTGTCGATGTTGGGTTTTGCAGGGGCTCTGCAGTGGCAGAAGGCCCCGGGTAAAGGACTGCTCCGTAACGCTGCCGCCCCTGCCCCCATCTCCCCTATCCACACAGCCGGGCTGGGCCCTCAGGCTCCAGGGGGTGCAGTGACGGCCGCGTCCTGCCCGCAGCTCCCCCCCGCCTGCCTTTTGGGTTAAGTCTAAGCTGTTTTTTCATTCACTGTTGAATAAATTGCTTTTCTCTGGAGAGAACTGCGCTTCTACCCGCGCTGTCTGTCAGTCAGTCATAGTCTGTCAGTCCGTCAGTCCCTCTGTCTGGGCTGCCTTCTGCAGCGTGCTGCTGGCGGGGGGCAGCGGGTGGGGATCAGGGGGGGGCTGTCGGGTTGCAGCCGAGCCCCCCGGCAGCTGCCAGGGCCCCGCCGCCGTGCCCGCTCCAGGGGGGGGCCGAGCCGCGGAGGGGGAGGGCGGGCGCGGGGTGGGCGCAGCGGGGCCGCTGCCCGGGCGGGGGGCGGGGGCCGTGGCCGTGCAAACACGGGGCTGTTTGCTCAGCGCCGCCGGCACCGGGGCCGCCTATAAAGGGGCGGCTGCGGGCGGCGGGGGCAGACCGGGAGCGGCACGGCCGGACCCCGAGCACACGGCGGCAGCAGCAGCCACAGCCACAGCGGGTCCCGGCTCCCAGCCCCCAGCCCTCCCGTTCTCCGGTCCCGTTCTCCGCTGCCCCCCCCATGCCGCTCTGCCCGGTGCCGCCGCCGCCCCGCGAAGCCGCCCGGGGCCAGGTACGGGCGGGGCGGGACTGGGAGGGGCGGGGAGCGGAGCGCGCCGCCGCCACGTGACCGCCCCGCCCCCCGAGCTGGGACACGTGACGGCGCGGTCACGTGGGGGGCGGCAACCATGGCGGCGGCGCGGAGGCTGCTGCTGCCCCGATGGGCAGGGGCCGTGCGGCCGGTGCGGGGCGGGGGCGGCACCGGGAACGGGGAACGAGACTGGGACAAGCACAGGGGAATGGGACGGGGACCGGGGATCTGGAACCGGGAGGGGACTGGGACCGGGAGTGGGGTACAGGGACCGGGCACCGGGATCGGACGGGGACGAGCCCCGGGGCCCCGCTCCGCTCACGCCGCTCCCGTCCCTGCCCCCAGATCAGCGCCGCGGCCGCCGGCGCCCTCCCGGCCCGTGTGAAGGTGGTGGAGGTCGGGCCCCGCGACGGGCTGCAGAACGAGCAGGTAATGGCGGGCACCGGGCACGGCGCTGACCCCCCCCGGGGCTGACCCCCCCCCCGCTGACCCCCCCGTTTTCCCCGCAGAGCATCGTGCCCACGGCAGGTGAAGATCGGGCTGATCGACATGCTGTCCCACACCGGGCTGCCGGTCATCGAGGCCACCAGCTTCGTGTCGCCGCGCTGGGTGCCCCAGGTCAGTGCCCCGGGGGGGCGGCAGCGCGGGGAGCAGACACCCCCTGCCCCTCGGACCTTCAGCACCGCGTCTTGTGACAAGAAAGGAGCAGAAAAGCCAGATAAAGGCTTAAAAACGCCAAAAAAATGTGGTGTTGTGCCCCTTCCCTTTGCTCCCAGGGGAGCAGCGCAGGCTCTCACACAGCCGCGTGTTGACCCTGGCCGTGCCGGTGGCTGCCCTTTGGCCCGTCCAAGTGCGCAGTGCTGTGGGCTCGCTAGAGGCCAAATTCCCCCCGTTCTGCGTATCGCTGTTCCCGTTCTTAAAAAATGAATTTCAGAAAGTGTTTTCTAACCTGTGCAAGTGGCTGACGAGCGTGTTGACACCCTTAGAGATCTGTCGGCGTTCCCTTTGCAGATGGCCGACCACACTGAAGTCATGCAGGGGATCAAGAAGTTGCCTGGTGTCAGTTACCCCGTGCTGACCCCGAACCTGAAAGGATTTCAGGCAGCGGTAAGAGCTCACAGCGTTACCGCTGGCAGCGTCCTGTGCAGGGCTCCCTGTGCAGGAACATTTCAGCTGGGGTGGAGGCTGGGCAGCCCCTTGCATTCCCGTAGGCAGCAGTTTCATCTTACAGTTCCTTGAGCAAGGAATTGCTCCGCTGGGGAACTAGAAACCTGTTGGCTGTGGTAGAGGATACCTCAGGACGTTTTCCTTGAAGTCATTGTAAAAACCAGGCTGTCTCGTGTGTTTGGTGTGGAACGAGCTGAGGAACGAATTAGGTTGTCCAGGGAAGAACTGGGAGGAGAAACTTATTTATAAAACGGGAGAACTGCAGCGCTGGTCGTGCTGGTGACTTCTCTTGAAAGAGAAATCATCTCACGTTAATGCTTTCTGCTGGCAGGTGGCAGCAGGGGCCAAGGAGGTGTCCATCTTTGGAGCAGCGTCTGAGCTCTTCACCAAGAAGAACATCAACTGCTCCATAGAGGAGAGCCTGGAGAGGTTCAGTGAAGTGATGAGTGCTGCACGAGCTGCCAGCATTCCCGTCCGGGGGTGAGGAGTCCCGCTGTGCATTGAGAGCCCAAAATGCTTCACAGTTTGTGCTGCACGTGGCTATGAGGTGTAATCTCACTTCAGTTCTCTGGTTAAAAGTTACTTTTTTTTTTTTTAACTACAGATATGTTTCCTGTGTCCTTGGGTGTCCCTATGAAGGGAAGATTTCTGCAGCTAAAGTTGCAGAGGTGAGCTGATAAATCGAACCAGAATTTCCGTGAGATTTTTGACTCTGTTATAAAGACGTGGATGGGACCCTGGGGGCTGGGGAATGCATTGAGCCATTTAACCAAAGATGGGAGGAAGCTGTGAACGCCCCCAGTCTGTGCTGCCACACAGAAGGGTGGTCTGGCTGATGCGGACGGGGGATTCCGGGAGGTGGACCCGGAGTGTGCAGTTCCCAGAGGAACCTCAGCTGTTGTGCTCCAGAGGAGCATGCTCTGCACGGTGGGCATCCAGCCTGGGGGAAAGTCACAACAAGCTGCCCTCTCAGTACGAGTCTCGGCTTTGGGACAGGTCTCCAAGAAGATGTACTCAATGGGGTGCTACGAGATCTCCCTCGGTGACACCATTGGCATCGGGACCCCGGGGAGCATGAGGGAGATGCTGACGGCGGTCATGAAGGAGGTGCCAGTGGGGGCTCTCGCTGTCCACTGCCACGATACCTACGGGCAGGCTCTTGCCAACATCTTGGTAGCACTTCAGGTGAGCTCCTCACCTTGCAGCATTGCGTCCTCCCTCAGGATTCTTCCGTGCTTGCTTCTGAGCCAGAGGATTCAGGAGCAGGACTGTGATTTGCCCTTTAGTCGAGGGGAGTTTCCTGAGAATGGTTTTGCCTGCAGATGGGTGTGAGCGTGGTCGATGCTTCTGTTGCTGGTCTTGGAGGCTGCCCCTATGCCAAGGGAGCATCAGGAAACGTTGCTACAGAGGACCTGGTGTACATGCTGAACGGCCTGGGCATCCACACGGTAAGCAAGGGCCTCTCGCGGGGCAGCTGTTGGGGTTGGAGCGGGGCTGCAGAGCCCGGCCCGGAGAGCTCCAGTGCAGGAGGTGCAGGCTCTGGGCCCACAGTGCCACAGCAGCTCCCTCATGCTGGGAGCGCGTCCTGGCCCCTTTCCCATGCTGTGTGATCTGATCTGTCAGAATCACAGCGAGGGCCTCGCCTTGGCACCCTGCAGCCTCCCTTGGCCCCCGCTGCTCTGTCCCAGCGGTGCCAGTCCTTACTGGGCAGCGTCAGGGGGCAGCGCTGGCACCAACCCCCTGCTGCCTCGTGTTCCCTGAAGGGTGTGGACCTGCAGAAGCTGATGGACACGGGAACGTTCATTTGCAACGCGCTGAACAGGAGAACCAACTCCAAGGTGTCCCAGGCGTCCTGCAGGCTGTGAGGCGGGACCCGGCGTGGCCCCGGAGCCGGCCGAGCCTCCCGTGTGTGCCGCTACCTCTCCTCCGTGTGCCTTGGACTCAGCAGAGAGCAGCCGCTGGGCGCTGCGACGGAACGGGCACGGGCATGGACATGGACACGGGCACGGGCACTGCCCCGCTGCGCCCTCAGCACGCCCGGTGGGCCGGGACGGCCCCGCCCTGCCTCAGGGGGGGGAACGGGCCCAGGGCCCGGCCCCAGGCAGGCCTCCTGGTGCCCGCAGCGCGGGGCCGAGCCCTGCTGAGGCGCCTCCGGGCCCGGGCACCCCGCGGCCTCCCTCAGGCTGCACGGGAAGGACCGGGGGGGGTTGGGGCAGGGCCCCGCTGTGCGCGGTGTTTGTGGCAATAAAAAGCCCCGGGATCCCCGCGGGGCCGCCCCCGGCCCGGCTCCGGCTGCTGCTGTCTGAGGGGGGGAGGGGCGGGACCGGGCTCCGCGGCCGTTTCCGGTTCCGGCCGCCAGGGGGCGCTGCGGGGCCTCGCTGCCACCGCCGGGCTGGGTCATCTGCGCATGCGCAAGCCGTGGCGGTGCCACGTTGCCATGGAGAACGGGGGGGTCTTAAAGGGGCCGCGCCCGGCACCGGGGGGGAGGGGACGGGAACGGGGAAGGGGAACGGGACGGGGCCGGCCCCGGGGGGCTCAGAGGGGGGCGGGGGGCTCCGTGCAGCGCCGTGGGTGGCCCCGCTCCGCCCCCGGCCCCGCCCCGCTCGGTGCCGGTGGGGTCGGGACGTGGCGGCCCCGCCCCAGCCCCAGCCCCGCGGCCATGGCGGGCCCCGTGCTGGTCACCGGCGGCGCCGGCTTCATCGGCAGCCACTGCGTGCTGCAACTCGCACAGGCGGGGTACGAGCCCGTGGTGGTGGACAACCTGCACAACGCCATCGCAGGTGCGGCGCGGGCCGGGACCCCCGGTACCTCCCGGTACCCCCCCCGCCACCCCCGGTTCCTCCCCGGTACCTCCCGGTTCCCCCCCGTTGCCTTCCCCCCCCCCATCGCCTCTCCGCCGTTTCCCCCGGTACCCCCCCCCTTACCCCCGGTACCTTCCCGGTACCCCCGGTACCCCCCCGGTACCCCCCCGGTACCCCCCCGGTACCCCCATTACCCCCCCGTCCCCCCCTCACCCCCCCGTGTTACCTCCCCCCACTGTTCCCCCCGTTACCCCCACTCCTCCCCAGTACCCCCCCGTTACCCTCTGTTACCCCGTTACCTTCCCATTACCGCCCCATTAACCCCCTCTTATCCCCCATTACCCCTCCATTACCCCCCCGCTACCCCCCCATTACCCCATTACCACCCTGTACCCCCCCATCCCCCCATTACCTCCCCGTTACCCCCCCGGTGCCCCTCTGCTACCCCGTTACCTTCCCATTACCCCCCCATTTCCCCCTGTTATCCCCCCGTTACCCCATTACTCCCCCCATCGCCCCCCCCGTTACCTCCCGCCCCCCCCAGGCCCGGATGGGCTCCCCGAGAGCCTTCGCCGCGTGCAGGTCCTGGCCCGCCGCCCCATCGCCTTCCAGCAGCTCGATGTCACCGACGGGGCCGCGCTGCAGGAGCTCTTCAGCAAGGTGGGGCTGGGGCCTGGGGGGCTCGGGGGGCTGCGGGCACCAAATGGCCCCTGCGACTGCTGGGGGAGGCTCTGGGGGGGGGCACCGGGTGGCCGCTGCCTCGGGGGGGGCTTTGTCCCGGTGGGGCAGACCCCTCCCCACATCCCCCAGCCGTGGGGCCACAGTGGGACCCCCCCTGGGGGCTGCCCCACGGCCCTCAGGCGGTGCCTCCCCCCCCCCCCAGCACCGCTTCTCAGCTGTGGTGCACTTCGCGGGGCTGAAGGCCGTGGGCGAGTCGGTGCAGCAGCCGCTGGAGTATTACCGGGTGAACCTGACCGGCACCATCCGCCTGCTGGAGGTGAGCGGGGGCAGCGCCACGTGGCCGGGCCGGGCGTGGGGCCGGCAGCCTCAGCAGCGGCCGGTGCCCCCCCGCAGGCCATGAAAGCTCACGGCGTGAAGAACATCGTGTTCAGCAGCTCCGCCACCGTCTACGGGGACCCCAAGTACCTGCCGCTGGATGAGAACCACCCGGTGGGGGGCTGCACCAACCCCTACGGCAAATCCAAGTACTTCATCGAGGAGATGATTCGAGACCTCTGCAAGGCAGACAAGGTGAGGGGCTGCTGCAGGGAGCCCGGGGCTGGGACCTGGGGGGTTTCTACCCCAAAAGGGGCTGCCCGGAGACCTGCAGCCCCGTCTGTGCTCCCCCAGGACTGGAACGCCGTGATCCTGCGCTACTTCAACCCGATCGGTGCCCACGAGTCCGGCATGATCGGGGAAGATCCTCAGGGCATCCCCAACAACCTCATGCCCTACGTGGCGCAGGTGGCAGTGGGGCGCCGCGAGTTCCTGAGCGTCTTTGGGAACGACTACGAGACCATCGACGGGACCGGTGCGTCCCCGTAGGGGGGGGGGGGGGGGCAGAGACAACCCCTCCCGGGGCAGAGCCTCGCGCTCACCGCCTGTCCCGGCAGGTGTCCGGGATTACATCCACGTCGTGGATTTGGCCAAGGGCCATATCGCCGCGCTGCAGAAGCTGAAGGAGAACTGCGGCTGCAAGGTACCGGCAGCGGGGCTGGGCCTGGGCCGGGCTCTCAGCCCTGGGTGAGAGGAGAGGGGCCCGGCCCCCCCTGGCCCCCCCAGCAGGAGCTGATGAGCCCCCCCCCATCCTCCTGCCAGGTCTACAACCTCGGCACCGGCACCGGCTACTCGGTGCTGCAGATGGTCCGCGCCATGGAGAAAGCCTCGGGGAGGGAGGTAAGGGCTGGGCGCAGCCTGGGGGGCTCCCTCACCACCCCCAGCTCCCCCCTGCGTGCAGCAGTGCCCCCCCCGAGGAGCCCCCAGCCCCACAGCGCTGGTGTCCCTCCCTGCAGATCAAGTACAAGATCACGGCCCGGCGGGAGGGCGACGTGGCCTCGTGCTACGCCAACCCCGAGCTAGCCGAGCGCGAGCTGGGCTGGAAGGCGGCCTTTGGGCTGGACAAGATGTGTAAGAGCCCCCCCCCTCACTGCGCCCCCCTCCCCACCGCACGGTGCCCCCCTCCCCATCTCTCACTGCCTCTCTCCCCCCGGTGCAGGTGAGGACCTGTGGCGGTGGCAGCTGCAGAACCCCACGGGCTTCAGCAAGAACTGAGCCCTGCCGCGGGGCTCCCCCAGCCCGGCTGCGGGTCCTGCCCCCCCCAAATGCCCCACACCCGGGGCAGGGGGGCAGGAGCGGCCGCGGGCTCCCCCCTTCCTCCTCCTCCTCCTCCTCCAGCCCCGGGGCCCTGCTGGCTGCTGGGGGCCTCCCCGTCCTCCTCCTGCCCTCCCCTGTGGTGTTGGGGACCAACTCTCGCCTCCCAGGTGCTGTGGTGGGGCCGGGGGAGCCCCTGCCCACGGCCGGGGGGGCTCCGGGGGCTCCTTCTGCTTCTGCAGGAATCACGGTGCCAAAGGGACGAGGCTGAGCTCTGCGGGCAAATCCGGATCCTATTTATTAGGGCAGTGGCCAGCCCGGCGCGCTGCCCCTTGCGATTAATAACTTATGGTAAATTATGAGTCCAGCTTTTGATTTGTTGCTAAATAAACTTTCTTACTTTCTGAGGCAGTTCAGTGCCGGGGGGCATGGGGGGAGCGGCGGGAGGGGCACCGAGAGGGCGCGGGGGACAAAGGGCACGGAGCTGGGAGAGGTTTCTGGTTTATTGAACCGTGTCTGACGCTGTGGAACACACACAAAAACCCCAAACATGTACAAGGAAGACAAGGAGGAGAGGGGGGAAAAAAAAAAGGGGGGGGGGGCAGGAGGGGAGAAGAAAGCGGTGGTGAGAAATGGAGGAGCCGCCCCCCTCCCGTGGTCCCAGCACGGCTCCAGGTCCCAGGTGGGTTTTGGGGGGGGGGGGGGAGCTGTGGTCCCGTCCCTGCCAGCCCCTCGCTACCCCCGCCCCGGGGCTGCAGCAGCTCCACACAAAGCTGAGGAGGCGCCAGCCCCCAGCCCCCAGCCCCAGCACGGGGAGGGGCCGTGCTCCCCCCGCTGCCAGCAGCAGCTTTGCTGGTTTGAGACTTCCCCAGGGAAACGAAGCCCAAAACAACCCAGGAAATTGGGGGGGGGTCGGGCAGAGCCGGCTCCCCAGACTGGGGGGGGATTGCTTCGCACCTCCCGGGCGGGGAGGGCAGGGCTGGAGCCCCCCCACAGCCCTCACCCCCCCGGGAGGTGCCTGCCTGGTCCTGACAGGGCCCGGGCATCGCCCCCAGAGCTGGGGGGCACAGCAGAGCTGCGGCCCCCAGCCCCGGGGGGCTTTTTTCTCTTTTTATTTTTGTTAAAAGACATTTCCAGCTCCAGCCCCGCGGGGCCCAGCGGTGCCGTGGGCTCAGCCCAGGGAGGGGAGGTGAGAGGAGAGGTGAGGGGCAGCACTGCTCAGCAGCGAGAGGGAGGGCAGGGGGCAGCCGGGAGCCCCCCTGGAGCCCCCCGAGGGCTGCCACGGCCCCCCAGCCCGGGCGGCCGCTCCCAGCCAGCTGGGTGAGGGGCTCGGCCCCGGGCAGCCCCTGATTGTTCGTGGGGAGCCAACGGGGCCACGGCCTCGGCCCGGGCATGGGGCAGCCCCCCGGGAGGGCTGGGAGCCGCGGCCGGGAGCCCCCCCTCGCCTCTCCCCGGCCCCCAGCCAGCCCGGCTGCGAGGGGAAGGAGAAGGAGAAGTAGCAGCAAGAGAGGGCAGGGAGCTGGCTGGGGGCACCGAGCTGGGCCCAGGGAGGGGGAGAAGCCCCCAGACCCCCCCCCAGGGCTGAAGAGAAGATTGTAAAAGCAACAAGAGGAGGAGGAGGGAGGTGATTATCTGCAGGGCTGCAGGGTGAGCCCGGGGCAGTGTGCGTGTGCGACAGGGCCGGGGCCGGAGCCCCCCAGACACCCCCCTGCCAGCCCGGGGCAGGGCCTCTCCCTGGGCCTGGGGGCGCTGGCAGGGGAGTCCCGGGTTCCTGAGCTCTGATCGAAAACCCGCGGAGTCACCTCAGCGAGGCCGAGGGCAGAGGAGGAGCCCCCGAGGGTGCCCGGCCCTGCCCCGTGCCCCCGCTGCCCCTAACACTGGTACAAAAGAAAACAAATAACAAAAAAATCTCACCCGGCCCCTGCCCGGCAGTGCCTGAACGGGAACCCCCCCCCGACACCACCGGCAGCGAGAGGAGCAGAGGGGAGGCCACGGGAACCGCACCTCAAAGAGCTCCGGGCTCGGCAGGGGAGGGACGGGCACCCCCGGGCACCAGGAGCGGGGCCGGGGGGCTCGGGGGGGTGCCGGGGGGGGCCATGGCTTCGGTGTGCAGCGGTCGGGTCCCGGGGGGCAGAGCAGTGGCCTCGGCGGCCTCCCCTGCGACCAGGCTGGGGCGGCTCCGCTCAGATCCGGGGCAGCAGCTTCTCGATGAACTTCCTTCACCGCCAGCATCTCCTGCGAGCGCACAGCCCGGGCTGGGGGCTGCCGGGGGCCTTCCCCCACCCCCGGCAGCCCCCTCCCGCCCCCTCCCGTCCCCTGGGCACTGACCTGCGGGCAGGAGCTGTGCATCACCCCGGGGTAGGTTTTGAACTGCACCTTGGCGGGGGTGACGACAGGATTTCAGCTTCTCGGCCGTGAGGGCCCCGAAGCGCACGGGGATCATGGGGTCCAGCTCCCCGTGGCACTGCAGGATGGCGATGTCCTTGTTCACCCCGCTGCTCGCCGCCTGCCGCCAGGGAGGGAGAGAGAGGAAGAGGGGTGGAGACGAAGCCCCCGATGCGGGCAGCTCGCCACCTCCAGCTCCAGGAGAGCCGAGGGGAGCCCCCCCACCCCAAAACAGAGCCGAGGGGCAGTGCAGGTACCTGCGGGAAGGCTTTGTGCAGCGGGAGCCAGCAGCTGAGCGCCACGATGCCGGCCAGCTGGTGCTGGCAGGTGAGCGCCGTGTAGAGGGACAGCGCGCCGCCCTGCAGCGGGACGGGGGTGTCAGTGACCCCCCAGGTCTCTGGGAAGGGGAGGAGGGGGCTGAACCCCCCCCCCCGCAGCCCCGCTCACCTGCGAGAAGCCCCCCAGGATGATGCGGTTGGCTGGGATCCCGTTCTTCATCTCGTGCTCGATGATTGCTTTAACTGGGCAAGGCAGAGAGATACAGGAGAGGTACATGGGGGAGGTGCTGAGGGGCACCCCCCTGCCCCCCCCCCCCAAACCTCTTACTGTTTTCTGCAGCTTTCTTGATCCCAGCTTCATCCTCAGGCGCGTCCGGAGTCAGACCCATCAGGTCAAACCTGGGGGGAGCAGCGGGGTCAGCCCCGAACCCAGCCACCAGCACGGGGCAGGAGGGAGCTGGGGCTCTGCCCTTGCTGGGCTTTCAGCTCTTCAGTCCCATCCCTGCACTCCCCAAAACACCCCCAAAGGCTCCCTCCCACCCCGGGAGACCCCCCCAGCACTGACCAGGAGGGCATCACCATCTTCATGTTGAGGGTTACGGGGATCCGGGGCCTGCAGGGACAGAAGTTGGGGGGGGTCAGCTCCAAGGTCAGAGAAACAAACGGGGGACAGGGGCCGCAGGACGTCTGCCCCAGGGGCCTGCAGCAGGTGGGGGCTATGGGGGGCACCCGCAGGTCCCTGGGGGATCCCAGCTGGGACCCTCAAGCCCCCCAAGCCCCTGGCCAAGCACTCACGCATGCGGGCAGATGTATTTCACGTAGGGGAGGCGGATGGAGGAGAGAGCATCGGCCCAGCTGTGCCTGGGGGGAGAGAGAAGAGAAGGGAGATCAGGGCTGGCCTGAGCACTCCGGAGGACACTGGCGAATTTGAGGGGTTTCCCCCAGGACAGCTTTTCTCCAAGGCTGCCAACGCCCGGCTCTGACACTGCTGTAGTGGCTCCAACCTCCCCCAACAGCCCGGAGCCCTCAGAAGCCCCCAGCCCAGCCCTCAGCAGCAGGGCAGAGGCAGAGCCCAGCAGCTGGAGGCAGAGGGGCTGCCATCAGCGAGGGAGGAGCGGGGAGAACCCCCCCGTGCAGGGAGCAGCCTTTTGGTCCTGCCAGCTCCCAGCCCTTCCAGGGATGGGGACACCACAGAGTTATCTGCTTGTCCTAACGGGCACAGAAAGTCCCCACAGGGGGGCTGCCGGCATCGTAAATGTTCCAGCTGAGTGCAGGCAGCCGCCGGGCAGAGGGTCCCCATTAGGGATCGTTTGGGCTGCAGAGGCTGAGATCCCCGGCCCCGAGCTGCCCCCGTCCCACCCCCAGCACGCCGCGGCTCCAGCAGCACTCACCCCGTGTCTCCCAGGCCGTGTAGGAAAATGACCTGAAAATTAAGCAGGAAAACAAAATGAGCTGGCGTGCCGGGAGAGAGGCAGGGGTGCTGCAGGATGTGGCAAAAGGCCACGCAGTCACTAATTAGCAGAGGCTCAGGCAGCAATTAGCCGGAGCTGCTGACACGTCCGGGCAGCTCTGAGCCTTACGGGCGGAACTGGCACAGCAGCACCAGCACCGCGCCCCCCCCCCGCCCACCCCAACCCCATAGAGCCCCTCCTCCAGTGCTCCCAGTGCTCCCAGTGCTGCCTCTGCACTGGGCAGGCCCCAGGCCCCAGCTTCCCACCCAGGGTCGGCCGCCCCCTCCCCCTCCCCCGCCGGCCCCGGGCCCCTCTCAGCAGCTCCCGGAGGCTCCGGCCCCCCCCTCCCGCGCCCCCCGCAGCGCCCCGCTCACCGCGGCCGTCTCCCGCTCTGCCCCGGAGACAGTGACGGCGTCGGCGAGCAGGGGGACAGACATGTTGTTGCCGCACATACACCGAGACGCGCGGCCACACCGGCACCTGCGGGACGGGGACGGGGCCGCGGCTGAGGCCGGGGAACGGCCCCGGGACGGCCCCGCTCCGGCCGCGCCCCCGCAGCACGGCCCCGAGCCCCGGAGCCCCCCCCCCCGCTCCCGGCCGGGCCCCGGCAGCGCCGCCCCCCCCCCTCTTTTTCCTTCCTCCCCCCGCCCGGGGCTCCCCGGTCCCGGCAGGGCCCAGCCCCGGGGGGGCCCGGCCCGGCCCTGCCGCAGCTCCCGGCCCTGCTCGAGGCGCCCCGGGCCCGTTGTGGGGGGGTTGGGGATGGGGGGGGGGAGGGGGCAGCGCCGCTCCCGTGCCCGCCGCCCCCCGGTGCCCCCCCCCCCGCCCCCCGCACCTCGGCCCGGGCCCCGCCGCGCTCCCGGCTCCGCCGCCGCGCTCCCACCGGAACTTCCGCCCGCAGCGCGGCGGAAACGACGCACCGACCCCCCCTGGGCGCGGCCATCTTGGCCTCCGGGCCCCGCCCCCGGCCGGCACCGGGACCCCCCCCCCGGTCCCCTGCCCCTGCCCCCCCCCCCCCCTCTCCCGGCCCCCCCGCGCTTGGGAGACGAGGCCACAGCGGCGGCTCCGAGCCCGGTTCCTTTATTGGCAGCGAGGGGGGGGGGCGGCACCGGGGCCGGTACCGGTACCGGGCACCCCCCCCACCCCGGCCGCTAGGAGATGAGGTGCGCCTGGGGGGTGACCTGCTGCAGCCGGTGGTCGGCCGGGTTGGGCGCCGCCTCGTAGCTGCAGATCGTCACCTCCTGCCGGGCTGCCTGTGGGGACACGGCCGGGAGGCACCGACACCGGGCACACCGGCACCCACCGGCACCCAGCACTGCCCCCCCCGCCTCCCCCACCCGCTGCCCACCCCCGGCCTGCACCCCTCACCGTGCCACCCGCCCCCTCCTCAGCCAGAGCCCGCTGTGACTTCAAGCTCCCCTTACACCAGGAGCCCCCTTACTGGTCCCCCTTTATCCCAGTAACCACCATTAAAAGCTCCCCCCTTACACCAGTAACCACCATTAAGGCTCCCCCCTTACCCCAGTATCCCCCATAAGGCTCCCCCCTTACACCCCGAGCCCAGCCCTGCCCTGCCCACACCTACCTCTGTCCACTCTCCCTTGAGGCCTATATAAAATATTTTTGTTGTCTCTGCCCCGAAGTTCTTCGGGAAGTGGATGGAGAGGTGGCTCACGCTGGAGAACCGGGCAACTCTGCGAGGAAAAGCGGCCTGAAAAGCTCTGCCTGCAGGTACGGGCACAGGCACAGTGCCGTGTGCTGTGCTACCGCCTCCTCCCAGCGTGAGGCCCTGGCCCCAGCTGGGCTCTGAGCATCACTCCTAAAACATCCAAGTCAGACCTGGGGGCAAATGAGGGAGGGGGCAGGAGGAGGGAGCAGCTTCCCCCGTCCTTGGGCTGTGCAGGTGTCACCCCGGGCAGCGATGAGCTGTCACTGGGGGCAGGACAGCGGGGCAGTTCTGCAAGGGAGGGGACTGCCCCCGCTGACACTTTGCTGAAGCCCAGCGACTCGTCAGCGGGCTGCAAGGGGGGCAACACCCACCCACCCCCCCCGTACTTGGTGGGGTACTCCAGCTCGCCCGTGGGGTCCCGGTTCAGGCTGAACATCTGGTCCGGTTCCCTGCCTGCATCATCGAAGGACATGTGAGGAATGTTCTTGAACCTGGGAAGAGAGGAAGGAAGGCCAGGAAGTTATTAAGTGCACATCAACTAATTGGTTTCCTCCCCGTTCATTAGCACTACCCGGACTCTTCTCAGCAGTAACCCGCCGGACTTGCTCTGCCTACTACAGGAGAAATTACCAACGCCACCACAATGCATCATCATGTTCCAGAACACTCACTGCCCTGCAGAGATACCCAGCTAGAGAGCGAGGAGCACAGCTGAGGAGACGCAGATGTCAGCACACGCGGGACCCTGAAGGAGCCCAGGCTCTGGTACGGGGCAGCGGCCGCCCCAGTACGGGGCTGGGCACCAGTTCCTGCTCCTCAGCTGGTAGCGAGTTACAGCCGAGCGCAGTGGGGGCATTTTTGGTTGTTACAAAGGAGTAAAAGAGACCCAGAGCAGGACCAGGAGCCTCTTGCTCCGTTCCCATGTGCAAAACAAGCCCTGACGGCGCTTCACATCCATGTTCATGGCACAGTGAGGGCAACAACTTGACAGTGGTGGCTCCCCCCCCACCCAAGCAAGAACTGCATGCTCAGTGCTCGTTCATAGGGAAAAAAACCAAGCAGCAGTGAGGAGCCCCCCCCTGCAGGAACTGAGGCAGGGCTGCAGGGCTGGGCAGAGCCCCGCAGGCCTCACCTGGGGCAGGACACTGCCACGGCCCTCCCTCCTGCAGCACGACCCTTCCCCTCCCCGGCCCTATTCACCCTCCTGCAGCCCAGCAGCTGGTCCCCTTGGGGCACGCAGGCAGCGTTACACCTATCGATTTCTAATGTTATGCCCATTGATTTCTAATCCCAATTAGCGCTCCGTTTCTGGAGCAGTGCTCAGCGAGCAGCCACAGTCACCCCGTGCAGGTCCTGGCTCCGTTCTCAGCCCCCCCGTGCCGGGGGGCTCCCTGGCAGGCACCCACCCGCAGGACTTACAGCCGCATCTCCGCCGGGTGCGAGCCGTCGTCCTCACCCATGACGATGACGCCCTTCAGCTTGACGCTGCCGGTGAACCTGGGGGGGGACGCGGGGGGGTCTCGGCGCTGCCCCCCCCGTGCCCCCCACCCTGCCCTTCCCCGGCCCGGTCCTGCCGGGCCCGCACTCACGGCACGTTGAAGAGCAGCTCCGCGTCCTCATCGCTCTCCACGAACTGCGGGGACAGGAGCGGGGCGGGGGGGGGCTCACACCGGGACCCGGGCACGGCGCAGCCCCGGGCCCCCCCTCCCGGGCCCCCCCCTCCCGGCCCGGCCGCACCTTGTCGCGGTCTCCGCGCTCCTCCCATGCGCGGAAGACGAGGGCCCCGCTGCCGTCGCGCCGCTCGTTGAGGCAGTGCAGGCGCTGCCGGTCGATCCGCAGGTGCAGCCCCCAGCCCGCGCCCCCCGCCCCAACGCCCCCCGCCCCGCAGCAGCAGCAGCGCCCGGGGCCGTGCGCGGGACCCTGCGCCATGGCCACGCCCCGCCCACAAGCCCCGCCCACCCCCCAAGCCCCGCCCACCCCATCCACGCCCCGCCCACCCCAATTTCCCCGCCCCCTCCCGAGGCCCCGCCCAGAGGCACCCCCCTCCACCCCCCCCCCCCCACCTCCCCGTTCCCCACCCCCAGCCCCCCCCAGCGGGCTCGGTTCAAGGCTGAGCCCCCCCAGCCCCTCGCTGCTCCCAGGGGCTGTAAGCGCCAGCTCCCACCCTGACAATGAATCCTGCCCAGTCCCACACAGAAAACAAGATAAATTTATTCCTTCTTTCATTAAAAGAGGCAAACAATGCCTGCGGTAATATTTTAAAAACATTTTCAGTTCCAGAGGCAGACAAAGTCCACTCCCTCCAAATTAAAAAAGTTAAAATGTTCATCGGTGCACAGAGATTTCTCCCCAGCCCCTCCAGGTTTTATTCCCGGCAGCCGGCAGGAGACGACAGCAGCAGAGGAGGAGCCCCGGGGGCCGCCTGCCCCCTGCGCAGCACCGGGAGCTCTGTACGAGATCTACAGGACCAGCAGAGAGAAGGTGGAGAGCTACGAGTTTATTAAGATATACGATCAGAGAGCAAAGCCTCGGGACTTGATGCGCTTGCCAAAGGAGCGATGAGCAAAGGGCCACCAGTGCCACCAGTGCCACCTGTCCCGGAGGGCCCGGGGGCAGCCGGGGCCCTGCAGGTACGGGGCTGCGGGGAAAGGCCCCGGGGAGCGGCTCCCCGCGGCTCCCAGCGCCCACCCGGCCGATTCCTGCCCGCTGGCCAGGAAGGGCGGCCCTTGGACTGGGGCGGGAGGGGGGAGACTACTGGGAGCAACATAAATAGTACCGGTGGGCTAGGGGGGCAAGGGATTAATTAAAACCTTTTCATAATTTATTAAGAGGTTAAATAGTAAATAGTCTCTGGATTTCCCACTCTCAGCAGGTGCCAAGACTTCACATTTTCTCATGTCTGGAGATTCTGTACACCCTTCTTTTGACAGAAGACAAGGCCAGAAACGGGATGTCAGGGAGAAGGGAAGTGGGCTTGACACAGAGGAAGGGACAAGAATAAAAGATAAAATACTGTGCTGTCATCTTGTGCAGATCGAAGCCTCTCCCAGCAGCTGCAGCCTCCGCAGAGTTCAAGGGACCTGGGCTGTTCGGGTACCTGCTTCCCCTTCAGTGCCACTTCCCCACGAGAGGGAATTTCCCAGCTCTGCGCTGCAAACTTATCTCCGAGAGAATCTATTTTTAAAAGCTTTGATAGTCTTTGCCATCATGGGTGCAATTTCTGCAAAACAAAAGAAAAGGAAACCAACAGTTAAAGCGGAGGTGAGGCGAGGAAAGCAGAGGTGAGGTGTGCAGCGCTGTGCCCTGACGGCTCCCATCCTATTTTCGGGTCTCAGACCCAGGAGGGCTCACGCTGCTTTCTGCACCGCAGCAACAGAGCCTTGGTTAAACTCGCTGCTGCCTCCCCAGAGGAGCCTCTCCACAGTGTCCTTATTACAAAGAGCTGCATGGACACAAAGCACAGGGGAACTGTGCAGGGCTCCTGGCTCGCTGGGACCCTTAGGGACAGGCTGATGCAGCCATCGGGGGCAAGCAGGTGAGTAAGGCAGACACACACGGGAGCATCGGCTTCCTTAGGCACTGCCAGGACTTCTGGAGAGCCCAAAAGCAAACCCAAACCTCCACACCCTGACTCCAGCTGTTTCCCTACGCTTCTTGTGAATGAAGTTTGAAAAGGCTTCACCCTGCTCCCCCTCGTGGAGAGGGGAGGCTCCCAGCACCAACCCCCGGCACAGCCTGCATTTCCCTGCAGCAGCTTCCTGCACGCCTAAGGGAGGAGCTGCAGACACCAGGGACAGTCCCGTGGCTGGTACTCACTCTTCACTGGTGGCTTCCTGGGGTCGTAGGAGGAGAAGGTGCTCCCTGACGACGGGACAGAATGGGCACTGCTGGTGCTGGGCCCGTCGTAGGACTGCTCCTCGCTCACACGAGCGTGGCTTTTGCCAGAGGTGTAGAAGACTGGTTTTATTCTGAAACGCAGAGACAGGACATTTCAGTGGAGGTGTTCCTGGGATTTGCTGCAGCTGTTCACACACCAGCCCCATGGCTGACAGCAGCAAGGCTGCTACGGCGTGGAGCCAGCACCAATCAGGACCTCAGCCCTTCCCAGCAAGAAAGAGGCTGTTACAGTCACAAGCTTACTGCAGAAGGATCCCCCAAACACACAATTTCCTTTCTTGCCAAGAGGCAGGGGCTCAGGGGGAAGCTGGCAGAAGCCCAGAGGAGAAAAGGCCCCGAAACTGGGAAACACTCACTTGGTCTTCTCCGGCACAAGAGCCCCTCCGGTTCCAAACTTCTCCTGTCGTCTCCGCACGTCCCGAGGTGGCTTCACCGCAGGAGTTCACAAAGGCCATTTTGGCCACTCTACCTACGGGCGTCCAGAAGGAAACAGTGCTGAGATCCAGCCTGACACAAAGGAGGCTCTTTGGTATCTGTCTTACTGCAGCGAGCTCCCAGCACCTTTCCCCAGCTCGTCCATCCCCAAGCTCAGCTGAGAGCCTCCTCCTCAGGTCTGCACCCTTGCAGTCACACTGCCTGCTGTGACGGGTCAGACCGAGGAGGCCACTCGTTCTCATTCTGTTCACCAAAACACATTTGTCCTTGCTGTAAAACGCTGCCCTGCCCACACCATGGGAGAGCTCTGGAGCCTAAGCCATTAAGCAAGGGCCGCCACATGTTGAACAGGAGTTAAGCAACTCCTGACTTGGACTAGATTCAAAGCAGCCACCCTGAGAGACCTTCCCCACAAAGGACCCCCCCAGCAGCATTCCCAGGCACCCGGCTGTTCCCCAGGCCCTCCAGCCCCACGCCACCTTTGGGCTTGTTGGCGTGAGCTGAGCCGATGTTCCGTGCCAGCATGAGCAGCCGCTGCTCTCGTGCGTCGTGCAGGCGGAGGTACATCTCCCGCCAGGTCTCAAACTCCTCTGGCTTCTCAGTTCTTGAAGTCTCGGAGACAGTGATTGTGCCACAGCTGATCCGTATCCTCGATGAGAACCTGAAACACACCCACAGGTAACCCGGGATCCTTCCTGACACCTCCGCTTCCCTGTCCCCGCCACCCCTCCCCTCCCTCAGCACCACTGGAGCACCACAGCGGGCGGGGGGCTTGGGGCCAGCCCACAGCAGATGGCGAATCTGGGAAGTTGTGACTCGAGCAGAATTCACACGTTTGGAGCACGTTGTTCTTTGCCATTCTGCTACCACAGACAGACAGAACAGCTCGTCCGCGTGTCAGCATCCCTGCCCCAGGCCAAGGCACTCACATGATTGCATTCCTCGATGCGGTACAGTTGCTCTGGGGTGCATCTCTCCAACACTGGCTCCAGCACGGAGAAGGGGACACCACCCACTTCATAGATAGCTAGAGAGAAGCAAGACGCACACAGTATTTATCCCACTCCTTCCTTGCCAAGGAAAGGGCTCGATACCCTGAAACGCAGCAGAAAAGCCAGCAGCGCTGCACGCTGCCACCCAGCACGGGGGGAGGGAAAAGGAACTGCAGGTGTGACACACGCGAGGCACCGGGACTTCAGTGGGGCACGAGGGCAGGGTGTGTGCAGGGCAGGGTGAGGAGCACAGAGCAGGAACCATACTCACAGTCGATGTTGTTGCTGAGGACCCTGATGCACTGCTCGTGCAGAGTCATCATCTTCGGGAGGTAGGCGGTTTTGGAGCCCGAGTACACCTGCATCTTGGAATTCAGCCGTCGGCCCGTAAAGCCCGCCTCGCTCTCCTCCACTGGCGAGGACACTGCTGGAAGGAGCAAGGCTCGGGGTGAGGAGGGCTCAGAGGAACGAAGCTCCCACCCTGATGAACGGCTCAGGGGACGAGCCAGAGCCAGCCAGAAGCAGACTGGGGCCAAACAAGGACCGGGTCCTCCAGGAGCCCTGCCACCAGTTCAGGGAGAGCGAGGCCAAATCCCCAGGAAGGGTCAGCAAACACCTCCCTGAGGTGGTCGGGCAGGGGGAGCTCTGAAGGCCCCTCTGAGGCGTTCGACTGCTCCAGCCCAGGCTCCGGGCATCAGACAGGGCACCGGACCCAGCACGAGCCGAGCCCAGCTGCCACCCTCCCCCTGCCTGCAGCCCGTCCCAAACCCATTTTCCTCCCACCGTACCTTTCCTTTTCGTCTGGGAGCAGGTGATGGACTCGATTGAGGGGAGAGGGCGGTAGTTGGCCTGGATGGGGGGCAGCGGGATGTCCGGCAGCGTTGGCACCACGTCTATGAGGATCTGGGAGGAGAGGACGGACACGCAGTAAGCTGTGAGCGTTAGGCCTTGCACACCAGCGGGACCCGCACTCAGTTCGGTGCCCCAGGTAAGCACGGAGCTGCTCAGCCGGCTCCAGGGAGCAGCCCGGGCGGGCTGTGCTTCTGCCACATCGCTGTGACTGCCTGCGCTGCCACACGGAGCCAAAGTGCAGGACAGGAACCACCCCTCTGGTAACAGCCCCACCTGCTGAATTCAGCACTGAAGGACTCTGACGAGAGCCCCGGTCAGATTAACGATGCAAAGGTTAAAAAAAAACACAACAGAAACACAGAAGAGAAGCTGCCAAAAGCTCCTGACCCAAGCACTCACTCACCTGTCCCGTCTCTTTCCTTCCTCCTCCCCTCCTGCAGAAGGTTCAGCAGTGACGGAGGGGGGGGAACCTCACGCACCAGGGGAAAAGCTGGAGCCTCTGCACTGAGTGCTTGTTAGAGCGAACAGCAAGGGAGGATTGTAAAATGCTGCTAAGATTAACACTTCTGGAGGAGTTTACTCCAAAAAGTTTCAAAGTTGAGTAAAAAGGTTAAGTAGTACTGGTTTTACACTCTAACCCGTGCTTCTATACACAGCCTTGGCATCCAGGAGGCAAGGAACACAGAATCACACCTTTGTCAGGTTCTCACACAGGCTCAGGCTTCTAGAACCAGCTGCACTGTAACACCAATTCTCCCATTTCTTCGGACCAACAGATTT